TAACTTTATGCACACTTCTTGCATTTTATTAAATGTAGCAGTTTGATTTAACTTTCAAATTTTCTTTGGTTGGGTTTGAATTCATCACACAGTAATTGAATAAGAAAAAATAATTACATGAAGCATGACTGATAGTTTTCAAGTTGTTCCTGCTTTCTCTGTTTGTTAGGGATTATGCTCCTCACAGCTATTCAATTAGTGGGAAATATAGCATACTGGTCAGGTGCAAATGTTAATTAACAACCTGTTCAGAAAAAAAGGCTTCTAAAACACGAAAATCTGCTTCTGGGACCTGTACCAATTTTACAATGTCCACCCTGAGTAGTTAGGAAAGATTTAACATTTAAAATGTCTTTCTAATATGTTGAAGGTAATGTAATATTAGGATAAATGCATGTCTAGTTTTATTTCAAAATATAAAATAGTCAGCTCTTTAAAAAGTCAGCCAAGAAATTGCAAATGGAGCTACCTCAGATACCACCTGGTTTTCCACAGTATATTCAGGAAGCTGTGAAAGCAGTATGATAATTTGTGGGAAAATAGCTACTAGTTCCATGCAAGCTGTGTTTGAAGGTCTGAAAATATTTTACCTTTTTTTTTCCTTTTTGTGTGTCAGCATTAAGTCCATGACAACTATTTATTTTCACTGACAAATATTAAGGTGGTGACTTAGTAAAAAAACTGTCAGTATCACATACTCATTTAATTCTTGTTATAGTAGTTACAGGGCTGGTCCAGTATGTCAAGAAAATCTCATGCTGCATAATTAATGAATGCCATTTCTTTAATAGAGTTGTTGTGCATGTAACTGTTTTATGCTTCAGTAAATACAAACATAATAATGGCTTCTCTCAATGCTTTGCTTCATCAGCTTTTCATCCAGTAGTATTAAAGGGCTATTTTAGAAGTAGCATTTATTTTTTTTTTTTAGACACTTCTATAATGTTTGACAGCTGCTCTCTCAACCTGTTCGCTACCCTTTCATGCCAATTCAATTCGGGGACAAAATAATATGAAATCATTGTTACTGCACTCAAAATTCACTGGAAGAAAATAAAAATGTCTCATGCTACATAGAAAATGAAACCTATCTATATATTCCTTTATTTATGAACAGAAGCTATCAATTAATTTCTTCTCTGATATATTTGTTTTATTAAACAGAGGCTGTCAGTAGTTTATCTTGGAGATATGGTATTTTAGTGGTAAGTGTATGGATACTCAAAAAAATAGATGTTTTACAGAGTCTCCCTTATTTATTTTCATGAACCAGCTTCTCAGTATGGTTTTTTTAGGTTCTTTTCCTGATGATTCAAACATCCATCATGAGTGTGAAAGTGATTTCATTGCTATTACGCAAGTGTGAAAATACGCTGAGGACCAAATTCAGTTTATAGTCATAGCTATTCATGATGAAGTAAACTCAGAACCTGGGTCTTAAATGGTGATGGGAGAAGTCTGCGGAACATCACATTTCCCAGGGCATGTGGTAATCTTTTGAATTTCCTCAGTAGGATTTACCAACATCAGCCTTCTGAAGCCCAGACACAGCTAAAAGTTATCTTTAGGGCTCTTTCGTGCCTGCCTGTCAAGGGGCAGCATAATTTCCATCTTCCTACTGCTGGGGGTTTGTTGTTGGGTTTTTGGGGGGTTTCTTTTTTTTTTGGTGGGGGGGCATTTGTTGGTTTTATTTTTTTTTTGTTGTTTTGGTTGGTTGGTTTTGTGGTCTCTTCATATGCCTTCATTTATCAGTAGTGAAGCTACAGGAAAAAATTAATTAAATCCATAAAACTTATTTATATTTCTATTTTTATAGCTTTTAAAAAATCCACATTGTATCTCATAATTACTGATTCTTCTAGGATTATCTTTTTCAAAATCTAAAATAGTGTTAGTGTTGAGTTTGGGTCTTGAGTGCTATTGCTTTGAGTAAGCTGAGCTGTTAGGAAAGAGTGAAATCATTCTTCTGTCCTGTAGACAGGCAGAGTTCCAGGCATTTCATGTTATCATATGTAGTTAGAAAATAGTGATTATTTGGATAAAATTGGGTAGATAAAAAAGCAGCATGACATGGAAAATCCTTTCTTATGTGTCTGAAAGCCTAGTCACATTCTCCTTGACTGTGTCTTCACGGTAACAAAACTATCGTTTTATACTTTGCTTTTATTGGGCTAGCCTTTTAAAATCACCTTGCAAGCAATGTGGATGGGTTTTCAAAATACATTTTGATAATCAATAGCTGGGTCTCTTTCCAAGGAAAGGAAATGTCAAATCCTGCCTTTCTGTTTGTGAAATGTAATGAATAACAGTAACAGCTGGCATTAGAAATAAATTAAAAGACTAAAATACTGTAATGGTATGTAGGTAGTATTTGAAGAGCAACATATTATAGTTGTGAGCTTAATTACCTATTGGCAAAGGGCTTCAGTCAAAGAAATTATTCATTGGTATTCCTTGTGGAAAAGCTTAGAATCAAATTTAGTAGCATAATTAGTAAGATGATAACAAAATAACCCAAGTCTACCAATTTTACTAGCATTCTAAAATATGATAGAAGTATGACCGCACTATTAATGCAAGTTTGCCTTTGATGTGTTTGATCTGTTTTTATTGTGAAAATCCTGTGTGTCTGAAATTAACCAGCAAGTGGAAAATAAAGGATAGGGCCTGAAAAGATGGTTAAAGAAGCCTTCCAGATGAAATAACTTCTTTCTCCTTCTTAGTATTTTATGGACCTTTGGAGATTTCAGGATTTTACAGTGTCATTACAGGGCAATGAATTCACATCCTTGTGTATTTCATTCATTCATCTTTTGTCATGATATTTCTTTTAGTCTGCACTTTGGTTTTAAAGCTTCTCCAAGACTTTCACAAGATCTTTTCTTCTAAGTGCTAGGAACCAAGACAAACTCCCTTTAGATCTCTTAGCAAAATTTCATCCAACACAGGTAGCACTTGGCAGTTAGTACTTGGAGTTTAGCCTGTTTTTGAAGTTGAACAAAGAATCAAGGCTTTGCTGGTGTATATATAGGAAAATCCAGCATTACATGACCAAGGTAATTTTTATAGCTTTGACAATATAAAAATAATTGAGAACTAATGAAGCAAACCAGGGAAAGGAAAATTAAGAAAGAATTGAAAGAACTGTGTTAAATATTGCAGTGAAAGATGCATTTTATCTAAAATTTTTATAAGCTCAGTTCATTAACTTATTTTGATGAAGCTGGGGTTTAAATTTTATTAGTTGTACAGCCATATAATCTCTGTGGTTTAAAAATGATGATGAGTCCCTGCTCCTCTTTTTTAGTTCTAATACTGATTCTGCTGTACATAAGACTAAAAACCACCTGCAACAACCCTTAGTTATCTTGTCAGCTAGATAAATATCCTTGACCAAAAGCTGACTGAAGTATTTTGGATTAGATTCCCAAGACAAACTTTTTTTTACCTGATCTCATTCTTGTCTTGTTGCTATCAATAGCTACATCAGGGTGATGTTATCTGTTCCATGTAAAAAGCCTCATTTAAAGTCAAAACATCATTTTAATTGTTGATTACATTTCTACTTAAATACAGAACAGGTAGCATTTGGGGGATTTGAGCTTTTCTTCTCATATTATGAGGCAACCAGGATGGAGATTCAACAGAACAAAAAGATTTGGCAGCAGCAGTTCCTATTCACAGTATTCAGAAAATAAAATGGAGCGTGTCTTGCTCTCTAGAACACTGTTTTTTTATCAGATGCTGTTTTGATGGGTTTGCCACCAAAAAATAGGCATGCATTCCTGTTGCCGATAAGGGCTTTTCTATATATTAGAGGAAAAGATGGGTCTGTTGGAGCTGCTCTTATATCTGTTAATTTTGCCACTGTTTTCAAAGCTGTCTGCCTGTACAGCTACGTTAAAATAATTTCATCCAATTTTTTTATCAAAAAAAAAAGAAAGTTCTATAGTTTATTATACTGTTCTCACAGTACTGTTTTTAAAGCAAATTGATGAGCCTCCTCAGTTCAAGCTGACATCTTTGTGTAGTATACAAATCTTTGTGTAGTATAGGGAGGACTGGAAGCTATGGTTCTGTGTTTAGTTTTCTGCGAGTTCCTCTTTTCACTTAGGTATGTCAGGCAAATTTGATGTTTTCCAATTTTGTAAGCTTTATTAAATTTTGTGTTGTAAGAGTGAGTTATCATAGATATTAATTTCCCTAATATAGATTTCTTTTTCCATTATACATTCTGTGATAGCACCTGTAATAACAGCAGAAATAGTCACTTTGTTAATTCATGCTCATAATAAAACCCAAGATGGAATAAAAAAAAAAATAAAGAATATAGAACAATTTTTCTGGCACACTAAAGTTTTTTAACATAATCTGGAAATGGTCCAGTGGTTATCTTTCTCATGGTGAGATTAGTAAAGGGAATGAAACACCATTGAATGATTTTCTTGACAGTAGAGTAGTATTATTTTGCAGCTGGCCAGCTTGAATAATGCGGTGAGCTGAACTTGAAGCGTTGCATAAACACATGCATATGTTCAAACTACTCTTGTCTGGATTGCATTGAAGCCATCACAGGCTTATGAGTAAGTTACCTTACAAATTTTTAAGTTTGTAATATCGGGTAAAGTGACATCAGGTGGAAGAAAACCCAAGATACCTGTTTTGCTACCACTTCCAGGAAGATCTGTGCTTAAGGAGATATAAGCCAATTTGAATCTAAATATTATAGTATGATAAATTTTATAGACATGATTTTTTAAATGAAATGTCATAAAAGCATTGCACCTTAAGTGCAGATAAAATTCAGAAGCTTGCTATGAAATGTGCAGGAACAGCTACACTCCTTTCCTTTAGGAACTGGAAGTAAAGCAGGAGTAGGAGATCTGTGGGTACTTTATCAGTTTGTCGGTATCCTGACACACTGGTATAAGCAGAGTGTTTTGGATTATGTTTACAAGTTTAGTTTTGAATTCATTTATTTATCTATTTTTCTTTCTTAGGCTTTGGAAGACCAGGTATGGGACCTGCTGAATGAAGCAGACAAGGCTGCAGAGGAGAACAAAGAGAAGAGTCAGGTTTATGATGCCATGGCAGAGACCCTTGGGGATGCATGGGATGCCCTCATCATTATGTTAGAGAAGAGACAGGCACTTCTGGAACTTACTTCAGTGTTCTTTGAAAATGCTCTGGAGGTTTGTATGTAAACCATATGACGTTTAATTTGAAACCTCCTATAGGGACTTTAAGAAATATTTATGATGCCTCTAAAATTTGTACAGAAAATTACAGTGAAAAATGGAATTGGAAAAAAACCTAAAATATTTAATCAGTGGCTATGGACATTCTGCAGAATATCTTTTGTTTCTTATAATCCAAACCAGCTGGCATTGGAAAAAACTCAGATGCCATTGGTTGGCCATTGAAGGCTTTACACCTAAATATATTCATACAGCTATTGTAGTTATGCAAACTAAACATGAATCTAGCTTGCCAATCCTTTACCTGAAACTTCCATGTGCAGATGTGCACAAAAGGACAATTGTGTGAGCCTGGAGACAGATTTCGGTGTTGTTTATCCCTGTTTATTAATTTCTCTGTATTTCTTATACTAATTCACTGATATTCAGGGAACTAAAGCAGGGAGAGATTCCATACCATGCAGGCATGTGCTCACTCTGTGTAGCCTCACATTCAGTTTTACCCACATCTTTGGAGCTTTGAAGAATTTAATAATTCTCCCCTATTATTTTGTTTTTACAATAGCCCTGTGCCACCTATAAATTACAGAAGCCATTCTACTGCTACCTGCCATAAGAACTCCAAGATCATCAATCTAATAATTATTGCATCCTGGCAATGTGTATGATACAAAGAAATTAGTACAGAGTTGGCATAAATATTAATATGGTAAATTCTGTACTACCAAAAGTTAATCTAGTGCAGACTATATCCTTAATTGGCTAGCTGAAATGCCTCTGCAACAGGCTTATATCATTAAACCAAAATGCAGTAGATGGAGCACAGCACAGATTGTACCTGTTCCATATAGAAGGGATGAATAAATGCAATATTGATTTAAGTAGGAGCTGTTTAAACTTCTTATGGAAAAGCTTTTCTTGAAATGACAGCCTGCGGTTATGGAAATTTTGTTTTATTGGGATAAATCACAAAACATCTGAAGAATAGTCTTTAGTGAAAATCAGAACTCAAATCACAAATCAAAATCAAATCAAATGTTGATACCTAATGAATTTCTTTTACAGTATGCAGATTAAGAAGGAGAAAAATATAGGACAATAGAAAAGACAGAAAAAGCAGACCCTTGGTTTTAATCTTCCTTAATTTCACTGTAGGTTTCAAAATCTCTGTTTATGCTGAACACAAATTTGAACTCTACTGACTTCTTCATTCTTGAAGTGAAGCAGTAGAATTGATAAATATTGGCTAAGAAGCAGAATATGCCTGAACTCTCTCTGAGCTACTCATAGTTGGAATTGTACCTGCAAGGGCAGAAGCCACATAAAGAATTGCAGTCTTCATTTTAAAAATCTCAATAGATTACCAAATCTGCTCCAAATCTCCCTGAAACACAGCATGTTTCAATACTTAAAACACAGAACTCATGGAAAAATGAGCTGTAAAAGAGTAACCTAACTTCAGTCTTCATTACCAAAGATGCTGTTTCCCCACTATAATTAATTTGTTTTCAGTAAGTCTGAAGACTGTGTAAGAAATACGATTCATTAAGGGACAAAATATAATTATAGAGTATGTCAACTAAAATTTGAGTTTCCTCAATAAATGAGAACCTTAAAAAACCCAGAAGGTGCATAGAAGCCACAAAGCATTTGTATCTAGCCATCCCTAAAAATACCTTTTTCCCAGAATTTACAAGTTCTCTTGAATTTTGTTTATAATACAGAGTTTATCATGGAGTTCTGCAAAAGGTAATTATACCATGCTTCTTCCCATCCTTTGTTTTCTTAATGCAGTTTGCTGTTAAAATTGACCAAGTTGAAGATTTCCTGAAAAATGCCCAAGAGTTTGACAATATTGACTCTTTAAGTGACCTCCTTCTGCAACAAGAGCATCATACAAAAGGTACAAAGAGTATTCCACTCCTGATGATGTGTGATTGCGTGTTGACTCCTTGAAGGATGATTTTGCTCTTCCTGTGTGTATTTAAAAAAAAAAAAATCTTGGAACAAATATGAAAGTGTTCTATTTGGAAAAATAGAACAGAAATAACTCTTTATCAGGCTCCCCAAAAGATGTATTATTCTTAGTTTTGAGCTAGCTCTCTCATAGTTCTATCTTCGTTGCTATGGAAGAGGTAGTGATAAGTTTGTATTTAATTTTAAGACAGTCTAGGTCAGGTGAGCTGCTAGGAAACCAAGATGACTTTTAGCGCTGATTAGAAAGCAAGTTCTAAATCCATCATTTTGTTCCATGGGAAAATTCATCCAAGTTATCATAGCTATTAATGAAGATTCTTGTATGGAAAACTTCCCATTAGAAAATTTCCAATCAGCTCTAGTAACAATCACCTGCAAAGTCCTACAGTTTCTTGAGAGTGGCCAAGGGAGCAGTCTGCTGTCTGCTTTCCTTTTGTCTAGGGATGAGGCTTGAAGTAGAAGTGAAGTTAGAGTGGGAGCTATGATATAAAGGTGGCAACCAGCCAGCTTCAGAATCTATTTGCCTACAGTGGTTCCTGCATTTTGCTCTGCCTTTGAGGAGTGGGACTGTGTTTCATTTCCGCATTGAGCTGCCCAGTCTGTTCCAAGAGGTTCTGCAGCTAGAACTGAAACACTTGGGAAAAAAAGGTGCTCCCTCTGCTTCCACCACAACTTTCTTGCACATATGTTTTCTAGAAAAATTCTTCCATGTGATGACTATTTTGTTAATTCAAATTTTCTTGTGAAGCATCTTCTACCATATTGTGGTAATTTTAATTCAAAAGGGAGAAAAAAAATATATTTCAAACCCAATCTCATACTGTGGCTACTTCAGGCACCTTTGCAAGTCCATATGGTTCTGTTTTTTATAAGACTTGAGAGTACTTACTGAATTTTATCTGCACTTAAGAGGCAATAATTTTATGAAATTTCATTTCAAAATTTCACCAAATTTGCTATAAGATTCCTAACAACTGGCAGAATATCAACTATACTACTGGAGTATGAGGTTTACATTTTTAGCAGCCTTGAATGCCAGGTATTCTTTCAGGGAATCTGAATATAGAATTGAACTCACATAACTTATTAGAATTTTGGGGCTTCCAATTCAATCTTCAAGGGAGCAAAGTTCTCACTGTATGGTAATTTTAACTCAAAGTATCTGTCAGTAATTTATTGCCAAAAGGAAGGTCTATAACTATGAGTTGTCCTCATTTATCCATTTTTATATGTATTCCATTTCTGATGGACTGAAACGTAACATTTCTGATTTTTGCCTTCTGGAAGGAAAAAAGTTAAAGGGACAGGCTTGTTGCAGTGAGCTCCTGGAAACCAAACTATCTTCTTAGCCTTTGGTGGCTGGAGAAATGGAAGCATTCCACTTCTGCATATTCCCTAGGTGCTTCATAGGGAAGGTGGAGATTTAGGCTGCTTTGCCTTTAGTTACCAGTACATGTAATCGGCTGGGAAGATGAATGTTTCAGCTCTTTGCTGCTTGTTGTTGGTTGCTTCACAAGGAGGCAGCTGCTCCTTGGAGCATTCCTTTCAAATACTTTTCCTTCATGCCTATCTTGCCTCTTATTCTGGCAAGTTTGGTCTCAGAGGGTCTCAGTACACTCTTATATGTTTATATATATGTACCATTATAGCTGTACCTTTGTATGTTTAAAGAACACCTGCCTAAAATGAAGTATCTTAGGATATATACCTCCTAAAATAAGTATTTAAAACCTATCTATGCAGTGCATGAAAACGTATTATGTATCCAAATAGGTGGTTTTAAAAATACTCGACTGATATTTGAAATATGCTACTGGAATTATAAAACACTTTTTTCTTTCCTTTTTTTCTTTTCTTCCTATGAAATTCTGTCCTTAAAGAGCTTTTGGAAAAGTCACTTGCACTTTTAAACAAAAGCCAAGAGCTAACTGAATTCATAGAAAAATTCAAACATGAGGGGCCAAATGTAAATCCAGAGCTGATCCAGGGAGCCCACAGCAGCTGTTTGAAAATTGACAATCTCCTTGAAATGCTGCAAGACAGGAGACGGCAACTGGACAAATTTCTTAAACATCAGCGCCAAGGACTGGAGCAGGTTCTGCAAATTTGTTTGTGGCACCAACAAGAGAACCAGGTAAGATATACAGTAATGAAGTCATAGTAAAAAAAAAAAAAGTAGCTATTGTTTTATAGTAGAGTCTATTACAGAAAAGGAGCTTAAATATATTTATACGGTTTTGTACCTTCCAGTCTAGCAAGACTAAAGCTGAGTTATTTCGAGGGTTTCATAAATAGGCTAAAATTTTGTAGGGACCTCTGACAGAACAGTCCTGATTATGGTAATTCTCTAAGTTTCCTTCTTTGCCTCCAAAATAAAGTTCCTCCCTATATTGGAGGAAAATGTTAGAAACTGTTAGCAGTAGTCGGTTTTGTAAGAACTAACTTCTCTGGTGAGGTTGTTTAAGATGAGAAGCACCTTATTCAATAAGCACAAATTCTGCATAGGGACAACAGAATTGTTGAGGTACACAACCAGGCTGGCAGCCTTATTTCTGGAGCTGCCAGAAACCGAGTGAAAGCTACTGATTTAATGATTAGATAGAAAAAGCCCCAAACAACCAGATAAAAATAGTATGGTCTTCTGCAAGTGTCAGATCTCAGTATGTAGTTATAAAATAACATCTGACAAAAATCCTGAAAAAACAGAACTGTGGCATAAAAAACTACATCAATTTCTGTTAAAACCATTAGAAACCATCTGTGCTTGCTTAGAAATACGTATTATTGCTGCTGTGACTGGTTTTGATTTTTCAGTATCACCACATAGCTATATCATGAAAGATCCTCAAACAGAAATGTTTCAATATAATGTATTCTCATAAATTTACAACAACTACAACTGTTGTAAAATATGTTGGAAATCTGTCCTATTTCATAAAAAAAAAAATAATCCTTTCTTTACATTAAAAAGTAACAGATATTACTACAATTACCTTAGCATGCCAGTGTTATTCCGCAGTATACAAATATGGAAGGACATTCATAATGGATACATTTTGGAAATATCTTGCTGTTGAAGAGTAAGACATGAATATGTGGGGCTTGTTTTGGAGCCAAGCACACTTCTTAAAAAAACAACCAAACAAAAAATACAAACAAAAACCCCCAGAAAACAAAAAAAAAAGCAAAAAAATCCACCCCCCCAACCCCAAACAACCAAACACCCCCCCCCCCCAAATCCCCCAAAATTCACACTGCCCAGGATGCTAAATATCATGATTTTGTAAAATTTACTAGGGAATTCTATTTCTCCTCATCACTTAAGGGGTAAATGTTTGGAAATAACCAGCTAGAATTCACCCTAATTTAGGTGGGATTGAAAATGATTTTGCAGTGAATGTTTGTTTTCTGTGTATGTTTCCATTTCTTTTCAGGTATGTGCTCAGATCACAAAAAGTATGTATAGAAATTGTTCTACTGGCAAGTTTTCCGATGTTAAGAGAGGGGCTACTATTTAACTACTTGTTAAATATGCTTATATCTGCATCCAGTTTGAGGCTGGTATACACAGGGGGACAAATTAAAATATTTTTTAATATCATGCTTGTCAGAATATACTTGCTTAATATCTGTAATAGTAAAATCTGGTATAATGTATGATTTGTACATGTACGGACAATTAATTTGCATGCATCATGGACAAATAATATATTCACGTGTAAATACAGATACTGGAAAATTAAGTTTTAGAGACTTTATGTAAAATTTCTCTTTGTCCTCTAACACATTATATATGTATCTCTGACTGATGACAGAATTTAAACTCTCAAAGCCTCTGAACACATATGAAAACTAATATTCCAGTCTCTGTACATGAACATCTCTTGATGCTGCTACCTATGCAGAAACAGCATACTGAACTCCCACTGACATTAATGGGAGTTCAGGGGATACAGAGAAAGCAGACTACTGGAGATGAGCTCTGCTGTGTAAGATCTAAGAGTGGATTTTTGCTCTTTGCTTCTGTTTTGCTAGGCATAATTATGCAATGCAGAAGGCTGCATAATCTGTGGGTTACTTTTTTAAAAGAAAAGACAAGAAGCTGCAGAGATCACTACTTATTGCGTGGTTATGAAGAACTAAAAATGCAGCACTTTCCTTTAATCTCTAATTGGAACTTGATGATCTGGTAGTCCTGATTGTAACATGTAATGTGTTTCTTTTTCAGTATTTTCAGTATGTGAAATTGTACTTATTTCACTTCCTTTATGGAAGTGTCAGCATCATGTTTTCTGTTAATCTCTTTCATTAATAAAAATCAGAGGCAGATTGGCTTATTTTGTGTATAATTAGTTATCTTTGGAAGAAGATTCATGAAAGTAATTTTTTTTAATTGATCCAGTCATCCATATAGAAGACAAAATTATTCACGGTACTAGGTCACATCAAGGGCAGATAAGAGCGAGGTAAAACTCTCGCATTTGCTATCTGGACAGGTATAAGGGAAACATTTTCTTGGTATAAGTCACAGTTCCTGTTTCTATTTAATTTTCATTAAAAGTAGTTTAAATAAAAATATCAAGTAGTGAAGCTTAGTGAATTAAAGGCTCCAATTGGATTTTACACAAAAATTCAGGGCATTCTTTGCTTGTAGACCTTACATAGTAGATTGATAGGCTTATAATCTTATTTACCTGGAAGAATTTCTGTATTGCAGGTTATGGAAAGATTCTGTTGTTTCTTTGCTTGAAAGCCAAATTCTGTAATCAAAACCAGTGATTTTTGATTTTAACATCTGATAAAGAGGACCTGAATATCCAAATGTGACTAGATCTGCTGGTGGTGTGTTCTTTGCTATTTTTTTTTTTTTTTTTCCAATAGCTGGTACTCAGCATAGTGCTGCTGCTGACAGCTAGAATGAAAACATTGAATTTATCTCAGTTTGGAGACATATCTGCAGATTGTCATCTAACGTGTAACACTATTTGTGTCATCAAAATGTTGTATGAAGTTCCTCTGTGAAGTTTTGATTTCATGTTTTATTATAGCACATTCTGCAAAGGCTTTTTTCATAAATATAAAAAATACTATTTTACAATGAATGTTAAGATTTAGACCTAAATAGATTGGAGTTATTGAGAACTATAATCAGATCAATTTAAGATTACTTCTCTGCTACTTACTTCTGGTGAAATCATGGTGCCAATGAACTTAGCAGTGCCAATGTTCTAATTATGTTCTAATTATTATAAAAAAAACATTCTGCCAATGTTTTAATTATGGCCAATGCTTCTCCTCTGTGTTTTTCCAAATGTCTGATTGCCTATCCTGTTTCTCCTGGCAGTGATAACTTAATTGCTCTTACTAGTCTTGCATGTACGGGCCAACTTAATTAGATTCCCTGACTTTGATCCTATGTAAAAAAGCCGCACACCTTGAAACCAAATTAGTTTCTGATATCCTGTCACACTCCATTGTTGGCCAGTCATAATCCTTGCTGAGAGTGAATGTATTTTTGTTAAAGTATGCATGTACCAATATGGAGTACTTGGTTTTCATATTTGCAATTGAAATGATTACTCTTGTTAGCTGATATTCTAAACAAGTTCTGCTTTTGGGGATATTGTGTAAACAAAGTCCTTTCATTAAAAAAGAAAAAACAAACAAACCCAAAACCAAATGGCTAAAAAAATACAGTGCTTTTGTCTATATAGGCAAGAAACTTCGTAAATGAAATGGACTGTTCCACTACAACTTCAATGCTTTTGTTGACTGGTATGCATCACCTTTAGTGGTGTTTGGGTTTTCTATTTCCAGGAACTTTTACAGTCCTTCACAAATATCGTATATACAAGGCACGAGTAGCTACTCTGGGACAATGCAATACTGATAGTTCTTTTCCCATAAAAGATTATTTTAAGATTCCTTTTCTTTATAAGGCTGTACTTGATCATAGAAAAATCACTAAAGCCTGGACTTTAACCTGAAGTGCTGCATTTTTCTTTAAATATGTGTTTGTGGTCCCATTTTGACCTAACTTGTTATTGATAAAATTAGACAAGGATGCTTCACTGGTAATATTGTGAAGATAGATGCATTGAGGATTACTGAAAGGCTTAGCTAGTATTGTTATTAAGAGAATGAAATATCCCCAGGATGAACAAAGGCAGATCTGTATTGTCATGATGATGCCTTCACATACTGATGATAAAAATATTATTTGAGATTTCAGATAGTAAGTAAAACATCAGCCACTCAAATACAGTGATTATTGTGATGAAAAAAATACCCCAAACCCACCCTGTCTGGCATTTAACAAAATCAGCTTATGATGAGTGTACAGGGGAAATTATTTGAGACTAGCTTATCCTAAAGCTCAAAGTAGGCATGTGAAAATACATAGTGTGGGCTGCTTGAGTTCAAACTGCCTGAGGTAAGCTCAGATTTAATTTATGGCATATAGGTATGTGTGTTTTAATACATACAGGAAAAAAGGGAGTGAAACACAGTTTTTCATGGTGGGAATAATTTATAGAAAAAAAAAGTGTTTTCCTTCTTAATTTCTGTTTTCTACTATATCTGCTCCTCTCTGTAGTTACGACATATACAGCTTGTTCCAGCCAGCTTTACAACTACTCCATCACAGGGCACAGCTGAGCCCATCAGCAAAGCTGATGGGACCTCTGTTAAAAAATATTTGAGAAAGGGTAAAACATTGTGCAGACATAGCGAGGAGTGAGGGGAAAGAAAAACAAAAACCATGAAACAATGCTGTGAACACCAAGGTCAGTGAAGGAGGAGGATAGGGAGGAGGTGGTTCAGATACTGGAGCAAGTATTCCCATGCACCCCGCATACATTTTGGAAGAGACTACACCACAGCAGGTGTTCCCGCCTCCCCAGTTCTTTTATTTGTAACTGAAAATGTTTACAACACATTTTAAATGTTCTTTCATTTTTAGAATTGGTTAAATGTATTAGAAACATCTTCTACATGAACAAATAAAACAAAAAGATCCATAGTGTGCTGTTAAAAGCTGTAGTACCTAGAGTAGGAAGTAATTCTTAGTGTACCGTATATAATTTAAGTATAGTGGTGATTTTCCAGACTGAGAAGTTTGGAGGAAATCTCCTTGATATTAATAGCTCATTCAGACTACTCTTTTAAAATGCAAAGCTTCACTCAGGAGTTCCTGCCATGTGTTGTTTACAAAGAAAGTGAGAGGTACCCGCTATGAATCAAGCAAGTCATTCTGTGCAATTTAGAAGGTGTTCTTGTATAGCTCGTGTGTTTGCTGTATATGCTTGCTGAAGTAAGCCTAGAAAGGGATATTTTTAAGTTAATGTGATTCTAGGAAAACTGTGAAATATCTTTACTATGTTATAAACCATGTTTATTCTATGTGGGCTTATATCTTGATTTTGCTTTTACTGTGTTAATTTATAATTTGGTCATACTGGATTAATACTTTTTTTTAATGTTTTGTTACATACGCTGCAGTATGTGTTTGTTTTAATGGCAATCCTTTCCTTCTGCATTTATTAACATCTTAAATTATACAAATTGAACAAAAGCATGAACATTAGGGATGGAAAATTATAAGAATGAAAATTAGGGCTTCATTTGTTCATGTAGCTGTTTGGTACTTATTAAAAAAGTGGACAGTTATTTTTCAAATTCTTCACTGTCTGAATTTTTTATTATTTAGGTAATATCCTGGTACAAGAAAAACATCAGGGGTTATTTTCACAAGCAAAACTTAGGCTCATCTCTATTGGAAAATGAAGAGTTACTTCAAGAGCTTGAAGAAATGGAAGTCAAAGTGAAAGTAAGAAATATGATGATTGATCACTGAAGCAACTTAAAAATTAATAGCAAAACATGAACTTAGGCATTTAATAAGCACATATAGGAGTAGATGGTACGCGTGCATAAGATATATATTTCTAAAGGCCTAAGAAGATATTTTTTCATTTTACTACTTTTAATGCAGGCCTCCATGTTTGTCAGTGTTTTTCTCATTTAAAACTTTGAAAATTATTGATAAGGTAAAAGAGGAGTAATCCTTGATGTTGTTTAGCTGTTTTTTCAATTTAGTGATAAGTACCAGACTGGTAGTTTACATAGTAAACCATGCTGCAAAAAACAAACAATTTTATTAGAATATTACAAAATTTTAATGTTCAGGAAGAATAAAATGCCAGCCACTTCTGTCACTCATAAAGGCAAGATGGGATTGAAGGAAATGTTGATACATATATAAATACACATATAAAATGGATATTTGTATGACCTAAATTGCATGTATTTAGAACCTTTTTTGAGATACCTCAATCGTGCTGTCATCAGGTGTGTGCTGTTCCTGGGTGAGGATCATTCCTCAATGATTTTCAAGCAATTGTGTTTGGCTCTAGTGTTGATAGCAACTATCAGGTTTATGACTCTTCACAGTTATGTTTCTTTGTAAGCTTTGTAGCTGAATATCAGATGTTTGCCTGTTTACATAATTTACACTTAGCTGCTTCAGCGTTGTCATGTATGAGAATAATATTTTGAATGCTTCTCCAAGCAGCATGTCAGAAAACACATTTACTTCATCTAGGGAAGATTAGTATAAAGACCTAAATTCTGTTGCAAAGCTTTTACAGACCTATGGCACAAGAAAAGCAGAAGTAGCAGGCAGTAAATGAGTAAACTGCATTTCCAGAGAAAGAGGGACACATAGAAATACTTGAGGTGTCCTAAAGTATTGCTGAATTTTAGAACTAGCTAAATGGTCATTAGTCTTCCCCATATTCTGTACAGAAAGGCTATTCTTGTAATTTGCTGTCTGAATTAGCAACAATACCGTAAGTACAGAAAGAAGAACGATATGCATTATGATTTTGTCTAATAATCCTTTTCATGGTTGAAGGCTTATGCTAGGTACTTGCTGAAGCCACAAAAAGTTCAAGTTTTTTAGACTTAAAGCCACAATAGTTTAATTCATCATATTTAATTGAAAATCAAATAACCTAGAAGGAGTTCCTTTTCTTTGCCAAATGGAATAGTGAAAGCAAGTGTTTAAAGGACTTACTACCATAAGGAAAAGTAAGACCAATTACATGAGCTAAGGAGAGGCATTGAGCATAGACACATAGACTGCAGTGTGTCTTTAACAGGATAGAGGATTTCCCAAGCACTTCTTGGAAAACTGAAAAGTCAAGGTAATAGTAAGCTTTGTGTTCCTTTCAGGGAAAATGAAAAACAAATATTTTATTGCTGACTGCCAGATTGCTAGGAATTTAACATGTAGAAGGCTGAAGGACAGTAAAAACTGATATTTTCCCACTGAGTTTGCATGTCCTGCTGATGGAAAGAATAGCCTTTTTATGTGTAGAGACATTTCCTTCTAAACAGAAAGCTGAAAGTGAAATTGTTGCTAGCTATTTTGTAGAAAATTGAACCAAGCTTGAGTTATGATCAAGTAGGATAACAAATGAGTCTGACTACATTTAATGCCCTCAGGGAGTGTGTAAGGTTGTAATGTTCATGGAATATTTAAAACTATATTATAATAAATAGAGATTTTGAGCTTGTGAGAAAGGTTAGAAACTTGCCTCAGTCTAAATGAGATCGAGTTTAACCTCTGCTTTAATATCACCTAGGAAGCTGCAACTGGGTACCTTGTGTCAAGCAGGTTCATGAATGCTGTTACTGTGAAATCCTCTTTTTTGCATCTGCTTCTAAGCTAACTAAGCAATTTCCTTTTCTGACACATTAAAATATGCATTTTTCATTCTGCAATAAATTTTTAATTATTTTACAAATAGCGTATAATAATGAAATGAGTATTCACATATTCAACTACACTTTTTTGCCTTTTTTAGGTTAATTATTATTAGTCCCCCCAAAAAGTTCCCAGTTGCAGTGTTGTTTTCTAATTCTCATAAAAACTATATATTTAAATATAAGTGCAATTTTTATTATAATCTGACCATTGAATGCTTTTGGGACCAGTCATGCCAGCTGCAAGTATTGGAAGATGATGACACTGCATGGTAGTACAATTGGATGTCGGGAATCTATACCCAATTCATAAATAGGCCAATCAATTTTTCAGGTAAAAAGGGACAAATACAGCACAGCAGACTATAATTATCCTCAAAATCCTCATTGTCACTGAGTATTACTTAGGACAGAGAGACAAGGATGGGATTTTATAAAAGGGGATTGTGCATTAAACAATATAGTGCAGGGCTTCAGTACAGGCTGAAGATTATTGCAGCCTGATCTCAGAAGTGGTCATTATTTTAATTTGAAAGAAAAATAAAACAAAAAAAGTCAAGAAAGATTTTGCTATAGCTACTTACCAGTAACAGACAAAACAAACAGAAAAAGCTTCTACTAGGCCCCAGATTAATCTCTGAATAACCAGATTACTTTTGCTTGGAAAAATTCCAAGCCACCAGCAATAATTTCCCTGAAAAAAACCTGAAACCCCCAAAAATTATGTAAGCATGCTGAAAATACTCTAACCTGTAATCTTGTTCTGCCATATGCACAAATATGAGTGGTTTAATGAAAAAAAATGTTTTAAAATATTTTTCTGTCTGCTTTATAAGACATTTGATAAAAATCTGTGGAAGGAAATTCTAAATAAATTTCAAAAAGGTCCTTCTCTTTTCTAATTCATTGCCAGAAAAAGTGGAGAAAACATGCTAAGGCATGGGGAATTGCAGAATAACATCAGATGCTCCTTTCATTTTGAACAGCACAATAAGGCACCAATTTTAGGTATTCAGAAGCACAGCAGGATAAAGTACACTGTGAAACAGTTTTACTATTTTAAGATTTTCTCTACAGAAAAACAGCAAAGCTAAAGCAGTAACTAATACCAAAGCAGTAGATGCAAGGCAAGATGATGTGAAATGCTGTTTTTCTCAACTCACTCCAAGTTAAAGTTTCTTTCCATTTAGGATGTCTAGTCTAGTGCATCTTTCAATACCTCTTTATTACCTGAAGAAGGTATTATGACTGAACACTGAAATCATGTTTATCATAGGTGAAAAATTGTAAGGAAAAAATTTTGTTCATGAAGGCTTAATCCCTAGATTTGATGTACAGATGGCTCTTAGCAGAAATTGTATCAATGGAAGCAGTTATTATGTAGGCAGTATTTTAGTTTGTTCTGGGTTAAATAGTTGGGCTGAAGAGGATGTTTGTCATGGGAGTCTGGTCTTACCAAGCAGAAGTTTCATGTCTTCATGTTATCATCTAGATTATTTTTCTCAGCAGATACACTAGTAACTGCTATTTCTGCCTGTGAAACTGTCAAAGAACATAGGATGACGCTGCTGAAAACTCTTGTCACTAAAACCTAAACTTTCTGAGAAGTCACTCCAACTGGAAGTAGTGGTATCTTTCAGTCATATAAATGCAATACATGTTTTCCAGTATTTCTATTGTCATTGTGCAGGTATATTACTTTTCTAGGTATAGTTGACTAAAATGGCATTTTTCTTGTTAGGAATGGAATTCCACTGTGGAACAGCTGACAGCTGAAGCACATAAGATTTTGCTTTCAGAGGACTATACAGAAAAAGAACATCTTAAGCTTTCAAATCAGAAAATCTGTCTGTTACAAGAAGAAGTGTGCTTCCATATGGAAGGAAGGAAAGCCCTGCTACAAGAGGCCAATGACTTTTTTCACTCTGCTGGCAAGGTTGGTAAGAAGCCAAGTCTGTAATAATAACTTGATAATACAACTGTCGGTGTGCTCTTAAAGAATGATACATGTGCATTTATGCAAACAGGGTTTGCTAAACAGTTTGGAATGGAGAATTACAAATCCAATTATCCTTTAATATGACCTTTCATCTCAAACTTCTATCCAAAATGGCACATGCATTTAAATTTATTTATTTATTTATTTTATTTTTTAAATTATATGGAGAATAGTACTCATTTTCAAAAAAAAGGTACTTGGGAAATACTATCTGGACTTTAAGATCATGGGCTCTGTCATGACAGCATAATGCTTTATGAAGATACAGGAGCTCTAAAATACATAAATGGTTACAAGCTAGTATGGATATTGGAAACAATAGCTATACTTGCAGTGCTCTCCACAGGCGGCTAATTAAAAATCAGACATGAGAAAAATCAAGGACAATATACAATTCCTCATACTACATTATATACTACGTGGTCTAGACATGATGTAACATGGAAGCAGCCAATGACAGCACAAAACACCTTTAGTCACAGGACAAATGATGAATTGAGGCCCACAACTATATTGAGGTCAGTAAGATATTGTATAGGCAATAATTTATATCACTGCTGTGCTCATGGGAACAAGCAGTGATTCAGATTCCAGAATTAGATACCTGTAGCTCTCACATGGGAAGTCTAAGAGGGGCCTACTTGTCTACTGAACTCTACGCATTGCTTAGTTTGTGTAGGTTGTGTTTCTATTGTCCTTAATGTTATGTGGTGATAATAGGTAAATCATCGATGACCAAAGAAGGAATATCTTAAAGCTAAATTTTTAATTTTTCAAAAAGCAACTGGTATAAAAGTTGATCAATAAAGAATTGAGGGAGCTTAATATCATTAGTTAAAATCCATTTATTGATATACCAGGTTAAGAGTAGGTTTGAGGAGAAGATCATAGAAGGATCAATAAAGGTGGCAATAGTGTTATAACAGACTTCTGTAAGTTTATATTACTATTTCATGTGTTGATGGTGAAAGTGAATAATACAAAATCCTCAAGCCATTTTAATTCTATTCAGAGCCAAATCTGTTTTAAAATGGTAACACAAGTAGGGATTTTTATCAACATATGATCTTCCAGTGGAGTACTGTGGATTGCTTGCTGATATTTTTCTGCTTATAATATTTCTAATTTATGTGACAGCAGTAAGTAATGAAGGTGGTCAGTCTATAAACACCAAATGGGCATGGAGATTTTAATAGCATATGATTTTTTCTATCCAGCAGGTAAAAAAATGGACAGATGTCACACTTTGTGACATTCCAGCTAGTACTAGAGCATGTAATTTAAAAAGTGAATAAATTAGATATCAGAACAATTTATCACAGTTGTATTAGATTTTTTTTTTTTAACTATGGACTGATAATATTCTCTAGTTAAAGCAAGAAGCAACTTAGTAATTTGTTTTGCTTACCATATAACAAACGTAAGTTCTGTTATTGCATGTTGGTATTAAGATACAACATTTGTTAAAGGAAATTTGAGTTAGAACAGAAGGAAGAACTGTCTGTCTCATCAGTCTTTGATGTCAGCAGGGATCTTATTCAAGCCTTTTCCATGTGTGAGCTATCAGATCAGAGAGCTATCTTAAAAAAATAGGTGGTCAATTTTGTTGCCTTGATTTGGGGCACAAAGCATTTGAAGCATTAGGTCTTTAGTCAGTGGTGCTGACCAACTGCCTGTTACCCTGAAGTTAAAGAAAACAAGGGTTTATTTGCTTTTTGGAAATACTAAGCACTGAGACATTACTATCTGAAGGTGTCCCATTGAGTTTCAAGTCTGATGATTTTTAAAATAAGCTGCTACATCTGAAAATTTTCCACGAAGGATGACCTCAGCATTAAAGAATAAGCTTAAAACGTGAAATCTCTCTGTTTCCATTTTACAACAAGCCTGTTCTTCAAGAGCATGTGCACCAAGCAGTATTAGTAATGCAGACTTTTCTCTCCAAACTTTTAGTTAGAAGACTAGTTGGAAAAGTTTATATTTTAAAATGTCCAAACACCAAATTTTATTTTTTGCAATATTGTTTGCAGGTCGTTTATAGAAGCTTTAAAACCAGATCACTTCCATGGGTAGATCCAATAACAACCTTCATAGTTCCATTAAATGTGCCGAAATGTGCTGAAAAAATAATCTTGACTTTGCCTGCACTAATTTTTGTTTTGAGCGCCAGGTGGGGCTATAATCACATTTATCTTCAACCTGTACTCTGTTCCTTCGGTGGGGTTTGTTTGTTTTTTTTTCACAAGTAAGCAATACTTGGCATTGAAATTATCTAAAGACCCCTGAAGTGAGAGAGATATCTTTTGCTTCTTCTAGTTTGGACAAGGAGCTATGCAAATATATGTCTATTGCTTTGGGAGGAAAGGTAACATCTTTTCAGAATGCAGGGCTGGGCTTTGTGGAAGTGTCTGCTGAAGAAAGCAGTAGCTCAGGCGTGTCTGCACAGCGTGCCATTACATCTGTTATGTGTATGAGTGAAGAAAACACTATAGTTAGTATAATTCCAACAGTTCTTCTCAGGGTATACCTGAGCATCTGGACTCTCTTTACATGTAACAAAACAGAGTATTAGCTGTTTTGAACCAACTCAAAGAGAACTTATAGATCTTGTCTCATTGTCATTTTAATTTTTAATGAATTCAGGAAAATAAACTCTCAGATATAGCCCTTGCATTGTGTTTGTGCTCTTAAGTTCTGGTATGCATTTGGCTGTGTTCTCTTGTACGTTTGGCTGCACCAAGCAATATTTTTCTGCATGTTTGCAAGCTCCTTGGCTCTTTTGTAATCACGTACATTCCTTTCTAAGCTTTTCTTCAAATATCAATCCATTTCTATGTCTGTGTTTATGTAGTTACCTTCAGTTTGACTTTCTGCAGGGGGATGTCTATGTAGGTATCGTCTGAGAATACTTGGGAAATGATATGTGAAGTAGTCTAAGATTGATTTGGTATGGTAAAAGCTTGAACGTTCACTGGAATAGCTTTAAGTAGATAAATAAGGCTTTTACTGAGTTTGATCTGTTTGCAGATTCACAGTTTTAGTTAGCTGTGGAGTATCTGATACTTTGGTGCATAAGTTACATCAAAATTCAACTTTTGATTTTGAACTCCAGGACATATATACTTTCTTCTAACTATTTTAGATGCTGCTTTTTTATTTATTTACTTTTTTCCCCTCCTATGTGCCATCAAAAAATTAAAAGTCATTTTAATTTGCTTTGAAGTGACCATACAGTAAAAATAACCTGGCAGACTCAATAATTTAGTATGCATGTCCTATTTTAATCTATTGTGTATAGAAGTTTAATTACTTTTGCTCATGCTCTTTTCTTTATTTTCCTTAATTTCTTTTGCATTGGTTTCAGTTGTTTGAGAGAGTTCAGGCCTCTCTCCTTGCTATTTTGAGTCGGCAATATAAGGTTCATTCTCAGCTGCTGAATTCTTGGATCATATGTGATATGCTGTAACAAGCTGGATCATATTGTCCCTGATAATCTCACTGAATTTTTGTCTTCCAATTTTTTATGAGTGTAAAACCTTGTAAAAGTCTTTAAAGTAAAATTTAGTCAGTCTCAAAGTTCTCTTGCCCTTCAGATGTAGTAATTTTAAATTTGGTGTATTTAAATTGATATATTTAGTATATATATATGCATTAAGTTGATTATTTAATATACATATATACATTTTAACATATATATTGTTGTCTCAAAATTCTCAGTGACGAACTGAGGGTTTGAGATCAATATGTTTTCAGTATGTAAGTCTGCAAAATTATTCACTGAAGTAATGCTTAGAGTATATACAGAGATTTGCAAAGTCAGAACACAAGTTTGGTGGTGTAAAAGCAGTTGTTTTCTTTTTAAAAATATGTAAACAAAGTAATCCATGTAATAGTCATTAGATTTTTACTTTATTACATAAATGTGTACATTCAATGAGAAATTAATGCTATTAGACATTTTCTACTGATTTGCTTTATTTAGATTTCACATTTTTCTTTGTTTAGAGCAACAAAAATTTGTGTGAGAGAATATAGTGCCTATGCTATGATGGTAATTTTGCACAGTACGTTTGGGCACATTTCTATTTTACAAATATTAGTATTTATTAACTTTAATAATGGAGTATTGCAGTGCTGTCCTTACTCTGTCTAAAAAGGCAGGAGTCCCTTTAGAGTACTTCCATCACTTTTTTCCTGGTATTTGAATGAGAAAGTTCCTCTTGCGCTAAAGGAAAACTGTGAATAAGAAATCCGAAGCTGCATATGTTCAAAATCAAAGCCTACCTTTATAATAAAAATATTTTAACTACAATGTACTTGTTGAATATACATTTGATGTTTTTAAAACATTACAAGAAAGAGAATTTTGGTAAAACTCTTAAAGAGTGACCTTCAATAAAACTGTGTACTAATGTGCTGTATTACTCTTGTTATTTTGGTTCTGCTTCATTATGTCAAATGGGCCTGATTATTGCTGAAAAAAATTAATAGTTTTAAATTCAAAGAGTTAATCATAATTTTGCATGACCATGCTTACATTAACTTTTGTTGAATTATACCTGTATTCTGTAACCTGCAAAGTCAATACCAAGGCCTAAAGTAAATTAAATATACATGCACAATTAAAGTAGATATATTTAAAGCAGTTGCTTTTTGTTTGGTTTTGCAGGTACTTGATGGTCTGGAAGGTATTGACAATTATCTTAAAATATTTAATTCAGAAGGCTTACATTTACCTATCTTGACAATGAAGTATGAAGAACTACAAGAAGCAATTAAAGGCTGCACAGCAACTGCCTTGCAGAAGGGAAAAACCTTACTTAATAAAGCAGATTCTCACAGGTATTCCCTCTATGTTTTCATATCTGCTGTATTTCTCCATATCTACCTGTTGCTTTATAACTTGACTAATTAGAATCAGACTGCAATTAAGAGCCAGTGTAGTAAACTAAGTAGTTGTGCACTTACATGACCTGAAACACAAAGTTTCTGACATACCTATTTGTTGGTATTTATACAAACCAATCTCTTTAACAAGAAATCCTTAGAAATGCTACATGCTACTTGTAAGAGTGCTGTCAAACAGTGGAATGGTATATTAGGGCAGTGTACAGAAACCATCATTTAGTTAACATTTTTTGAAAAGTAAATGCATGTAAATGAAAATTAAGACATCAGTGGCTATGAAAACTCCATGCTTCCCAATGTAATCCTTTTTGACCTTTTCAAAAGTCATCGTTCTAGTAATTATACTGTGATTTTTGCAAGACAAAAATACAGGTGTTAAGCCAAGTGTGGAAAATACTGATGTTTCTCCAGTTCTTAGTAGTTTTAATTATAGCGCTTTTATTTTCCAAAGCTTTTGTTAATGGCAGTGATAATGTACTCCACTGATATGATTTTTGCACTAATTCAAAGCATGACTTAGTTTAGAATCCTAGTCCTAGAGGCTTATTATCTCCTGCTTTTCAAGTCTTAGTAGGATTCTGGTGCAATAAGAATAAATACCCCTCATACTACTGAGTTCTATTTTAAAGACAGAGCTAATGAACATGGCTGATGGTTGGCTAGTTGTCAGCTTAGCTCTACCTTCCCATTACATGCTTATGTCCTTAATTGTCCCTGGTTTAGAATAGCTTTAGTTCAACACAGCAAGTGAAAGTCTAGAGAAAATTTTCATTTGATCACATGAACTTGCAAAAAATTTTGTCTAAACTGCTTTTATCTGTCACCCCAGATGTAATTGGCTTGAGCCTAGCAAAGGGACAACGTAGAAAATTGAAACAGTTGTTTTGAGAACATGTGCTTTACAGCTGGCTCTACAGCTTTTGTTACTGCTTCAGCATCTCCTTGTATTTTAATCAAATGGAAAGAAAAGGGATTTTCCTCAGTGATTCCTAAACCAGCCATAATTCCAGAACACATGCTGCTGTTCTCTAGGACTTGATGTTCTGCTAAACATTACTTCAGTAGAAGCAGATGTTGTGTTTCAAATTATGTCTGCATGGCATTAATTAATGTTAGGATTTCTGAAGAAATTTATAGAATGAATATCTAAAATAACAAGTCATTAATTTTCTTTCTACCCTATTAAGAATTAAAAAAATATTCAAATAGTCCAAATCAGAAGTGGGATAGTAAGATATCATCAACACACATCAAGAAGAATGGGATGAATTTATCAAAATAATGCTATCGGTCATTTCTGGTAAAATTCAGGAAAAACGGGTAGTGCAACAGGCAGACCTTCTGTGTGCCAAAGTGCTGCTCAAGATACTCTATAAGTAAATAATAGAAGGCAAGATTTCTTCCTAGAAAACATAATTTAAAAAACAGCAAAGCATTCACAGAATCCCAGAATCCCAAGGGTTGGAAGGGACCTCAAAAGGTCATCTAGTCCAACCCCCCTGCAAGAGCAGGGTATCCTAGAGTACATCACACAGGAACTTGTCCAGGCGGGCCTTGAATATCTCCAATGTAGGAGACTCCACAACCCCCCTGGGCAACCCGTTCCAGTGCTCTGTCACTCTCACAGTAAAGAAACTTTTCCTGATGTTCACATGGAACCTCCTATGCTCCAGTTTACACCCATTGCCCCTTGTCCTATCACTGGACATCACTGAAAAAAACCTAGCTCCATCATCCTGACATTCACCCTTTACATATTTGTAAACATTGATGAGGTCACCCCTCAGTCTCCTCTTCTCCAAGCTAAAGAGTCCCAGCTCCCTCAGCCTCTCCTCATAAGAGAGATGTTCCATTCCCTTAATCATCTTTGTGGCTCTGCACTAGACTCTTTCAAGCAGTTCCCTGTCCTTATTGAACTGAGGGGCCCAGAACTGGACACAATATTCCAGATGCGGCCTCACCAAGGCAGAGTAGAGGGAGAAGAGAACCTCTCTTGACCTACTAACCACACCCTTTCTAATGCACCCTAGGATGCCACTGGCCTTCTTGGCCGCAAGGGCACATTGCTGGCTCATGGTCATCCTCCTACCCACTTTCCCCTTCGCTACTGTCCAGCAGGTCAACCCCCAACCTGTACTGGTACATGGGGTTGTTCTTCCCCAGATGCAGGACTCTACACTTTCCCTTGTTGAATTTCATCAAGTTCCTCTCCGCCCAACTCTCCAGCCTGTCCAGGTCTCGCTGAATGGCAACACAGCCCTCTGGTGTGTCAGCCACTCCTCCCAGTTTAGTATCATCAGCGAACTTGCTGAGGGTACATTCAGTTCCCTCATCCAGGTCGTTGATGAAAATATTAAACAGCACTGGTCCCAGCACCGACCCCTGAGGGACTCCACTAGTCACAGACCTCCAGCTAGATTCTGCCCCATTGACCACAACTCTCTGCCTTCTTCCTTCCAACCAGTTCTTGATCCACCTCACTACCTGATCATCAAGCCCACACTTCCTTAGCTTATCTATGAGGATGCTGTGGGAGACAGTATCAAATGACTTACTGAAATCAAGAAAAACCACATCTACTGCTCTGCCGTCATCCAGACACCTAGTTACTTCCTCATAGAAGGCTATAAGGTTGGTCAAACATGACTTCCCCTTGGTAAAACCATGTTGGCTGCTCATTACAGCTGAAGCAGCAGGGATTTAAAGAAGGTGAAACTTAAAACAATGTCGATAGGAAGTCTCACTAGAAATGTGTTTTGCTGTTTTAAAGAACAGTGAAAAATCCCAGGATCTCAAATATTTTAAATGCCCACTTGCATCATAAAAGTGAATAAGTACCTTTCTAAGAAAGCAAACACAGAATATTATGGCTGTTCAGCTTTTCCCTGCTGCCTTCAGGCCTCATTGCCTGAATGTAATGAATTTGCCATATATTTCAATGAGTAGTGCTAGTACTTCTGTGCAGGTGAAACACTTTATATGCCTAAGCATGGGCTTGAGGATTACAGTCATGGAATAATTTAAACTGGCAAGAAACTCTGGAGGTAATTTGGTACAATCCTTTGCTCAAAGCCTGTCAGATTAGGTTGCTCAGGATAGAGATTCCATAGCATATCTGGGCAACCTGTGATAACGCTTGAACACTTGCCTTGTGAAACATGTTTTTCTTATATCTGGTCAAGATTTCTGTTGCTGCAACTTGTGAGCATTGCCTCGGCCTTCTGCTGTTCACCATTGAAAATACTCTGATCTTGTCTTTTGTATAACCACACATCATAAATAAAGACAGCAGTTAAGACAACCTCTTCACCTCTGTTAGCATCCCTTTGTACATAATGTGCTCCAACCTCCAGCTGTCTTAGTGGCCTCTGATCAATTCATTTTAGCTTGTCCCTCTGTCTTATGCTTTGGGGACCCAGATTAGGCAAACTGGCCTCCAGATGCAGTTTCAGAAGCTCTTAACTGAGGGCAGTAACCTGCTGGCTAGTCTCTTCCAGATGCAATTTAGCATGGGGCTAGTCCTCAGTGCTACAAGGAGGATCCTGACTCTTTTTGTATACCATGATAAGTCTAAGTTTTGGGTTTTTTTTGCATAACATATGGCTTTAGGAGATACCCGGGATGCCCCCAGCCAGTGTATAAACCTAGTAAAGGTGACACAGTGAGTTCTCAGCAAATGTGGTAAAAGGTTATGTACAAGAATATTAATTTCTGCCAGAAACGTTAATGCATTGAAGGAGGAAAAAGTGATGCCTCTCTGTCATGTATAAACCTCTGTGTTATCTGTAAATGCTGGCCAGTATTTAGCCCAGTGATTAAACCACAAGGGACAGTAAGATTTGCATGAACAGCTTGAGGGGCAGAGTAAGATTTGGACAGAAAACAGAATTCTTATCAGGACAATCTCAATTAATATTTTGTTCCTCTTATTTCACAATTCATTGGTAGTCTTAACTGCTGTTACAGGCTTTCCATTTCCTTTATCTAACTAAACTGGAAATCCTAAGGGAAATTTGAAGTCACCATTTGAAGGCAGTAAAGGATGTGGATCTAAAAAAGTTTAGGTATCTTTTCAAAAAAGCTGCTTTGTTCTGACAGACGAAAAGGTATAACCTGACCAGTATAACCTCCAGTTTTTCAGGCAATATATTTATTAATAAAAAAAGAAGGAATCATCTGACCTTGCTTAGGTTGGGTGACTCTTTGTTAACTTTGATGAGATGAAGCCCTCAATTGCATTGGATCTTCTGAATGACGATACTGGAAAATGCATTTTTTAATGCGCTATCAAAGTGGCTACCTTGTGTAATATTGGTTTAAATGCACCTAGAGATGATAGAGTACTTGAGTATTAAGAGAATTAAAATGTAGATGGATTTCTGTATCCACATTGTTTTGTTATTTTTATTTTTAGAATTCTGAAAAATAAGCCAGGCAGTTTGTATGCGTATGATAAGACTGTAGTGGTTTATGATTTATAAATCTAACACTGATTCCCTCAGGCTGAGCGAGGACTATGTTTAAGGCTAATCACACTGACTTCAGCAGCATTATTCAAATACAACTCACAGTAAAACCAGAGAAATATGATAATTCTGTCCTACTTTCAAATCATCATGAGGCATGTAGCAGCCTTATACAAAAAGATAATCCAAATAAATGAAAATGCTCACACTGGAACAGGAATATAGAAAAGTGACAGAAGGCAGCTCTTTCTCGTAATCCTAAAGTGTTTCAAAAATAAAGTATTGGTAAGTCTGATTTTTGAGCAATAATTTTTAAATTAAAACCAGCTAGAAAAACAGGAGGAGCAAATATACATTAATTCTAAGAAAAAAAAATATAAAAATTTTTTTCATTTGTTCATTTAGAGAACCTTTATTACTTTGCCAGCCAATTAGCTTGCCCATGACTGTAAGAACTGTCTGTATTTTACTTCTGATAAAATCTATTGTGTTAACTCATAACAAACTAATGTTACTTTCAAAGATTTTATTGAGATCTAAATTGTCATTCTCAAGACCTATAAATCTTGCTCTCTTATTGCTTTTTTAAAAGGATTGGTGCTAGTACATGTTTTTAAACAGATTTCTTTTTAAGGAGTACTCAAATAGAGGACTGATATTTTTAGAGTTAAAGGATAAAGCACAAACTAAGAGACTGCTAGTTTTTGAAAGAGTAATTTGGAAAATTTGAAACCACTTACTCCCTGAAAAGGACTTAAAAGGCCTTAATATTTGGAATTTTTATGACCAAATTCAGATCAAATTCAAACAGAATGGCCTATTAATGCCATAATACCTTTTAATAGTGTAGAATAAAGCTTTTCTTTGAGGCTGCATAGTTTAACTCTCTGAGCCTTGCCTGAAGTGAGGACAAAATTTCCTTTAATTTTACAGGGCAGAGAAGGAAACCTTCAATAAGTACCTGTATTAACATAAGTTTCTGATGAACCTGCAGTAATAAAAATTTTATTTTGAATTGGTTGTCTTACGAAAGTTCTTACAATTAATAAATTTCCATAGAAAATCAATGGATATGTGGGTTTCTTCTTTTTTTTTTCTTTTTTTTTAACACAAAAATTTCAGATCCTAATTCTGTGCAGTAACTTCTTTACAATTTGAAGAGGACTCAAGTATTCAGATTGTGAATAGTTTCCCTGATATTAGATGTTTTAAGTTATAAGACAGGTCTTTGTTTTGTAAATTTATGTTGTCTTTTACCCTGTTAAAACAAAATCTTTGGAAATGTTGACTTAGAACCTATAGACATTCCTTTTTTTCAGCTACTGTAAAAATATTGGAATATCTGAAAGTCCAAAGAAAGTATTCTTTTTAAAGTAGAAGTGATATGCTATATATTTTATGTCTTTTTAGGTTGTTACATTTGTGGTTTTAGTCTTTAAATAGTTTAACTAAAGGTAGAATTATTTATTAAATGAGGTATTTCTCAGTGAATCAGGATATCTGGCACACAAATCTAATGTATGCATTGGCGATAAATTACTTGTTTGGAAATGTCTTTCATGTGTTCTACTCATTATTAATTTTATTTGAATTAATTTTGGTATTTCTCTTGGTTGTTTTTTTTTTTTTTAAGGCTCGTGGTCTAAAATTCGTAAGTTACTTGCCACACAAGTCAGGGAGGAAGGTGTTGTTCTTAATCATTATCATCCTGATTGTTGAGCAAAGCTGAGAAATAACAACAGTTCTAATTTTCCATTTTAGCTCCTGGGTGACAGGAATTCAGAAAATGATGGAATATGTTAAAGAAAAAGTAGATCAATTGATCAAGCAGGGTCCAGATTATAAAGAACTTACTTTGGAGAAACAACAATGGACTGCCTCTCTTGAAGATCATCTAAATAAGGTACATCATAACATGTCATCTTCTTAATGTATTCATGAACAGTATATTGTATTTCTGTAATTTAGCTATGTGAATTTTAAAGTTAACTCAAATAAGTACAAATAACGTACTAGTTTGTTAGAGAGCCCACACTTGTAGTTAGAATTCTGAATGCTGTTATCAGCATGAAAAAGCTTAAAGCTGTTCCAAAAAATACAGCTGTGCCTGTGAGAATGCCTTACCAGGGATTTTCAATAAAACATGGTTTTGCTTAGAAAATGAGATATTATAATTTTTAATTTTGGAAAAGAAGTGAGCAATCAGGACAGTGACCTTCATGCAGGTTTCCTACATCATTTCTGTGACTTCTTTTTCATTTGGTAGTAGATAAAAATAGAAGTGTGGCAAAATTGAGGGTTAATAAGCATGGTGGCTGTGAACCACAGCAAATTTTCAGTAAGGCTGAAGGAGAGTAGATTCTATTCACTATAAAAATTCCCATAATTCATTAAGATACTGATGCATCAAGGACATCAGAGCTTTCTTTAAGATGTTGAATTTTCGATAGTAGTGCAGAACTTTTCAATAACTCATCAGAGCTGGATTAGACACTACACAAGTTTCCATATATAAATTAAAATTTAAAATTATAATCTTTTATCAAGATTCATATGAAGAAAATCCCAGATCATAGACCAAAAACGTAAATGAATTTAATGACTGAATAATTAAGTCTGCAATCAGATATTTTATAATACTAAAAATGTAGACCCAATTTTGGCATATGATTTCATTCTGCAGTTTGCTCTAATCAATTTCTTCCCAGTCTTGCATTAGGGAAGACTTTGAAGATTTGAGTCATAATGCATGATCATTCATTACAGTGAACAACACTTACTGTTATATTCCTACCAAGCAAAAAAACTTTTTCTCCAATTTCATGCAAAGTGTCACAAAAAATTTGTTCCTAAATTCAACTGCCCTTGAGCATTATTTAATAAAATTTGAACCTCAGCAGCCACTTCTTAGAATAGATGTTACATGTGAATTGGCACGTCTGATAATAACTATGCATCCTGTGTCTGCCTGTGCCTCTTCATAAGGTGATTTGTTATCACCACGCATATATAACATTTTACAGTGACAATGAAATGGAGTTGTGTATATGTATCAGCATAAAAATTGGCCTCTTAACTTGACAGAGAACCTTTAAATGTACTTTCTGTGAAAACAAACAACAAAAACCCCACACATAAACAAACAAAAGCCCAAACAGGAAGACAGAGCATAATAGGAGTTTTTCTGCCGAGTAATATCTAGGTTTTAATGCAGTTGTGCCTTACTGAAACAATAAGCCTGGGATAATTTGATAATGGAAAGCACAGTCAACTAAATGGGAGCAAACAGGAGGATTTTTTTTCCTAAATTCTACCATACCTGTTAGAATTTTCTTAGGAGAAATAGTAGAACTTTCTTCCTTTATATTTTCATTCCTGGATTACATAATTATCTAAAAATCAAAAATACAAATTCCAGAGTACATAATCTAAACACCAACAGACAAATGTTACTTCATTTTTTTCTATTCTATTCTAAAGTCATGTTTTATACTGTTGTTATACTGGCTATTTGTATAAATTAACTATATAAATAATACTTTCAAATAAAGGTATCACAGTCGATTAAAAAAATCACCCCAATGCTTGCAGTTGGTATGGAGATTGGCTCATATCTGTCTGAATCGGAAAGGGTTTTGGAGAAGCACCTTGAACTGGCTGAACAAATGAAGGTAAAATAAAAAATAAGAGAAAAGAAACTTTATTAACCTTAAGTACTATTAGAAGGAAATAAATGTCTTCCGTAAGTCTAAATAAGGTGAGAGGCTGAGAGGTTCTAGTGTATTCTTGGAAAGGAAATAGGTTTATAGTTTAGTTTTAAACTGTAGTTAGTGAACAAAACCACAGGTAACTTTACAAGGCAGTACTTCTGATATCATTGGTTATCCCCTTTGTCTCTATCTCATAGTGTTATTTGTTACTACCTCAAGATCCCGGTATCAGCCCTTGATAGGAAGACTCTTCAGATATGGTTTTCTACTCCTACGTGAGGCACTAAGTTTAAAAATTATCTAGACAGTCAGAGGCATAGAAAACTTTTCTTTCGGTTTATTATGGTGAATAAAAAGGATGAATCAGCAAAAGGGAAAAAATATATTTCAGGTGAAGAAACTCTGAAGGGGGCTCTAAAGTTGCCATTAGATACTCATTGGTCATGTTGGGAATGCAACCATGGTATGAAAGCACGGCAGCACCCAGCTCTGTAACACAGCTGAAATTATATTTAAGTCACATCCAGGCCCTTTCCAACTCTGGTAGCATTACTGCGGTATCTAAAAGTGGCTTAGAACCAGCTGAATCCTCTTCGTGATCTTGACACACATGGTTATCCTATATTTGAGAAGTTCTTAAAACACAATTACTCATATGGAGTTCTTTTTTGTTTCAGGCAGGAGTTTATGAAATCCAAGACCTGGTTCTACACAGAGTGCAAATAACTCTGTAACAGATTTTTGTGTCTCTTCTGACAAATATTTGCATGCCAGTGTGTTTGGTTTTTTTTCTTCTATTTGTGGAAGTGTACAATCTACCCTGACAATAAAAATATCTCCTACCTATTCTTTCTGTGGAATGTGATATGCCAGAGTTTGCACTCCAGGCTAAATGCCAGAGATAGGTATGCTAAGTGGTATTGAGTTAAATATATAAAAGTAGATAAGCTCATAGACATAGATATATATGAAGCTCTGAATTAAGACAGTGAATCTGAAAATCAGAATCCTAGCCAAATCATGAGAAATGTCAGCTCTTAATATACTGTGACTTTCTTCTGTAACAGATGATGCAGGAGAAGATATGACCCAGTATTTGGTCTCTATTTTATTTTTGCAGATTTTCTGCATGCAAATACATTGATTTCGGCTGGAATATGCAGCTTGATGGGTAGGGACTAGTCTGATATTAGGAAGCAATTCTTGATTGAAGAATGAAGGCATGAGTAGAACTACGATTCATAAGGCCAAGTGCTATAAGAACAGGCCTTAAAACAATTACAGCAGTAGCCTTATGGTGAGCGAGTGCTTCTGGGTCTCACTCTAGAGTGGACACTGAGTTTTTCTGTGAGAACTGAGTATCAGGAAAACATTTAAGATGGATTTGAACTCAAGGGAATGATTTCAGAAAATTGGGCTATACTGTTCATTAAGGGAATAGTTCAGTTCTGGCTGTTTATGTTTCTGTATGGAATGCTTCTGTGTAACTGTGAGAAGGGATTTACTTAATCTGAATACTAAGACTCCTACTTTTTTTTTGTTTCATTCAAAATAACTATTTTAATAACTACATCCAAAGTTGTAATGAAAATATGGTTATTTTAAGCACATAACATTTAATTGATTTATAAGAAAGCAATACTAGTAAAAATTAACAATGTGGTATCAGTATTCACAAATTCTTTTCAGGATCATACCTACTGTTATATGTTTCTGCCTTCAAAGGAAACATCACATGAACTGGAAGCAGCCGAGAGAATCATCGAAGATATGGAAGAGTTTGAACCTGAGCAGGTGGCAGCTTTTTCTAGCAGAGCTGACTTTCTAAATGAAGAACTGAAAAAAATTGAAAAAAGTATTAGTTCAAGACTAGAAATTCTAGAAACCTACGTGTCCTTTCTAAAGCTGACTATGGAGGTACAGGTTACTTATTCTCTGACTAGACTGTGAAAATACTGCAACTGAAAATGTGCTTTTAGCTAAATCCAGTAGACAATGTGCCACAGAAGCACTGCAAGTCTTTATAAGTTCCTTTTTACCTTAAAGGAGATCAGCTCCATCAGGGCAAGCAGCCCTCATCATTGAACTTGCATCAACCTAATGACTAGTTTATGTACAGGTTTTCAACTGTTTTAAATTGTCATTGTAGAAAGTATTATAATTGAATTTTTTACTTTCTCCTGCACACATGTCCTCTCTCGTTATATATGCAATAAAAATGCTTATGTGTATGTGCTCTCACCTAAATGTACTGATTTTGCTTCATATAGTTTTAAAAATATTTCATATCATATGTTGCTGTAGACATTTATCATATGTTGATATAATTTTTTTCTGCTGTCTTGCACTACTTCCAATGAAGTACCTAGTCCTCTGAAGGGGTTTTAAATTAAATATATATATATATATGTATATATATATATACACACACTGGTTTATAATATTGACGCATTGATATGTGACAGAAACGGAACAATTGCTGCCACCTGTCTGTTCGCCGTCCACTAATTTACAGGTTATTTAAAACTTTTTTCCTATTTCATATTTGTGTAGATTTTTTTAGGGAGGATAATAGATCTTAAAACCTGGAAAAAATTGAGAAGCTTTTAATCAGTTTTGCTATGCCTACATGCTTTCTGATTATAGCAGCTCAATTTATTTTTATTCTGTATTTTTCTGTAGATAAATGATGATATTCAAACTCTGAAGGAATTCTATAAATTAGAACCATCACAAACAAACAAGGAGGCTGAAAATAAAATTGCAATGGAGACAGCTAACAGTCAGTGGGAAAAGACTATAAAAAAGATTTTTTCCATCCAAGACATGGGTTGCAGGTTTCTTAATTTAATAAAAATGGTGAGTATAATCTGATAAAACTGCATTGAATATTTGATGTTTGCCTGTGATGAGGTCTAATCCTAGTTCTGACTGATGGATTGTGATTTCTCCAGTACCTAGTTTTAAAGGGACTAATGCTGCTATACATATTTAAAATACGGAAGTATTATTTGAGTGCTAATGGCATTATAAGTAACATAAAAAGTTTTGTGCTTAACAATGACAGAGCCCTTAATAAATGATCCAGTACATGCCTACAGATATAATACATACTTATCTGGGTTTTTTTTTCATGTTGGAAAACAGCATATATGCAAGTACATATTAATTTTATTTTACTTCCATTAGCAGGCAATCTTTACTAATTGAGTGTACGAGGTTCTAAAGAGATGGATGCTAGAGCTACTTCCTTACAGATAATCTTTCCTAGTGTCTTTACATTCTGTCTTGAGTTCAGATGTACTATCTAGGCATCCCTATCTAATTTTCCAGCACTTCTTCATGAGATAATCATTTGAGATGTGCAGTCATTCCCTAAGTCACTCCTCCTAAAGCGATCCCAGTTAACGTAGACAGCCTGGACACCCAGCTGTTCTTTCTGTTTTTATAAGACTGACTTGGGAGCAGTTACATTAGAGTGAGGAGGAGGGGATGGTGTTGGCAACATACAGCAGCATGCAAGATGAACTGGAAAAACCTACTCTAAGGAGGGAAAGTGCCTGGCAGCTAGTGTAAGCTAAATTGTGTGCTATCACAGCTGGGTACAGCCAGGTACAGATGAGATAGTCAGTGTAAAGGCAAGCTGAATATGTGTGAAGATGAGGTTGCACTGCAGTCACTTGAAGTCTTAACATACCTTCGGATATTATCTCTAAGGATCTGTGCTGCCACCATGTTTTGTGCTACTCTGTTCCCATTATATTCTCAGATTGTAGCTTTTAAATGTCTGGAAGATACACGTCATACAAGTAATTTATGAACACTTATTTAAAAGAAAAGTTCTGAAATCTGGAAAGCAGAAACAGCATTACCTAGTTTTTTGAGATTTCTGATATGGGCTCTGTTAAAAAGAGGAAAAAACGCTGAATATTCAAATGCTAAATACTTTATTCCTCCCATGCTTCAGTGCTGCTTCATCTGTCAGCAGAAAGGAGTGCTCTTTTCTTCATTCACTTCAGTTTCAGTTGCAATTGCCCAAAAGGCCATTTTGGGTAGTTTTGTCTATTCGGAAATCATTTTGTATGAGAGTTGGAGTCATCAGATGGCAAAAATTCAGTCATTACTTACCTGTTTTGTTTTTAACTTTAACATCAGCCACGTCCTCAATAGAGAAATTCTGTTGATCTATGCTTATTTCTAAGAGAAAAGTGTTTTTAAAGGCACCCAGCGTACCAGAAATTTTTGAAGAATCTACTTTAGAATAGATTTTTATTAAGCGTTTTTGAGACTATAAAATTATGAAGTTTTAATTGCATTTTATAAAAACATTTGTGGAAAAAAATGTGTCTGTTTATTTGCCAGGTAAATAAGAGTTTAATATTAAAAGTAGAAAAATCTGTACGAGTAACAGAAGATGTCATTGTTAATCTGAGTAAAGAAAAGAAAGAACTGACTGATCTTTGGGCAATCTGGAATTTTAAAATTACTCAAGTAAAACCCATCAAGCAACAGCACCAGATATTTAAAGAGCAGCTGAAAACTGTAAGTAGATTGACTAGAAAGAAAGCAAATGTGGCAAACATTTATTCATGGTTATTAGTTTGTCTGTGACTGTCTCATCAATTATTATATCTGTCATGTGAGAAATAGATGATTAGTAAGCTACAAGTCCCCACTTCAAATCTGAAATTTTAATCAAATCCTCATACTATACCAGCAGTGCTTTAGGGTTTTTTAGCTTTGTTGGGGGTTTGTTTTGTTTTTAAAAAGCACATTTTCATTGTGACTTAAGAGTTACTAAACTAAATTGTCTCTTAATAGTTACTAAACTCAAATCCAACCATGTTCATAACAAAAGAAGACTGAAATCTCCTTGGCACAGGGATGTTGTGCCATGCTCCTGAAAGCAACACTAGCTAGGCTAGGACCAGATATTTGTTGCTGCTGTTTGTCTTGTGCTACTTATCACTAAACTACGACATCTTCTATTACAGAAAATATGTGTGTATGGGTACTCTGACCTTGGTGTCTGACCATTTTTGCACACTATCTTGAAGATTTCCTATAGGATTTGAGGTTTTACTGACAACATTTGTGTGCTCTGGGAAGGGGTCTTGTTACAAATTTAGATTTTAATTTTTTTTTTTTTTATTTTTTTCTTCACTATACTATAGATGGAGACACTGAACTGTTTTATTATCTTTTAGACTACCCATGGATTAGAGATTCTTCAAGAGGCACTTCAGCTTGCAGTAACAGTTGACCTTGGAAATGACCCTTTTATTGTTTTGGAACTACAAAAAAAGCTTCACCAAATGAAACCACAGCATCAGGTGAAAAACTAAGCTAGTGAAGTGCATGGTAGACCAAAATCTCTTTTTGGCACAGTAAAGATTCACAGTGACCCCAGACAGAGTTTCTGGGGCTGCAGTGTTTGATGTTTTATGTTACTTTTCCAGGAGGAAGGATTTGCATGTGTTTGTAAGGTAAGAAAGAAAGACATTTTACCTTTAGTATCCAGAGAACATCTGGTGCAGTGTTAGCTGCGTATTAAAGTGACACACAAGCATTGGAGTGGTAGAAGTACAAGGAGAGTATCAGCTTCACATTTTTGAGTTAGAGCTGGTTAGAGGCTGAGGTAAGTCATACTGAACTTCATAACACCTCTGAGTGTCGTGGTTTAAACCCAGTCAGGTAATTCATTCGCTCACTTCCCCCCCTCCTTTCTTGCCCTCCCCCTGCTCTCGGAGGGACGGAGAGGAGAATCGAAAAGAATGCAACTCCCACGGGTTGAGATAAGAACAGTTTAGTAACTAAGGTATAACACAAATCACTACTGCTACCACCAATGATAATAATGATAAAGGAAATAACAAGGGAAGAGAATACAACACCTCACCACCCGCTGACCGATAACTCGCTCCCCAGGCCCGACCAAGCTCCGACCGATACCTCCTCCAACCCTGCAGTCTCCCAGCCCTTCCAGCTAACTCCCAGTTACATCCTGGGCATGACGTGCTGTGGTATGGAATACCTCTTTGGCTAGCTTGGGTCAGGTGTCCTGTCTCTGCTTCCTCCTGGCTTCCCCTCCCCCCTGGCAGAGCATGAGGCTCACAAAGTCCTTGGCCAAACCAAAACATTGTTATCAGCTCTGTTCCCGAGCTGAAAGTCAAAACACTGCGCTACACCAGCTACCAAGAAGGAGAAAAATGACTGCTACTGCTGAACCCAGGACACTGAGTTTCACCAATTCAGTTTGCAGTTTCCCTACATGTCAGTTTTACGTGTTTTGATTCAAGGTTGTTTCTGAGCGATAGCTAGCTGAGATTCACACCTTGCAAAAAGTAAAGTTTGTGGAGGATGTTTTAAAGAGCATGGCACTGATTTTTCCCAAGGTAATTTACTGTTATTAGATTGTTATTTCATCAAATTGTAAGGTAAAACTTGCAAATATATTTGTGTAAATATTTTGTTGCAAATATATTTGTATGCTGTAACTTTTTTCTTTGTACTTTTTTTTTTTCTAGCAACTGAATGCTGAGCTTGAGTACCTGACAAAATTATTAGAATTGCCAAGTCAGAAAGGATTTCCTGTGAAAGAGAATTCTGAGAGAATAAGTGAGCTTATTCATTTCCATCAAACTCTAAAGGACACCATGACAGAATATGAAGAGATTTTCAACAAGACAGTCAAGTTCCATCACATTAAAAAAGAAGTGAGTATAATCTTTTAAAATACATTTTCTTCTCATTACAGTTAAACTCTTCCTGGTTTTGGTGCCTGTCATCTTATTTTTTTTTCCCAAGCAAACAGCGTTAACCTGCCTGGTGATCAGAATTAAAATTTTGGGTCTAAAATTGCATGAAATTTGGAGTATTTAAAACTCAGATATGAACCCAAATTTAGTTACTTCAACCCATGTCAACAAATTTAGGGTAGCATGTTTAGGTAAGGAGGGAGTTGTAAGCCTCCTTTCACATTATTTTAAACACACAGTGGTTTTAATATATTCCAGCTGGAATGTCTATCAAAATTAGGAGAACTGGATGTTCCTGAAACATGTGAGGCCCCTGAAAATGTGCATCATGCTAAAGCCTGCCTTGTGAATGCTCAGGAGAAACATGCACAGATCAGACAGCTATACAAACTACTTATTACCCAGGGAGTGGATATCCTGTCTGCAGTGCAGCAACCTGTGAGTAGAATTATAATTATATTCATAACTATTTATTATTTATATTATGCTATATATATTTATATTATATACATATTATATGTATCTATATTATATTATAAATATATTATAATATTTATTTTTATATGTTTATAATTATAATTATGAAATCAAGGACAAATCTGAAAGAATATTGAAACTATCTGGATGAATTTTAGATGCACAAAATATACTAAAACTCTGAGAAAGTAAATACAGAGGTTCAAGATGCCTTTTAAAAAGCTCAAAATATAAAACGTAAGACAGCTGGATTTTTTAATTTCTACTTTGAGTTTGCAGATATATAGTCATTAAATGAAACATCCAGGAATGATGAAACTTATTCTTCAGTAGTTACTCACATTATAAATTTCTTTTACAAAGAGAAGAGTAATTTATTTGTAATCTTGCTTTAACTTTTTAATGGTCTGTGAACATATTTTACCCTGGAAAGTTGAAATAGATTTGATACAGGGAGGAAATTAATCTTAAAATAGCATTGCTTGGAAGCAAAATAGCATGACTTTCTGTTCTCTAGTATTCGTTGTGCAGTTCAAGCCCCTCTTAGTGATTTCTTCAATGTCACATTTATGTATTAGACTTGTGCTACTTTGTAAATTTTGCTTTGCATAGATATTCTCCTATAAAGAAAGAATAACAAAAGAACAAAACAGAAATATAATCTACCTATTAGTGGATTCAAGACTGATTTGCATGGCAAGATGTGTATCGCTTTAGAAAGGAGTTAGTTATTCAGAGCAAGACTGTCATTGCTCTGTATTTGTTTACTAGGGAGAAAGCAAGACATTCCCTTATGACCTGCCTAGGTTATTGACATCAGCAGTGTGCTCTTCAGACACCATGAACTGATTGACAGCAGAAAGGAGCTAATCTCCAGGTGCTAAAGGACTGGAGTAAGCTACTTCCTCTTTGCTCAGAGAAGACACCATATGGGAGTTGTGACTTTGACCCAAAACTACTCATCATACTACTACTGATTTAAACTGCTACGTAATTGCTCTCCCTACAGTGGAGGTTTAATGGTTTAGCCCTTTATGACTGATATCACTAAGGGATGTTCTGCTTCAAAATTATTTTAATATTAATTTGGTTTAATTGATGCATTTCCTGAATTTCATAAGTTTCTTTGTCTATTCCCTGTGTAGAATTGCTTGAATGTTTCTGTAAAGAATCTGAAGCAAGAACTTGCTAGATTTGAGTGTGATAGCATTGACTGGCGCTCCAAAGCTGATAAGTATGAGGAAGAGCTCTCAAAGCAGTTCCAGCACTGCACCACTCAAGAAGAGATAAATGAGGTAAACAAGGTGAATTTCAACACATTAAATGAATGCTAGAAGGGCTGTTGTATTCTGTAATACATGTGTTCTGTAATCCTGTTTATCATTCCCCTGAATCATAGAATCATAGAATCGCAGAATAGTTAGGGTTGGAAAGGACCTTAAGATCATCTAGCTCCAACCCCCCTGCCATGGGCAGGGACACCTCACACTAAACCTTATCACTCAAGGCCTCGTCCAGCCTGGTCTTGAACACTGCCAGGGATGGAGCATTCACAACCTCCCTGGACAACCCATTCCAGTGCCTCACCACCCTAATAGGAAAGAATTTCCTCCTTATATCCAATCTACGCTTCCCCTGTTTTAGTTTTAACTCATTACCCCTTGTCCTATCACTACAGTCCCTAACGAAGAGTCCCTCTCCAGCATCCCTATAGGCCCCCTTCAGATACTGGAAGGCTGCTTCACGCAGCCTTCTCTTCTCCAGGCTGAACGTTTCATATGTATACAGAAAAGTTGATTTTCATTTTACCAGGAACCTTGGATACGCACAGAATAATATGACGCGTATCTGTGATCTGATATATATATGATATATCTATATGATGTATATCTATGATAGGATATATATATCAAATCTATGATATATATATATATACATATATATATCACAATCTAAATAATCTATGGTCCTTACCTTTGCAGTTCAGGATTATATAAAGTTGTTGGGTGGGCAATAAAGTGCTTCCAGTGTACCACAAGAAACAGAACAGCAGCATTTTCTTTGACTTTCAGCTCTCAAAGTTTCCTTTGAAATACAAGAGTCTTCAGTTTTCTTTCTTACAAAGCTAAAGTTTCAAACAAATGTAGTATTTACATATATTGCAGTTGTAAAGCTACTAGAACTTTCAGTCTTTTAATGAAAAATTTAAAATAATTTCATACTTAACATTTCTTCAGAAACCCAAGAAATGATACTTTAAAACCTGCTAGAACAAAAGGAAATGTTCTTTAGCACAAGACAGTAGAAATTAGTATTATGTAACTTATGTTAAAAAAATTAGTTAATATGGTTATTAACATAGCATCTTAGTAAGACAAATACAAATTTATTCACAATTTATCAGGTTGGACTGGGTAGGTCTCAGCAAAATTAATTTAGGAAAAATATTCCATAGAATTTTCTTAGAGTGATCCATTAAAATAAGAGGCTGATGGCCTTTACACTTAATGTGCTGTAGATTGTACTTCTGAGCATCCATGAAATACAGAAACTGGATTCTTACCTGGGAGAATATCACACTAATGCTCCCTGTAGTGTGAAACATAGTGGAAACAGAACCCTGAAATTTATGATTTCTTATTTTATCTTTCACGAAGTAAATCCACACCTGAAAAAAATACTGCATTTTCTTTAAATCATCAAAGTATAGAGCTGACTGAGAATTTTATCCCTCCTATTTTTAATGAGGAAACTGTTATTTGGATTTTCTTTTCTTTTACAACATATTTTTGTGTGTTCGTGAAAAGTATCCACCTTCTGTCTCTGTCAAGTTTAAAGGAAAAGTGTGGTAGTGACATGTCTTACGCCATGTCATATAATGCAAAATGTAATGCATTAGGTTCTCATAGTTAATGGACTCTGCAAAGTATTTGCATAAAATATTTTAAATTACAATGATAATTACTGAGGCTTTTTTCGTCACTGTATGTTGGGAAAGCCATGTTGCCTGCTTAAGTTAAAACCTGTCATCCCCAATCCTAATTGAAGCTTCAATGTCAACTAACTGAAATATAGAAATCTGGTGTGTGGATACATTTTTCTTAGAATAGAAGGTATTTCCTAAAGAAATACTTGACTAATATACCTGTATATGCATTAATTCACTGCCATTTTTCTTCTTCTCTTTTTGTTTTTTATTTGTTTTGGGTTTTGCTTTTTGGTTTTGGGGTTTTTTTATTTGGTTGGTTGGTTGGTTTGGTTTTTGGGTTGTTTTCTTCCTTTTTTTTTTTCCCATTAAGTATTTGTAACTAATTCTGTTTAAGGATCAAGAAACCAGACCCTGAACTACTTCAAGATTGTTCACTTCAGCATTTTAAATTGTTACTTTTAACATCAGAAATTTGTTCCAGCATTAGTAGTATCTAGCTGACCTGTCAAACATAATAGATGGTAAAGGAATAGTTATTTCAAAGTAAATAAATATTTCATGTGCGAGGAGCAAGAAGCAGCTGTTCATAGCTGTCACATACTAAACAGACGTCCGACAATTTAGTTGTGATTTACCAGTGTACAAAGCAAACATTAAAGTTGACTGAAAATGTTTGGGATTCTCCTGTAAGCACTTTAATTAATTTACATTTAATGTGGTGGATCAACCATGTAAATAAAGCATGTAAACAAGGGCTTTGTTGTTTGGGACTTACTGGTGTTTGGGAATATCATACTTGGAGGAGCTGGCTAGCTCCCTGTGTTTGTAACATATCAGTGCTTCTGCAAAAATCAAGAAAACATGTACTTAAATTTATAGCCAAGAATATATAAAATGAGTTTTGGAGGACAGAAGAGTAAAATGTGTGCCTTTTCTGTGCCTTCTCCTGTTTAAATTTAAAAATGGATTTATGCCTTGCACATCTTTGAAACCTATAACAAAAGCTCATGTGACCTTTGGGATCTTTGTATGCCAGTTTGGGCTTTCTGCTTTAATGACTAGCTGAAGTAGCAGCCTCCAAAGAGCTGTAACTTCACTGCATTACACCGCAACCATTTGTGACAGACATGAGCCAAGCCTCAGTTTAACCATAGCTTTATACTACACTGAATCTGTTCATGGGGTTATAAGTGACACATAAGATAACCTTTGCAATGAAAAAGCCTTTTCTTTAGGTGATCACTTTGGAAATAACATTTATGCATGTCTGCACAAAACTTGCAACAGAAGAGTAATATCCTGAAGTAGGTTCTCAGCTCCCTGCAGTTATCTCACTTCTTTCCTCTTCATCATATCATGGTTTATACATTTATGGAAAGGTATGATTCAAAATGTGGATTTTAATCAAAGACAGTAATGAGCTACCTCTGTACACAAGTAAGTAGGAACTGATACTTAGCACGTTTATCACCTTGTAATTTATTTTGATTGCGGTCCCAGAATTAAATGCCTTTTCTTTCTTCCCACTTTCTGGATGGCTGTTCTTTAATTTTTGCCACTTTAAAAACCTATATTCAGCAACCTGCTCTCATGGGCTGTTTTGATTGCTAGTGCTACTAAATGTTTAATGTATGAATAAAAAGAGAAAGGTAAGTGGCTAACAACATTGAAGTGCCTTCCTAGGGTGGCTTGCACAGGAATTCAAAATGTTTTACTGGAACTCTACTGTAAAAAAGATTAAATGTTTAACACAGCTTTATAACTTGCTTTTTCCATGTATTTTGCAGTTTTGTGATAAATGGGAGCAATTGGCACCTAAACCCCTCTCCTCTACTATCATTCTCTATCTATGACAGGCCAGCTATAGTTAGGAACAGCTGCCTGATTTATGGCTATGACACAATGGACAAGTTAAAGTTCCACTAAACTTGTGGGCTGAAGTCACTGAAGCATATTAGGGTTTATAGTTCCTTTAGTATTTCTCATTTAATTTTGTGGAAAATAGTGGGAAACTGAGTTACATTTGGATTTCTAAAAATTGGCAGCTCTGTATCATATTTGGCACGATTGTTGATGATACAGGAATTGTGTACATGCACTCTGACGGGGTAATGTACAAGTCTGAGCTGAATATGGTTTTTCCACTGGGGCTAAGAGAGATGAGTGACAGCAGCTGCAGACCTTTGACACATGAGATATCATATCTGAAACAAGGTGATCTGATTTCACATACTGCTAGGAGGAGAGCCTCTGGCCTTATAAACGATCAGTAACCTATATATGTGCATAAGCCAGTGAAATGAGCTAAAATAAACTCTTGCTTATTGCTGCTTTTCCTCAAAATTAACCAGCAAATAAGGCTCTTGTGTTCTGAATACAAAACATTGTTCTGCAGAGTAGATTTTATTAACAGAGGGGGTTTAGATAGATTTTATTATTGTGTACTTAGGTGGGATAAAGAGCTTAAATTAATTGGAGATCACAGAGCCAGTGATAGAATTCCTTTTTTTTCTATTACACTGAATGAACACCATTTGTCTATTCTGCAGTAATGTGGCAACATCCCACTAGATGAAATGAAAATGAAAAATATATTCCTTGATGGATTAACATTAGTATGCAATAATAATAATGTTTAATTGCTAGCTGTTCCAATAAGAGTAGCTGCAAAATGAGCATTCATTACTCCATGGACTCTCTGACAAGGAGGACGAGGAGGGCAGGGGGAAGTTTGTAGGGCTTTTTAATATAAAAAAGTGCCTCAAATATGTAAATTAAATATCAAACTGTGGATGTGACCTGACCTTGTTAACACTAATCAAATAAAATATTTTACGTTGTACCATTTTACATAATGTATTTCTACATTGTCCTAAAAGTAAAAAATTGGCAACCCAAAGGATACAGAATTCTAAAAAAAAAAAAAAAAAATAAAAATTGCAGTACTTCTTATATTCTTCTATTTCAGATTTTATGAATTAATTTAAAAATAGGATCATGGCATAACAATGTAATTAAAATAGTGCCTTTTATAAGGTACCAGCAGCATATTTTAAGCAGGTTTTTTACTTGTCTACTTCTTTTATCCATTGCTTAAATGCATTCAAAAGTATCTGTAATGTCTAAAAGTATTTTTTGTCTTTGTAAACAAAAATGGAAATTACATAGCTTTCAAAGAGAAAATATTGAAAAAATGCTACTTAAATAATCCATAGTTCTTTAAAGATAGTTTAGCTGAGTATGTTTGATCTGCTTATTTATATGATGCAAAGAATGATATGTGGTTTATTAAGGGCAGTCTTGGAAAAGGATATTAAAGCAAATAGGTAAATAGTACTGAAATAAACCCCAAACACTTACATTATAACTTGTTCCCATGGTAAATAAACACTGCGTTTAAAATTATATTGATCATATAGTGCTCTTCTTTGATGTGTATTAAACTTGTTCTGGTAAATTGGTAATGCATCTGATCCATGTATGTATAAAGGAAAGTGTAGCTTCCTAGAGCTTCATCAGTGTTATTCCTATCAGTGTGAATTTTAAAAATATTTTGTCGATTAAAGAAAATGTAGCCACAATCCATCTAAATAACAAAATAGTTTTATAGCAAATTTAATATAACTAATAGTAATAATTGCAGCTGATACAAGCCTTTCTGAAAAGTCTTGAAAGACAAGGATGCTACTAATTCATCTTAGTTTATATTATTATAAAAATCATTTTCACTAATGTTGAGCTTGCTGCACCAAGTCAGTGCTAACTGGTAATAATATTGTTATGTGCTACCAAATCTATCTAGCTGTAATTAGATGAGGCTTTCTTTGGGTATCTGTTAGGCAGAATCTCTGTGCTACCATACTTATAGAAATGAGGATGCTTTATGACATGGCATAACATTATTAATTTCAGTACTACATTTTCAGTGTTCAGACTATAGTCTTTTAAACATCTGTTAATAAAACCTGAATAGAAGTGTGCTGGATTCTCTTTTACTAACAAAATGTACTTACTGTGTTTCAGCTCAGAGAATCATTTAAGGATCTCAAAAAAAAATTTAACAATTTGAAGTTTAACTATACGAAGAAAGCTGAAAAAGCTCGAAATCTGAAAGTACTTAAAATACAGATTCAGCAAGTTGAGATATATGCAGATAAAATACAGGTAATATTAGAAATTTTTGTTTTATTGGAGGCTTCGCTGGTTGAATTGCTGTTGTCTGTCCCAAGCAGATCAGAGGAGATCCAAAATGTTTTGTGAGCTTCCCTTTCACTCAACTTTGTATCCTTCCCATCTCAGTCACTGACTGAGCCATTTTGCATTTTCTGTTCCTTTTATTTTTCCATTTCCTTCAGTGAAATGATCTTACCTAAATTTCTGACTTCCCTGTGTTCACTCCTTTTATTGTTCATTATTTTTCTAGTTAATTTTATTCTTCTTGCTTCTGTTCCTTCACAATGTGTGACTTAGTCTTCCCTCTCCTTAAAAAAAAAAAAGGCCAAAACCTAAATAAACAAAAAAACCCACCCACAATACAAACAAACAAACAAGAAACAAAAAAACTCTAATACCCCATCAAAATCAACAATAAATCCACACACATATTCCCTTTTGCATCCAACTACTTTCTTGCCTTTCTCATTTCCTCATATAAGTCTTTAGAACCTTTTTCTGCATCCATTGCCTGGAGTTGGTCATGCTTATTTGCGCCATAGAACCTTACTAGCCTCTTGACATTCACTCAAAAAAACTCTTTCAGAGTCTCCAATGACCTTTTTAGTTGCCAGTTGGAACTAGCAGGTTTTCTTTTACTTGCTCTGCCACTCTGCCAGTCTCTTCCATCACAACTTTTTACTTGGAAATTTCAGATTTTCAGAATCATCAGATTCTCAAGCAAGATGTTAATATTGTAGGACATGCTTAAATTGACTCATATGTAGTCACAGACTCCAAAGCCTTAGTAGTATTTTTTAATTTCTAGATTCAATTAAAGTTACTTTGTGTAAGATCTCAATTTTTTTTTACTACAGATTTTTGTTTATTTTTAAGCTGAAAAATATAACCAAATTTTGCCTTTAATAAAAATAATTTACATTGATTTTAATCAGCATTGAAAAGACCTTCCATTTTCCTTTGATTATTGAAAAAGCAGTTTGTACTTGTAAATTTTAAAACACAGGACCAGAAATGTTTGTGGTTTTCTTTCAATGTTTTTTACTAATTATTTCTAAAAATAGAGGTATTTTTGTTGCCATATTTAACATTACTGTATCTTTTAAACAGATTCTTAAAAAGAAGATGGAAAATTTAGAGAAGAAAGTAATTGGCTCTGTAGCCAATGAACTTAATACTAGAGTCCTCTTGGGGTCAATTAGTGACTTACAAAACCAGCTGAGTAACTTTACTAAAGTTGTGGAGGATTACAAGCAAAATCTGGATCTCATGGAGCATCTGCAACAGATGATGGATGAGGTACTAGTAGAACTGAGGTCCTTACTATGGCTGTAACATCTAGGACCGAGATAGATAAAAGTGCTTATAATTACTTCAGGCAAAGTCTGTGACTTCCAAAAGTGGACTGGTAAATATTTTTGTAGTTTTACTTTGGAACTTCATAGAGAAAACGGGAAAGCCCCATGCAATGTGACCACATTCTTGCGTTGCTATGCATACTACTGGGGTCTCAATCTCAATATGACTTTCATAGTGATCTAGCATCTATGATCATACTTATGAGTTCATTTTCTCTAAGTGTATTCTGTGGCAACATAGAAAGTGCCACAAGCTCTCCTTGATAGCTGTCAAACCACAAAAGCCAAGTTATCAAAATACCCACTTTGTTAGTTGTCAGGAAGGGCTGTCTGTGTGATGTGTAATTCTGGAATTGAAATGTAAAACGTTTTTTTTTAGTGTACTTGGTAAGCATTTTTTTCTGAACTGCAGTCTAAGTCTTTTTGGAGACTTGTGTAACTTTAATGTGTCTGAAGGCTGCCTCAAGCATTGCCATTTTTAAAAAAAAAAAGAAAAAAAAAACATTTTTAACAGTAATTTCCATCCTACCCATTGTGTTGGTGCATCTGCTGTGAGGCAAGCACAGTCCTGTCATCGTTTATTTTTAGAAATAATACTGCTCATATCTCCAAAGTGATCTAAATACATGACAAATAAATTCCCCTAATGATAGATCACAATACTAATGTTTTGTTTAGAAGATGTTTTAATTGTCTAGTGATCAATGGGTCATGTATTTTTAGCAAAGCAATTTGTTACAATTTGTTGTGCATTTGCATTTTTAAACTCCTCACTTACTTTGAGGGAAATAGATTATTTCCTAGATCTAAAATTTAAGATTGCTTTCTTTACGCAGTGTAAAATATCAGCTTTTACTCAAGAGTTTTTCTTTCAGGAACAGGCAGAGTGTACAATACTGAATTTGGTGGCACAATAGAAGGGTGATTATTAGCTGCTTGCTGTAATGACATAATAGAGATGATACAGGGTGAACAACAGATTCTATCCTCTAAGTATTGTTAACCAAAATCATTTATTATGTGCGTGTTTTAAACCCCATTTTTGTCATTAGAAAGATTACTAGCAACTTGAATGGTTGCTGAGACCAAAATCCTTGTTTGCTCGTAGTCTAAATCTAAGCAACCTCACTGCCCTTACAGAAGTATATCTGTGGCCACGATACAAAGCTTGTGAAATTAGTCAGTTGATATACAAGGTGGAAAGAACCCAGAAATAAAATGTATGTGTGCAGAAGCGTTAACTAATAACTTCAGCATGCTTGCAAGTGAACACAGATACAGTGTTTAAAGAAAATTTAGCAGCTATTAATATTTGAAGCAGCATTTGTACTGAACAAATGTTTTTCAGATTAAAATTGGAAAATTGAAGACATACTGTATGCCACAGATTATGGAAAATCTAAGATTAGTCCAGTCTATTCTTCAAAAGCTTGAACTGCTGATAATTTATTATAATGCAGTGTTTTTATCCTTCAGTGTCAATTTTGGTTTGAAGATGTGAGTGCAACAGTCATTAGAGTTGGCAAGTATTCTGCAGAGTGCGAAACAAGAGAAGCAATAGAGACTCTCTACAAGCAATTCAATAAGTTTATTGAGCCTGCAGTGCCTCAACAGGAAATAAAAATTCAGCAGATTACAGACCTTGCTAAGCAGTTATATGGTGAGGAGCTGTCTGGTAATGTAATGCAGGGAAAAAAAAATGCAGCAACTTAAGACAGGAGTAAGCAGATTCCTAGATTTGTTCATTTAAAAACAAGATCTTATGAAATTTTAAAAATAAACAATTGATTTCAAGTATTGACTGGAAGAGGTGAAGGATTTCAGAACAAATCTTTAAAAATTAAAAAATATGAAAGTACTCAGCAGTCCGATAGTTACTTGGTTTTGTGTATACAACCTGAGTTCACCTGGAAATCAAATGTGACTGTCCTTGTAATATTTATGAGCTTGGAATTAAGACTACATGGCTTATGCTATCTCATAACAGGCAAGCCTTTGAAGCCAAAATATATTACAGTGATATACCTTAGTGCTGAGTGAATTTTTTACATTAACGCTATAAATAACTATTTGCCAAGTTTCTTAAACATTTATTAGCAAAAAATGTAGATTGTAACAAATACTCTATTTGCAGTTGTATTTATTTGAAACATTATTGACCAAAGAATGAAGGTCAGCAAAACAACAAAAGTTTTTCTTTGTTGTTTAAACTTGTAATGTTTACATACTTGTTGATGTTATTTTATCCAAAGGTAAGATGACCATCCAAGCAAGGATATACTGTGTATCAACAGAGTCAGGCCGTGATTTTAAATTCCTCTAATTTAGAAACTATTTAGAGAGCACAGATCACTTTTTCCCCCTCTTCCTTCCCACCCCTCCTCTTCCTTTTTTTAACTTCTTGATATTTTAAGTATTCCTACATTCTGTAGGAAAGAAGCTGACAGAACAGATTCTTGACACCAGTTGACTGGAAACACTGGAAGAAAGGAGGCGCTTCGTATTTTTTAAGTCATTACATGGGAAAAAGCTTCTCCACCCTACCTTTTTTTCTTTTATTTATTATAACAGGGATATAAGTGCCTCCTAACTGTATAATAAGACAACTAGTTTAGGAGACACTTTACAAGTTCAGTATCTTTTAAAGCAATGTTGCTAACCAGACAGAGGTAATTTTGTTCAAGGAGAAGCCTAGCAGAAGACCTGCAGTGACTATGAGGGCCCACCTCAAACATGCTAGTAAGAAGTAGGATTGCAGATCACAGAACTCCTACAACAAAACAAAACACAGAAAAATGTAATTAGAGTATATTTGGGTTGCAAAGTAAATTGTTATACAACTGTTTGAGGCATTCTGTTCTACTTTCATGTTTTTTTACCTTTGTAGGTATTGAAGAAGGAAAGAAGTATGTTGAAAAAGCCATATTAAAGTACAAAGAAATCATTAATTCTATTGATGAGTTGTGTAGGTCTTTGAGGGAACTTAAGGAGATTAAGGTATATATCTTTTTAATCTGGAGAATGTATTGCGTCTGCATCAACTTTATCAGGCTTATTGTCTGAATCTGAAGTTAAAAGTATGTGGTATGAAGCATTTCTTAATTGTTCACTTTTCCATTACCTTATGTAGTGATCATAATGAATTGATGAAATCCTATTTGGTTTTGCTCTAAATATTCATCCTAGGATTCTTTTTCTTGACTTCTTTCAGAACTGTTACTGCTTTCAACTACCCTTTAGGGGAAAATGTCTCAATTTCTTTGAGAATCTAGGCAAATATTTTTTTCTTATATTTCTTCTTCCTTTGGTTCTCTAATATAAGTAACTGCTATATCTATAAAATGCCAGACAACATAGCTTCTTGGCTCCCTGTTGGAAAAATCATCCCAAGAAAGAAGTTGTGCTAAAACCAAAATAATTTAAATTATGTAAGCATCGCTCACAACATAAATATTAAAGAGAATACCAACACATTTAGATTTATATAATCTGATATGTTTCTTTGAGTGTAATTAATAACATATCAACTGAGGATAAGTATGGAAGACAGCTGAGCAGGCTGGATTTCTATAATAAAAACTGTCTGTTCCAGCTCCACTCTGAAAGTAATAAATGAAATATCTACCACATGCAGCAATAGATGATGAGTTAATTCTTCTGTGAAGTTGGAAGTGTTAAGATACTTAAATGTCTTGCTGTTGTGGATGTTGAATGTTGTTTCATTTTTCTTTGATGGAATTATACTATAAAATTTGAACACTCAAATTACTCATTAACACACTTAAAAGCAGTATGAGATGTCAAAATCAGAAATGAGTTGCAAAAGTATTTAGCTGAATGGAAAGAAAGTTTTGCCTTGCACTATGACCATAAAAAAACTTCAATATCATGACAACTGGGTGGGTTGTTATTTTTTCAAATTCTTCTTCCAATGCATGCATTACTTAAATGCTATTATAGTATTTAAATAGCCCCAAGTTTTGTCAGGCTTGAATCTTTGATAGTTTTGTGAGCTCAAAATAATAAAAATCTTTTCAAGAGAAGTGGATTTTCAAGATAATTGTAATATTTGACTAATTTTGCTAATTGTAATGTTATCTTTCTGTAATAGAGTTGTTTGCAGAACACTTTTTTTCACGCAGAACCATTCATAAAATATTTCCTAATTATTTTAACCTTTAATTTAAGTAATTCTTTTTAAAAAGCAGTCAAAAGGAACATTATATATAAAAAAATTCTGCAATTCAGAGCTCAGCAACTTTTTTCAAATGAAAGTTATCTTTTATAATGCGTAGTATTCTGAGATTTTAAAACTGATATTCTTACTGAACATTTCCAGAATATCTCAATATTTGATATCTGTATCTTATGAAGAATAAATCATTCAGCAAATAATCTACACAAGTGCCATGAGCATGGAATGCCATGACTATGAATTCAGCTTTACGTCCTGTCATTTTTAAAGCATAACAAATTAAGGGGAAATGTATTGTGAAGTCTCTCCTGATTTTACATGTCTGAAGGAGAACATCTCTTTGATTTTTCAAGTGCAAAATTGAATGATACCTTTTCTTCAGCAAAAAAATTATATTGATCAGGTCACACAGATTTTTTTTCACTTGTTTAATCATAGCATGGAAAATTAATAATACAGCACTTTCTTATGAAAGCTTATTTAGGACAGTAACTTTTGGTTGGACAACTAAAGATGTGAAATACACAAAACTAACTATAAAACTTCTGATTTTCCTCACGTTGTTCCACTGTGATGTTCTTTGTACATTTTTTCTATGACAATTTTAAAGGATTCATGAAGTCTTGATAAAATACAATATGGCTGTCCAGATTTCCATTATGTAAGGACTTTGTAACCAGTTGTGCTTTGAGGCTTCAGCTAGAAATAAATATTTGCTAAAAAGAATTGTAAAGCAGCTGATCTAAAGTACTGTTAATTACATTCAGAGTGGTTATGGATTGTCTAGATGGGAAGCTGAAGTAGGGAGGAAAATGAGAACAAATGCAGATTCTGCCTGGTTATGTTTTATGCTATGAACACATTCTCCCCTTTCCACCTTTTAGAGAAATTTTAACATTCTACAGACTCACAAATGTTCCTTTCTTCCTTACCACAGTTTTCCTGAAATCCTGACTTTTTTTTCTGGATTTGTTATTTACCCTCTTTTCCTTTTCCTTTTCCTTTTCTTTTTTTCCCATTAGTGTCACTTTGTTAATCTTTTATTTTCCCTTGCTTATTTTGGGTACAAATTGATTAATATTCCTGAGATTCTCAACTAACCAGTGAAGTCTTTGGTGTCCTCCTATACTTTCCCTGATTTGGAAAAGATCCCCTCAGCTTTGAAAAATATTGCCTTTGCTTGTCCAGGGACAAAGGAATTGGGTTTTGCTGTATGCTTTTGCCATAAGCAATTTACACCTGAGATAATGACAGGCTTTAGATAAGATTTCACTGATTTTTTTCTTCTACTCTGTTGTGCGGTACATAAGACAGTGTATAGCTAACAATTGGTACTTTCCATTGTGCATAAGCTTACTCAATTTTCTTTTCACATTGCAGAAAGGTGGATTTTCTGAGGAGTTGGTTACTTTTCAAAAAGAAGAAAGAAATGGTCAAGAAGCTGGTGAGGCTGTTATTAAAGAAAAAGCAGAGGAACAAAAGCAGCAGGTTAGTATTTTTATAGAAAATAAAATTAGTTTATGTTAGTGAATTTTTTTGTTTTGTTTTTTGGGGGTTTGGTTTTTTTGCTTGTTTTTGTTTTTTTTTTTTGTTTGTTTGTTTTTCCTCTGTTTCTTAAAAGGCTCTCTGTACTGATGGGAATTTTCTTGGTTTTTGGTCTTCAGGCATCCCTTAAAATGGGTGTTATCAATGTAGTCTTGGTCCATCCAATCCACATATTTATTTTACCAATTTTTTTGTTGGTCCTATTGCCACAGTACTATTAATGGAGATGTCCTCTTTTTCACTACTTGTCCTTCCAGTGTGAATAACAGGAAAGCAGTCATGGTAAAAAGATGGTGTAACACAACCACAGCTGTCAGTTCAGTATGACATCATGTCATAGATAACTGTGGGTTGGAAGTAGATGAACTTAAGGTCCTCCCCAGCCCTAACCATTGTATGATTCTAATATGCTGTACTGTTGGTAAGACACTATACATCAAATAAATAACAGAACTTAGCAGGAAATAGTCATCTTAACTCTCACCTCGAAACACTTAAGTTTCATTTCCACTGCCAGAATTCCAAACAGCAGGGATCATAAATAAGTTCCAAAGTATGGATTGCTTGTTGAGGATAATGCACAAAAGAAAATTAGATATTGAAAGACCGGGTATGCAGTTAGAATTATAAAAACCCTAGCAGACAAACATGTTTTATTCATGGGTATACAGTAAATGAATGTGAAAGGTTCCAAACTGTCGATGAATAAATATCTTAGAAATACAGGTAATATAAACCCAGACCTATGTTACATGGCATTAATTCCGTTAGTTTAAAGAACATTTTGAAGCCTTAGGAACCAGGATGTAAATGTAAACACTACATGAAATATTCTGGTGGATTGGAATGGGTGGTAATATATTTAAGTCTTTAGAAAAGTAGGGTCCATTTTGCCAGCTGATAACATAAATCAACAATACAAGACATTGAATTGTGATGTTTTGTAGAGATTTGACTACCGACATTCCCTTTAGTTCAATAAAGAGCATTCTATAATCTGCTGATGAGCCAAAATTGAACCTAATTGAATTTCTTACCTCTATTCTAATTCAATGGGAGTTTTGCCATTGACTAGGAGCCCAGATTTCAGTCAAAATTTTGTGACTGTGACCCTCAAGAGAATTTCCTCACCCAGCAGATGTCCATAGCCCTATTTTCTATTTTACTGGTCACAGTTTTGTCAGTCCTCATCAGACTGTGCCTCAGCTGCCAAGGGGAGAAGTCAAGGGTATGCGAAACAGCAAATAGCAGATGTGAAGTATGATGCCTCCACCCTTTTCATCACTCCATACTTCACTTGCAGAAGTAGCAGCTTCACCTCACTAGAGCTTTTCTGTCTTCCATTTCCATCCTTTACACAGAAAGACCTGGCCCATATTCAACTCCTTGTCTAATAGGCACCAATCTCTAATTTTGCCTATGCTTCTGCAAGCTAATTTTGCAGCACTAATTTGCTTCAGAAAAAAATATCACCTGAAACTGGCCTGGACCTTCTCATGACACAGTTATCCTCATGCTATTTGGATCACAGGTGGCACACGAGGGTTGAAGGTCCTCATGCTGCTATAGCCTGTCTGACAGTTTGCTCACTCACTGTCCCCACGTCGTTATTTTCCTTGGCATTTTCCTCAGGGTAATTTTCTAGCAATTTCTGAAATAAATTTGTTCAGTTCTGTGACCTCATTAGACAGCATATTCCTGCACTAAGATGCCAGATTAGTCATTGGAAGATTCCTACAATGTCATGGCTTTCCTGTAGTTATTCAAATATATGCCACTGTGTGTACATGTACGTAGACTCCTTAATAGACAGAATAAAGCTGGATCATTGATTTCATTCAGACAGTTGACACTGGCTATTCAGAACCTATATTTTTTAAATAGACCTGCTCAGAATTTAATATTATAAAGAATTTTTCAATTTCTTAATGTTTAATCAGATTTGGTTTATTCTATTTGTTACTGCAAGTCAGACACAAACAGCCAGATTTTGCTACTGAAATGCCTATTAAAGCTTCATTTAAGAAAGACTTGCAAATTTGGTTAGGCTTAAATCTGGGAGAGCTTTTTAGAACAGTGCTGATAAGGTTGAAAGAGCTGGGTGACAATGAAATTTGCAAACCCTAGAAAAATATATTGTATGTGTGTGTATTGGAATTAATAGCTAAAAATAACAATTTCTTAGGAATAGTTTAAATTGGAGCACCAATTAAGAAATTGAATATGTGCAGAAGGAAGAAGTAACTCAGTCTTTATTGTTTTCTGAGTAGTTGGAAAGGGGAAAAATGACATATTTCACCAAATTTGAAAGTTGATTATAATTTTTCATGTTAATGTCCATGATATATTCATATTGAAAGATACTTTGGAGGTCAGAATTCATCAGGGGATGCTTGTTGAAAACACTTTTAATAGTAAAACTTCATCTTACAAATAAATTGAATTCCTTGGTAAAATAGGTGCAATAAAATCTCAAATCTCTTCCAGCCATTCATTCATGGATCTGGCATGAATCACATGGCTTTGAAATAACAAATGTATTAACTTGGAAAAATATCTGTATTAAACCATATCTATAGGACCAGGGCACTACTTTTTTTTTTTAATTTTGTGCATGATTATTAGAGTATATTTAAAGCAATAAACCAAAAAGAAAGGTGAAACACATGTGCCACTGCACTGTCATGATGGATACTGCCAAGGAGACCTGGTTTGGAAAGCAGTGATATCCAGTGTATCACCCAACTGATTTGAGCAAACAGTTTATAGGTGATAGAAACATTGTTTAGCAGATTACATATTTTTGTATAGAATTTAATAATGAGAGAATAGCATAAGAAAACATTATGAACACCTTTGCTGAAAGCCCTGGCACAAATAAAATTGACTTAAATATATGAGTACATACTTATATAAAAATTAAGAGGCAGAGAAGTAATTAATATATCAGATAATGTCTTCGATGTTTTACAGTTAAAAAATTAATGTACTCATGCACACATCCAGTTCTTTTTGAAACATGGTGAGAGGAATTTTTTTCTATTTTGGATCCAAGATAATATAAACTAATTTTAGCATTGTTTCCTGTTAATCTTTGGACAATATCTTGAAACAACTGGCAGAAAATGAGGAAAATGTAAAATGCTTGAAAGATATTTGTATAATTCTGTAAGTCTTGAACATGACTGGTGACTCTCAAACAAAGTCCAGTATCTTGGCTGTTAATATATTCTTATTACTACGTAATGGTTTCTCATTTAGATGAGAATTAGGCCACCTCTTCTCCACCTTCCCCTTGCAAATGCTCTTATAAACAGCACCTACAGGTAAGCCACAGGTTGTCCTTTGTAGAAAGAGGGACTTTCTCTTTTATTGATACTGTTGTAATCAATGCAGATATATATTTATAGTATCTGCTAAAGTATATCTGAACAGTTTGAATTCAAGTTAGCAAAATTTTCTGATGAATTATGATTTTCCACATATTTCCTTCTGCTTCTCAGAATGCTTTAAGCTTAATTAGAAGAAATATTTCAAATAATTTGCTAGCTGCTGCACGAAAAGGGAATTCATAGAATGATAACTCATTCTCTGTTGTTTGTTTTTTTTTTTCCCCTTCTTGCCTTTCTCTACTTTCCCATCCTAATTTAAGGACAGGAATAAATTGGCTGATATTCTAATTATCTGTCCAGCTGGCGAGGATCTTGTTTCACAGGATACAGTGCTGTCATCTTCAGCCAAAGAGGATAGTTTACAGACTGCATTCCTGGCAGAAGAAATACCCTCCGGAGATGAATATGAGTGTATATCACCTGATGATATCTCTTTGCCACCGCTTTCTGAGACACCAGAATCCAACCTCTTACATTCTGAAACAGAGCTAGAAGAGCAGTGCTGTTGTAGTTCTCATAATTTGCATGTCGATTCCTATAGCTTGCAAATGCAGAAAAATGCTAGTATTAAAAAAGTGATGGAAGCCTCTGATATCTTAACAAATTCTGCTTATGCTGATGCTACAGATAATAAAATAGAAAGCCCGTCAGATCACTTTGAGAAGTTTTGTACCTCTTCAACAGATTCTGGCCTAAAAGACAGAGCAGTATCTCCTTTGACTTGTAGCTTATAAGGAATATCTGAAGCCAGCACTGCTTCCTGCACTATAAATGCCAAACCAGTATACAGCATGACGAATGAAGTGTGCAAAACACATTTGCAACACCTTGAGCTTCATAAAAGCATGGCAGAAACACAAGAACAATTGCATGACTTGAATAACTGTACTAAAACCCAGGACAGGGTGCATGCTTTGCCTGATATATTCTCAGGTTCCATGTTTCAACCAGACACCACCAGAAGCTGCCAGAGGCAGATGGCCACCCGAGAAGAGATTAAAAGTTCATCAGAAAAGAACAGCATGGCCAGCCTAACTGGACAGGCGCCTAGCTTCTCCCGGCTTCTGTCTAACAAAACTGTCACGGAAGGTTCTCCAGTAACTTTGGAAGTAGAAGTAACGGGATTCCCAGAGCCTACACTGACATGGTGGGTAGCTTATAATAAGTAGTAGTAAACATACCTATTACCAAGACACCATGAACCACTTATACTGAAATTAATTATTATATAGACTAGAAGAAATGGCTTGTGTACTTTCTACTCCACACTTTTGCATGATTCCCACCTTCAAAATTGCCTTTGACAATTAACCTACTTGAAATAACCTCTCTGTACTTTATTTTATGAATAATGACAGCATCAACCTACTGCAAGCATTCCCAATGTTCTTTTCAAGCAAATACATCATACAGTTTTTATATTCTGGAATATGACATTCCTCTTTTTCAATAATTTCTTAAAATAAATGCACACTCCAGATTTACCATAAGTAAATTCACCTGCATTTTACTCATGATATATGACGTTTTGTATGATATATGGATGGACACATACACATGCATGTATGCTGTATATAGCCAGTACATATACAAACAGACACACATTTACACATATGTAAGACTAAGTTGTTAAAAACTGGAGAAAGATTACAGGTTAAAAAACCTGACCAAACCTAAATGTCTACACTGAGAACCAGTTTTATATTATATATTTGTGTGCACACCCTATCTCTCTCTGAATTGCTGTATGTCTAACTAGGATACTTTATACTGCATTTGTGAGAAATACAGATGATGCAATATAAACATATTTTAAGATTACTTTTCAGAAATTCCCTGCCAAAGGAACAGGGACAGAAAGAGGGACAGCTTGCTTCAATTTTAATCAGAAGAAATAATTAATTTAGCTAAAAATATATCCAGTGTTGATATACGGTCTTTTAAAAATGATATTCCACAAAAGCATTCTGCAAATTAGAAATTTATGAAAACAGAAAAAAGTGGGGTTTTTTAATTAAAAATTCATCAATACCATGTATTTTGTCCTGTTGTAGATGTTTTATTGAACATACATGTAGAAAAGTACTTCTGTGTTTGTGTTAGGTTAAACGTAGTTTGTGCTGAAACATCATGAGTCAAGAAGAGCTAGAATTTTCTCTTACATCCACTGTATAAATCAGGAATAAATGCCAATACATGGTGACAGATCTTCAAGTGTTAGACTATGACACTGGTTCTATGGAATAATTTCTAATGAGTTGCTCTGTTCTGTTTGATGATGTGAACAAAGTAAATGTTAAGTAGCCTGGGGTGGAGGAACAGGTCGTTGGCTGTTCTTTATACTGAAGACACATGTTCAGAAAGGTTGTACATGCTTATGCATCTTAAGAGCCTATTCATGAGCTGAATGTGGATGAATCAAAACGTTACTAGCAAAAATATTTCAGCACCAAACTGAGGGCCCAAGACTTCATGCTATTTTCTCCAATACTGTAGAGAGATAATTATGACTTGTCCATTTATAACCACATTTTCTAGTAATAAGAATGTATAATCCAGCAATTTGAATTATTTAAATATTTATCCACATTTACATATGAGTTCAAAACTGAGGAATGAGAGCACAACAGTGAGCTCTGTCCTTTGCTGTCAGTGTAGAGGTAAAGAGGTTTTCTGAATTTGAGTTCTACTTGGAATACAGCAATAAAAATCTGACTTGAAAACTGACTCTCTGCTTCAGGTACAAGAAGGGCCAGAAACTGACTGCAGATGAACACTTAAAGCTTTTGCAAAAGGAGACAAAACATACTTTGTTCATTCAGAAGGTGTGTGATAAAGATGCTGGCCTTTATGTTGTTCGGGCTAAAAATTTGAACGGCACTATCTCTTCAAGTGCCATTCTCCACGTGAAAGGTAACAGGCCACCTATTATAAGAATAAACTGGATAATGCTGTGTGTCATCTATATTAGCATAACACTAATGTACTGGCTATTCACAAAATAAGTACAGTATTGACTGCACTGGATTTAGTTCTCACATGCTAAGTCAGTGTTAAATTTATTTTCTTACACTGCATCTTTCACAGTCTGTATCAAACCACTTCTGTGTCACACTCAATATATTGTTTCTTTAATACCAGTATTATGTGCTTATTTTCCTTTCTCCTAGTGACGTTGAGATAAAAATTTATTCTAGAATCTGAGGCAGAACTTTACTTTCTAAAAATGTAGACATTGCAAAGTGTTGAAAACAGTTTTAATGGTTATAGCTATTAAATGTCAAGATACGCCTAGATAAAGTGCTCAAATCAGCTCATATTTTATGGTATGCCTTTTTTTCAAGGTGGTGTGGAAGGTGTTGAACTGTTTTTTAAACATCAAATGTATTATTTATTTCCAGCTACATTTTTCTCATATACTGTTTTCTAAAAAATAGTATTTGTAGGATAATACTTCTTAGTACTAAAATCTTACCATTCACTGATGCACTGGGGTAGATCAGATTTAAATCTGTCTCAGCCCAGCATTTACTCCATAAACGAAAGTTTTGGTAGTTCCAATGGAGTTGTGATTTTCTGCACAGATTTGTCCCAGGATCATCAGGATTTGTATAAGTGAATCATCAGGCAACTAGCAGACAGTAGATCAAAACTCCCTAATGCTTACAAAATGACATATTCTAGCATACCAATCTGCTCAAGTAGGTGCTTGAAATGCTTTCTCTGCCTTCTTATAAAATTAAATATATAAATATTTCTAATAATCCACTATTTTATGAGACAAGAAATATAATAGTTTATAAAGTGACCATTTTTGCATGCTTAAAGTTTTTAACACATTGATTTCAAGCAGAATAAACAAATTGGAGAAATACTCAAAAGTGTATTCACACACAGATAATTATTTTTTTATTTTATTTCAACCAAATGGAATTCTATGACTTCATAGCAGTAAATCCAAACCAGGTGAACTTTGTTGACCTGCATATTGCATTTCATTCTTGATAAGGACAACCACAAGTGTTATTTTTTATATAAGTAGTAATTTGTTAAGATATTTCATAATGCTGTAACTGTGCCACTGGAAGATTTCTTATAGAAATCCTCAAATGTAACTTCATTTTTTAGCTCCAGTACTTGTAGAGGTACTGTAAAAACAGTTGATAAACAGCTACATAATTTTTCCTGCATCTTTGATTTGCAGCTTTCATATTACAACTGTGCTGGCATGGGGAATTTATAGAGAAGAAATGTTTACTTTGTCTTGTAGAATTTACCAAGATAAAGTAAGCCTTTTACTGTGTGGCATGCTATGAGCAGAATATGTATGTTATAAATTGCCAAGGGTCAGTGAGATTGGAGACTGACATTTAGATATTTGGCCCAGTGACTGTATCTTTATTAAAATTCCTGTTACTTTGAAACAGGAGAAGTTCTCAAGGGAATATAACCTCACAGCAATACGAGAGGGAGCAGGAGGGAGGACGTGGGGAGCAGATGGGGGAACAAACTAACTTCCAACTAAAGTTGGTATTACCCTTAATGAACAACCTTCCAAGTGTAGTCATGTCCCAAAAATGTTGATTCATAAGAATTTTCTCAGGTATAGTATCACCTATTTTCCTAAAGTGTACTTTCCATTTCACAATAAAGCTTATTTTAATAATTAATACAATTTTGAATGTTTCAATTTTCACAAAAGTAATATTCAGTTTAGTGGTTTTGCGCCCTTTTGTCTTTATGAGTTGCTATTATAAACATACAGCAAAGAAATGGCATAAGTAGTACATTAAGCAATACTGTGGTAAGAACAAACCAAAATGCCTCTACTACATGCTGTAAGGTTTTGCCTGCTGCAGAGCTGCCAGTGCTTGATAACTTTATCCTGCTCATAACATTAATTTTCTATTTGAAAATGAATCTTCTAGGTGATAGCTGCCCTTCAATCCTCTGTTTTTTACAGGGAGTTGCCATAGTTCAAAAATTAAAACTAATGATGGATTTTTTTGACATGTTCTAAGTAACTTTATATAATACTTGGGTCACTTTTTCAGGCATTTTTGCCTTAAGTATTGAGGCTAAGTATATACACATGGAAAAAGCAGGAGTGGAATCAGATGTTCTCTTTACTCTTCTGACTTGTGTCTGCCAGAATCAGCCCTTTAATTTAAGCATAAGGCTTGTGACAGAGTCATTGTAGCTCTACTAATGCTGGGCCCAGAACTACGTCTTTGTTCTAACCTGTGGATCCTTCATTTTGAAAACTATGGAAAGTTCAGTGCTAGAATCATTGTTCTGTCTCTTTCTTTTGTGGCCAGTGTGAGAGTTCAGACATATGCATTTGAATTTTTTAGTTGTAGGAGAGCCATTTACTGAGCAAAACAACACTGCAAGGTGAGTCTTTGTCCTTCAGAAAGCAAGGCTAGATCTAGGTTTTCAGCCCTGCTTGGAAAAAATTGTACCAAATTCATTTGTAGTTCTATTAAAGCAGGAGAAAAAGATGTGAACTTTTCATCATCTCATAGAGCAGGAATTGGGGTAGCTTGGGGCTAGACTTGTACCTGGATCTGATTGCTTGCTGGCACATACAAAAAAGACTGTTCACTATTTATGACGATCAGCTATATGAGTTTAAAAGACAACAGACACAGAACTACTGGACAAGAAGACAGAGATTACGGGAGCAGATTCTTTCCCCTTCCTTGTAACACTTCCTAATGTACATGCAGGTATCTAGGGAAATACAAGGGATCGGGGATGCAGACCTTCTCCCTCATACACATTTGCATTAATTATGTTTGATAACTGTATTTAAAAGGCTTTCGATCAAGTAGGAGAGACCCCAGTTACTTGCTTTACTTGAGATTTGACAGCCAGAATACAAGGCTAGTTAACAAAATTGTGTGAGAGTAACTGACACAGCTTTGAATCCAAGTGGGATTTGCTCTGTCTTTTAATATTATTTAGAAGTTAGCCAGGGATCTAGTCTTTTATTGGCATTTGGCTTACGCACCCATTTCCAAAGATAACAAGGAGAACCCTCATCTTTCCCAAGGAGGGGATGAGTTAAAGAGAAGCCTTGGAAAGGGAGTAAATATTATTCCAACATTTACAGATCTGTGTTGTGTATGCCTTTGAACAAGCATATTTTGCCTTTAGTAAATTTTTGAGTACATATCATGCTGCAGGTGTCTCATGCAGTATACTTCTGATTTGCTCCCTTGGCAAAACACATTTAAAATCAATACCATGCTGATTTTTTTTCTTCCGAATTATGGTTTAAATAGTTCATTAAATGATGCTTGTTGCTAAAGTTTGCATTTTCCTTATCTATTTTTCTCTTTTTTCATCCTATTTTGAAAGTGTTATTGGTAGTTCATGTACTGAGCAAGACATAAAAGTAGCTTTTCCACATGGAGTTTTTCAAAGCATAGCTATTTGAGACTTGATTTGGGATTATATGCTCCAGGAAGGCTTTACAGATGAGTAAAATATATTGACACAATGCCCCTGTAACTGTTCACTGCTATGATGTGGCTGGATAAGAATATTTTTAAGCTATTTATATCTAGAAAATCACTGAAGCAAATCTGCTCTCTACCCATGAAAGTACAAAAGCAGCATGTTAGTGAAATGCCAAAATTTATGAGTTTACCACTAGTTTTCCAGCTAGAACCGTAAATGCCTGCTGTAACTGACAAATCAGGTAGTTCATGTTTAAACAGAGCCTCACAGAAAAAAGATATCAAGGGTGATCTTGTCTCCAACTATGCTAAGACAAAACAGAACAATTCCACCTGGGAAGGGTGGATTTATGTAGAGTTCTTTGTACACTGTGATTAAAATTATGTGGGTCTAAAGCTTATATGGAAGATTCTAATAGACTACCTGCCACCCAGGTAAGCCAGCTGTCTGCTTATGATCTGCTCCTGTGTCAAAGCATCCACTTCCATTTTTACTTAAACGTGTTATCTCTGAAAAACAAGCTTTCTACTACTGGATTAAATTCTGGAATTAAGTTTATATAAAAAATGTTAACCAAGATCTTTCAAGTTTGATTTCTAAGAAGAAACTGAGATGCAAATGAATCCAACTTTAAAACCTAAGTACAATTATTTTCAGGAGTACACACAAGTATGGCATTCATGCTATTGCTGTATAGCAAACACTGTGAAATAATAAAAGGTCAAAACAAACACATCATTTCTGAGAATGTTTGCATTTTTTGCATAGTCAGATATTACTATTATTAAATGCAAAAAGGTATAAGGCCAGAAATTGCCTTAAGGTATCTGCAGATCTTAGTAAATCATCAAAATTTGAACATTTCTGTGAATTTTAGGTTAACAAAACTCGATTTTATGAGCATAGTATTGCATCTACTTTAAACCAGGAATAGTTTTAAATGCACAGTTTTAATGGGCATGTGGATACTAACCACATTTTTAATTGCTGGAAGAAAGAAGACTTAAAAAAGAGAGAGAGATTAGAGGTATCAAATACACAGCAGGATCCTGAAAGTCTCTTGTTTTTGATGTTTCCTTTGTAAACAAAGGTGTAATCAGTGTTGATTACTGCTGTGTTGGCAGTCTGGGTTTAAATACTGTTTGTTTAAGGACTCTGATGCATGTCCAAAAAATGTTGCTGGAAAATTCCTGCTGATTTCTGTTCAGATAATGTTAAAAAAAAAAAAAAGTGACTGACAGTGATGTCTCATGGTACACTAATGTTTCTCTAAAAGAAAACCACACTCACTCTGTTTCAGACTGAATTTAAGTGTAATGCTCCCCCTTCCCCTCTCTCTACCTTTTCTTTTATAGTTCTTGTTATACATGCAGCACTTCCTCCTTCTTTTAATTGTGCTGTGGTGTTGCTGGTTGGTATTGTTCTATTTCTACAACTTGTTTTATAATGCTGGGCTTCCCTCACAGTCACAGTTTTGAGCCTATAGTTACTTCAAGATGCCAAAATGTTTACATATTCCAATTGCTCTCCTAAAAAGCAGATGTAAATCTCATTCTGTCTAGCCTTACAACAAAACTATATACTTAAAGTTTATTACTAACCTCGTTTCCTCCTTCCCCATATGCAGACACCCATTAAGAAGGTAAATGGTGGCTGAGATTGCCTGACAAGATGTGGGTTTGTGTGTAGGGGTATTTAGAGTGTGCATAAGTCTAGGGGGGAAGGGATTCAATATTTTCATTTTTCAAAAGCAGAAGCCTTTCTGAGAGTCTAGGTGTCAGTCAGTAGGCAAAGGGAGGATGAGGCATTCCCCTGATTGGATTTGGATCTGGATCAGATGTGGCTGGAGCTGCAGTGGAGAAGGTGACTTACTCTCAAATCACTTGTAAGGTATGCCTGTTTCTGGACCTTTCTCTGGAGATTTTGCTGGAGATTTAAGCTAGAAATTTCTATGTGTGTATATCTTTTGTGGCTCAGAGGAGGTGTATCTTTAAAAACTACTGCTCAGACTTCCTTTAATGATCCTACGGAATGGTATTCAATGAGAGTGGAGCTCTGGATTAGGGATCACTTGGGTCATGAGACCCACTTGGTGTTCCTTAATAAAACTCTTTCTGATTGCATTAGGAGCTTGACTGAGACAAAATCTCTAAACAATAAAGTTTTAATTTAGTATAATACTGAGTGAATCCAAAGTCACTGAGCAGCATAGTGAGAATCATGATATCAAAGATAGGGGAAAGCTTGCTAATACCACATATCAAAACATCAGAGATTGGAAGTTACATGCCCAGAGTAAATAGATTAAGAATAAGTGTGAAGCAAAGAAACGAAAAATGGCTGCTGAAAAGAGTTTGGCTTGACCTGTGTGTGGAGACTCTTGGGACAGGAGTGAAAGCTGTGATAAAGCCAGATGCAGGGGATTTTTCCACCTGCAGTTTTTACATTGCTCCAGACTGCTGACCCAGGACACTAACAAATCTTAGCTTACTTTGACATATCATTATGATATCATGGGAAAACCATTGATGAAATATAACTATGCATTATGTTTTGAAGGTTGCTATCAGAAGATGAACTCTTCATTTTTAGCAGACTTTGTTTCCCTATGGAGCTCTAATCTGCACCTTTTATGAGTTGTAGTAACAATCACTCCATTTTTTCTTTACACATACTTTTCACTTTGCCCTCTAGAAACTGGTCATTTAGGTTTTATAGTCTGCTGACTCACTAATATAAAATCAAGAGGGGGTCTGATCATTGCCACAATTCTACTCAGATTATATGTTTTTGTTTTCTTTTTCTAATGGTAAAAACCATAAAGTCATTCTGGTATGAGATGGAGCCTGACTTCATAAGGTAATAAAATTAATAATGAAATCCAGCCAAAAATATCACAAGAAGTGGCTGATGCCCACTTAATGTTTTCCGCTGGAATACCAGCTAATCATACACAGTGACTTATTGCCAGCTGCCTGCAAAGAGGAGGCAAGGGTATAAGCTTGGTTCTTTTGCTTGAAGTGAAGCTCCAGATCACAAGTTCCTGAGATTCAGATGCATGCAATGCAATGGTGTAGCAGCTTGTGCATGCTAAGTTTAAATAGCTAAGAAATGAGTTTGAGCTGCTGGGACTTGCTAAGAAAACCCTAGGTAAGGAAGATTATGAGAGAGTAAACTCCATATACTCTTGGCCATATACTTTTGTGGCCTCAGTCCTACAGTATATGGGAAGAATGTAAAAATATCTAAGCTTGAAAGCTTACTTGCAATTAAGAGCTCCTAAGCAGTGGATTTAATAATACAGTGGGTAAAGATGTCTGCCGCACCATGCTGACAGTCCCACATTTGTCAAAAATAGCCATGGGCTCAATATACTTGGGTTTAAAAGTTGCTGGGCACCTTAGTCAGATACACTGATTTTTGTTTCACAATGACATCAAGAAAAAACCTTCATCCTAAAACTGGAGTACTGCTGACATGGTTAAGAACAGTTTTAAGCTCTGTTATTTATTGCACATTTCAGTAACTTTTTGTTTCTAACAAGGGCAGTGATTACATTGTTAAATATGGACACATGGTGCAATTTATAGTAAAGAAGAACAAGAAGATAATCTTCATATGATAGGAATGTAAGATATAATTTTTTTGTTGTAGTATATGTCTTTGTATGTGCTTCTGTGTGTTAACATCTGCTACTCTGGCTTCCCTTTGTCAAGAATACTTAGCCTGAGTTCTGAGATCGTCTTCTTTTTTTACTGTGGCCCTGGAGGTGGAACCTCAGGTAGTAGTACAGTGATCCAGTAAGTCCAGCTTTACACCTCATTAGGTTACACGTCACATGAAGCAATGCTTTGATTCAGTATAAACTGATGCTCATGACTGAATTTTTTTCAAACGGTTTTGATGAATTAATATGTATTAGCCAAGCCTTTTACTGGCTCAGGTGTCATCTGTCCTCCCACAGTCGGCATGAAACCAGCACAAACTCAATCTCATCTGCTCTGGTTATTGCAATAAAAATGCAATTACTTGCCCTTAATCTGAATCTGGTTTGTACCAGATGATCTCGTAGTACATGGTGTTGGTATTAATGATGGCCAAAATAGTAAACTTGATCAAAGTGGTATGAGGCCACATTCTGGCCTTCATCACTGTTGCAAATGTAGATCAATCTTTCCTTTCCTCCCCATAACTTTTTTCTTTTTTTGACTAGAAGAATAGGGAAAAAAGGTGGAGAGAGAGACTGATGTGTGAGAATGCACTAAATGCAAAAATTTCCTCTCTTAAATATGTGTGGAATATTTACTTTTTCACCTTCACTGAAACACAATAATCCACATAGACTTGCCTACTACTTACACAAAGAACATGATTCTTTAGCATTACCATGGAACTAATATCACTATTCCAATGCATGAAATTCTCAGGTGCTTAATATCCATGTGTTTCAATAAGCATTGTATAGATAAATGATGCCTGCCTACTAACTGTCTTGCAAACAAGTTATGAATTCCAGGCTCTCTTTGTCTTGCAGTGTGTTGAACTTTATAATCAAGAGAATGGATTTTTTTCTTCAGTTGGTCCAACTTTTTTTTTTTAAATCCAGTGGTTAGTTTGGGTTTGGTTCTGTCGTTTTTTTCCAGTGCAAGGGAAACAGCCAAACTTCATACAAAAATTTAGACATACAACTCTGCAAGAAGGAGAAGATTTAATCCTGCATTGCACTATACGTGGAAAGCCCAAACCACATGTCTACTGGACAAAGGATGATATCCAAGTGGTATCCGGAGACATCAGTATATGTTCTAATGTTCTTGAAATATTTCTTGGGAGAAAGATTATATACTTTGCTTTATGCTACTAATAATCTCCTATGTGCATTCTATTGTTTTACAGATTGAGAAATTAGGAGATACTTATTATCTTTTGAAACGAAATGTAGTCCTTGCTGATACTGGGAAATATATCTGTGTTGCCAGGAATGAAATTGGAAAGGCACACTGCTCTGCTTTCATAACAGTGATAGGTGATTCATCCTGCCAGATGAACACTTTTATGCATGTTATTGCCATATTAAATAAGCACCTTGTTTCCACTAATGTACGTGCTTTGTTTCAGAGAAAAATAAACCCCCAGAAATCTCCACTGTAACTCTGGCTAAATCAGAATGGGAAGATGAATACTTTTCAGAAGAAATTAATGCCACCACAGCTGAGGTTCTACAAACCCATGACACACATTCTGTGCAAAATCAAAGGCCAGTGGCTAAACATCTCCCAGTAAGGTAACTTGCAGCCTACTCTGTGCTACATCTTGTAATACTCCAATAGTTGTAAGGACCTTAATTTACAATACACACATCAAGCAGTCTTCCTAATCCTACGAACCCTTTGCATAATGTAAATGAAGTGCATAATGTGTTCTGTGTGCCTTTTACACTTAATTCATCCCCAGAAGATATGTAATTCTCTTAGATGAAAGAACTCGCAATATAATTGGAAGTGGAGTTTGTGCAATAAGGTATTCTGTTTAGTGATTTTATTTTATTTTTAAATTTTGACGTTAATGTAAGATTGAATAGCTCAAAAATACAAAGTTTTCAAGAAGTTCACACCCATACAACTACATGAAGTTTCAGTAATAAAATACGTAAATAAAATTTTCTACTAGTTAAGCATCTTATTTAGAAGAATAAGTAGCAGTCCTAATAGCACAAGAACAGTCACTGTTCATTAATTGATTAAAGATGACAAAATTTCCCACTGCACAATTTCAGAATATTAAATGGGATACATGAAGTCAATAGTCTTTGTGGTGACTTCTTCACAAGATTAAATCTTGCCCCCTAAATTTAGGCTCTGATAAAAAAGAGAAATGTTCTTTTGTCTTTAAGTTCCTGAGGTATGTTATCTAGACATGAAAGGCATGTTAATTTTAGGGCATATAGAGAATTATGTATGATTAAAACACGTAGATCATACAGTAAGGTCAAATTTCTCATTTTTCTTATCTTTTCTATTCTTTAGTTCTAAAGTGCCCTCTAGTTATTTGTTATTGTCAGCAAGATGAATTTTAAGAAATTTTATGTTCTGTCCGAAGTCACTCTAATCTCTGTTTCTAGAGAAATCAGCTCTAATCTCGTTTTTTCAAGACCACAGAGAGCGGTCTATGACAAGCACAACAGTTTTGCTTATGAAAGGGAATGCTGCAGCTGGCACAATTAAAAATATAAGAAGTATTAATTGATCTCTTTTAAAACAGGTTTAAAGAGAAACTTTGGCTTCAAGGTGTGTATCTTGAATTTGAGAGGCTACAAGAGATTATCTTCAGTTTGGGACATGATCCTGCTCTTCTGCCTCCTGCAAAGGGTCAGAAGATGGACTGAACTGCAAGATGCCTGATTAATGAAGGTGTTCATGTTGTTTGCTCTGTCCAGTAGTAGATATTGGCCGTGGATGAGGAGATGAATCTTTGAGTGCTATTTGATTTACATCTAACTTATAATCTGTATTCGGTTTCTTTACAAATAAATCATTAATAAAATTTACCTGTGCACAGCATTTATTAGGCAGTGATTTCTAATTTCTTGTGGTTTTGTTCTGGTCTGTTGGACAGATCTAACAGATTATGATGTTAGCAAAAAGAGATATTAGACTTTAGATTGACATTGTCTTGCTGATTCATCAGCACCAAATCACTAGTTCTTCCCACTAGCTTATATAGAGAACTCAGACACAAAGAGATGAGGACTGAAAACAAAATGACTAAAACTACAGAATTACCCAGTTTATTAAGTGCAGTTCATTAAATTCATTACCTTATTTCTAACATCTTTGAGACATTTTTGAGGAAGATTGGCATTGGAAGGAGTGGTTACTAATAGTAGCAAACCTTTTCTAATGAATGCTTAGTACCAAAAATGTCTTCAGGGAGGAGACAGTCTCTTTAAGGCAGCATAACGGAGAAGTCTTCCACGATTTTTGTTCTGCTTTTGGGACTGGATTAGTGTAACAAAGCAGTCCATTTCCAGATGATGAATTTAATTATAGTCTAAAGGAGTAGACTATGAACTGAGAGCCACCCTGTTTTCCAAGCACATAGGACAAGGACTTCCCAATGATAGAATTCCTGAAGACCCACAGCATCCATTCAGGGTATAAGGAAAACCTGAATGGAAATTAAATTATTTTTATTTTGGCAGTCATTAGCATGATTAAATGTTTGTCTTTGTCTCTTGAATTCAGAGTTTAGGTGTCCTTTTCACTTCAGTGCAAAGCTCTTTGCAGAGAAAGAGGACTTTCATGGTGTCATCCATTTGCAGTATTTGCCTGGTACAATGACTAACAGAACATCTAGTTAGACTCAAGAAGAACTGTTCTTCTGATTCAGATTTTCAAAGTCCTACCTAGCAAATGATTCATGATACTAAGACTTCTGCTTAGGTGCACTGCATATGGCTTGGCTAACACCACAGGTACATATGTAACGTGCAACTGCCTACTGAGCAATATTTTGTCAATCTTTATATAAACACTGATTGGGCCTACACTGGATTTATGTACAACAACAATGCACTCACGCTTCTCACAGAGATGAGATACGGGTTTAAGCAGTGCAGCATCTTTGTGGTTCATCCATGTAGATGTCATCTGGGCAAAACTGGGACTGAAATAACTGTTTTGAGAGTTGCTTAAATTGTAATGTAAAAAATGAAACCTTTATTTCCAACAAGATGTAGGTTGGCTTGTAGAAACTTAAGTATCTCCAAACTGAAGTACAAACATAGAGAGGAAACAAGCTGAAAAAAAATATCATGTACATGTCTTCACCTGATCACATAAATCACTTGCTTGACTCTATGGAAAAGCCAATGGCATCCTGCCCACAGAAGAGTCACAAGGCTGTGTATATGTGCATATAAATATAGTAGCTGAGGATGAAGTTCTTGATCTACTTATTTGCCCCTTATGTCTCACAAGCAGTTTTTTCCAAAGTGGAATGGAAATATTCAAACATCTTGTGTATCTCATACAATTACTTTTCTGCGAAGAACCTTCTTTGCATGTGTTGCTTAGATGTACGTATTTCCCCCAAAATATGTTTCTAAATGCAGTCACATTCTGAGGACTGACAAACTGTACATATCAGATACCACCACAATTGCCCCCTCCCCTGCCCAAATATTAAAAGGCTCCAAATTGTATGTTATTTTATCAGCTGGAATCCGTAAGTATGACACAAAGTTTGGTTGTTTTATTTTTTTAATTTAAAAATTAATTCTGTAAAAATGAAAGTGTGGAATTCAGTGCCTCCTGATCTTGATTCTTCCTCAAATTTAAGTCATTGGAAGGTTCTTGCTTTTTCTCTTGGTTGTCAGCCTGTAAGTACAAAATGAATTTAATATTTGAAGTGGGCTTTTTCCCTAAATTCACAAAACACATCTTTCCTTAAGTAAAAAAAGAGCGTTAATGCTTTTCTAAATATATGAGAGAAAACAGAAACCTGTACAGCTCTTCTTACCTATGGTTTTCCTACAAAACAGTAGGAAGTGGTGTTTATCACAGAATCCCAAGGGTTGGAAGGGACCTCAAAAGATCATCTAGCCCAACCCCCCTGCAAGAGCAGGGTAACCTAGAGTACATCACACAGGAACTTGTCCAGGCGGGCCTTGAATATCTCCAATGTAGGAGACTCCACAACCCCCCTGGGAGACCCAGCAAACATTTGACAGTGAGGAAGACAGCTATTGCTCCAAGTGTTCCCAGGGAATGGATGCATTATGAAACATGGTGTGTCTGATTCTTTTAATTTTATAAATCATAGTTGCTCATAACATCTTTAAAAGGTCTGTGAAATTTGACAGGACGTATGTGTCTATTAAATGCTATATATTACCTGCATATTAAAACTTGTCCCAAGTATTATGATATTAACTATTGTTTTGCAGAGGAAGTGGAATAGTTATTAAATATATTCTTTACTCAGGTAAAGATTATACCAGTTTTTTTTTCAATAGGGCCCTGCTTTCTAAGGCTAGGTGCTGAGTAATGTTTTTATTCCTTCCTTCCCTGCATACGTAAATATGTAGGGATGATACAAAATAATATCCAAGGAAAACTTAGGAAAAGCGAAGTCTGTGAATCTCCTCCTTAGATATTTCTAAGGAGATATGAGTGACAACTATCAACATGAAGTTAGTGAATATGGACCCTGATAACTAATCCATACCCATTCAAGTCTAGTTACATTTATGTTAAATAGCTAAAGTAGTTTCAAAAACTGCTTAGTGCCTTAGTTATCTTTTCTGTTTTGCTTTTCAGTTACTGCCTTCTTCAGTAACAAGTGAAACAATATTCTGCAAGTAAATTTTAGTTTGTATTGAAAAATAATAACATATCTTACATAATCAGTTAACATAGATCAGATAAAATACATCTGAAACTGAAAATCCTGCAGCTTCTCAGAAGCCAGCTTCAGCACACAAATGTGGATATTCTTGTGATGATGCTGAATTTTATAATCTTTAGGTAAGGTTCTAAAGTTTTCATCTCAAAGTATTGTTTAGTCTTTATTTAAGGTTCTATATGTTCCATTATAAAGTAAAGTTTATAGCATTTGCAGGGGGAGGGGAGTTGATGAAGGTGCTGTAAAGTTGATTTGTTTTTTGGTCAGGATTTAATGTTTTAACAGTTAAGAGAACAACTTTTTAGTTATTTCTAAATTTAAAGAAAGTGGGTAGGAGGAGGGCAAGCAAATTTTCTTTTTTTTTCAAAAGTAGGTTTTAGAAAACCGGAAATTCATCAAGGATATAATATCTAGATACATTTTGGATTGTGTTTTGGCAGCTCTATGAGGATTTAAGACAGCATCATACCAGTGAAAAGTTTTCTTTAAAGTGACCAAATTAATTATTTCATGAGCCCCTTGGTTCTGCGTATTTGGTTGGAGGGTGAAATGAAAATAGTCTGTGAAAGGAGATATAACAGACATTCTATAGGAAAGAACAGGGTAAAGAATGAAGGGGGCGCGTAAAAATGTATGAAATTAAAGGGGAGAGATACTCATAATTTTCGTTCAGTTTGCAAGTTAGCATGTGTAGACAGATTAAGGGACCAGGCAAGAAAGAAAGATTTATGCTAGACTGGCTATGCAGCTACAACACATAGTATACTACTATTGTTTAACAAACAATAAAGAAAAAGAAAGGTTGTGATTTTATTTTAAAAAAAAAGGAATTTGGAAATTCCACTTCAGAAAAGCACATTGAAAACTTGTCTAAATGGCAGTTTGAAGATTTCAGTGTTCAAGAAAGACTGAATTTCTCTTAAAGCCCTGACTAAATTTTCCTGGGCATCTTCATGTGGGCCTTCTAAAGTAATCGTTCCTTTTGTCCAGCTCCACTCATAAAGTCAATAGGATTATTAGAATTAATCAAAGTAAATCACATCAAAAGCAGTTGCTGGCATCCACGCCACAACATTTCATTGTGTTGAAGATTACGTGGTTTTTCTTAAATGTGGTGTTGGCTTATGGTGTATACATATACCATAGTATACGTTTGTAATGATTAGCAATATATAGTTTATACTTAAAATAGTAGACTGAAGAAATGCTGAAATTTTCATAACAATCCTCGATTTTTATGTTTGCCTGAAAAACTATTTGTCATTCTCTGGATTGTTTGTTTGATCCTGGAGCAAAGATATAATGTCGTTTTTACCAGCAGTGTCTGCTACACAATAATAAGACTGAAGTCATCCTGCTTTTTATTTTGGATACGCCATGTGACACTAAACATGTAGAAATCACACCGGGCTAATAGTCATTCTGTTAACGGAAGGCATGCAATATAAATAATTCATATTCCTTAACATCATGAGAGAAATACTTCACTGTTCAATTTAATTTCTGAATTCACCAGCAAAAGTAACAAGTTAAGAAGGTATAAACTTTTGTTGGAATGGAAGTAGGTTTAATAATGATCAAATATGAATATACAAAAAAATAAAAATGGGAAGGACCTTATTTTAAAAATACAAGATACATGGTTTATGTGTTTAAATGCAGCAAAATGTTTTCTTTGTAGCTTTCTGTTATTATCAGTTGTTGACATGATTGAAATAGAAAAATTTGAAATTGTGAACATCTCATAACTTTAAAGTGACAGTTTGCACATTTCTGTCATTTTAAAATCATTACATGTTCATAAACTTTTTCATTGCTTGTTTGACTTAGACGTCATCATTTAGCTGCCTTCTTAAGTTTGTGGATACAAGCCTGTGTTCTTCAAGTTTGACTTTTCCCTGAAAACATGAGTGTTCAGCTACAGAGAAAACCAGCCATTTGCTAATTTATTCTAATTTATTCTCTATTTAGAATCAGAAATCAGATACCCAGATTTCTGTAGACATTTTTTGTCATTTAGTAGAAGCTATCTTGTCCTCCCCACTAAACATGTAGAGTTGCATTTGCTTTCATACTAAGTCTTATACAGGGAGTTTAGGCTCTCTGACTTCTATTTGAAACAAAAATTGGAAATAAGCTGTAGTACTCTGACTAACTCTCTGTGTTAGTTAGTAGTTAGATAGTACCAGTATAAAAAAAGACTATTCCTCCATTTTCTGTTGCTGTTATTACTGCTGCATGCCAAGAGTAGCCGTAAATTTGACACTTTATGGGATGGATAAATTACATGGCAGATCAAATTTCTGAGGTTATTGATGAGATCGCAGCTATATGTTCTTTCTTTTTTTTTTTTTTTTCCTGAAATCTATAGTATAACACACCCCAGGAACCATAGGAGTAGTATTCTCTCTCCTGGGCATTTTCTGGAGCTTCTGCTGGAGGTTTCACTCAGATTGTTTTCAAGCACAACTGCAGATGACAGTACAAAACTCCATCCTGTTCTTACTTCTCTGGATATCCTCTGGGAGATACTTTTCAATGTGAATCTTGGTAACGGGAGAGCTCCTCTGTTTACCAAAACAGCTAAGCATGTGCTTGACTTTAAGCACATAGCTGGTCTTAAGAGCCAGTAATGTGCTTAAAGAGTTTGCTAGATATGCATTATAGATATTCCACTTCATAAGGAAGGAAAAGGGTTTTTCAGTAAGGCAACAATGGAAAACAAGGCTGATGTGGTGGTGTGGTAAAACACCTCCCATTGCAGATATAAATAAGAATAGTCTACTAACTCTGACCTCTGTTTCAGAGACAACAATTCTAATATCACAATTAAGCGAACTGACTGATGAAGCTGCGCTATTGGAACTTCACAAACTAATAAGCTATTCAATGGACGATTAACTCTGGTCTGCACAAGGACTACACAGGTCTAGAGATAAGCTATTAGGCTAAAAATCTGCTTTTTTTTAGAAATTACAGTAGTTGTCTGTATTAATTTCATTTCACAGAGTTAGTATTTCTGCACTTTGTACGCTATTGTTTTTAAGCTTAACTACTTGGAAAAGTGAACAGAAAAATTCTGAAACAAACAAACAAGCAAATGACAAATCTCTATATTACCAAATGCAATTTTAGAATTCAAAGTTATGGAAAAAATAATTTAAACTGTGTATTCTAATAGTGTGCAGCCACATGTCTGAGCTCAGCTCACTTATTTAGTCTCGTGATTGACAGAGCATTTGGTAGCTTCTTGGATGTTTTAGAATGAAAGAAAGTAAGGCTGAATCTCACTGATATGATTATGACTTGTCCATATCCTGTGCTAAAATGCTTCTTAATTACTTTGTCTTCTGCTTATGACTTAGGAAATTTGCAGCATCTTGTAAACTGCACATAACAAAAGACTGATTTATAAATCAAAACTTTTGGAACAGATGAGGTTTCCTCAGTGAATCCCTTCTGTGCCTCCAAAATTAGCCCTGTCAATCAAACCAACAGGTGGTGTATGGTTACACATAATGGATCCCCTCTCACAAGATACGTTCTTTTAGGAAACCAATCAGAGTTGACAGTGACATGATGAGGCAGACCTGACAGCAGAGCTGGGGTATATAAAGCAAAACAACTATGTTAGCACTTCTGAGCAGTCGTGCATTCCCCGCCTCGCCTCGGGTGTAGGGATTGCAAAAAAACAAAACTACACTGTCAAGACTGTGTAGTTTTGTTTTTATGATTAGAGGCTCTACAATTCTCATGCTGGGATTGTCTAACAAAATTTTACTCTGGATAAGGACGTCGTTTAAGAAGATTTCATTGGGCTTAGCCCACTCTTACAGGCACTTTGAGAGATCAGGTTAGTAACATGTTTCTGATGGTGGAATAAGTATTTTATCTGTCATTAACAATCCTGATACAATCTACTATTTGCAAATTTTTTTCAGGGGGGGATGTAGGTTTCAGACTATGGACATAGACCATTTAAATTTTCTGGGAAGATTATGTCTTAAATTTCTGGGTGTAAGTTTTGATACTACTCAGCAAAAAGTTTTTCTAGTATATTTATTGTGAAAGACTACAAATTAAAATTTGAAATGTGCATGGAAGCATCTGCTTAACTTTAAACCTCCTTTCATTGGGAGTGTTCAAGGTTATGATACTGAGAGATAAACAGAAGCTCCCAGAATAGCTCTGATAAAATGCACATGGTATCAGCTAAGCACTGATGACTTTTTAAGGGAATCAACTGCTAAGGTATCAGTTACATGGCAGCTCTGGAACACTTGTCTGCTGTCATTCATAGCCAGGAAGGTTATTTCTGGAACATGACATTTCAGATGCATACTTTCAATTCTAATTATACAAAAAGCCTTATAAGATCAGAGCTTCATCACTGAATTTTGCCTAGACAATGAAACATATAAACTTTTTTTGAACTCAATGACAATTCTACTTAATTAAATTATTTTTAATCTATTTTGGAGTCAGGAAATTACATATATATAAATTTTCATAATGTTTAATTATATTGTCAGATTATTTCCCTGGGTTTTAGCATGTGACAGATATTTGTCTTCATCTTCCTCTCAGAAAACTAGTGTTGTTTTAGGATAAAACGGTGGTCATTTGTTTCTACTTTGAACTCATTTCCCCCTTACTCTTGAAGCTGAAAAGCTTTGATAATGGGCTGTTTCCCTGTTAAGCTGGAAAGAGTATCCAGCTAACCAGTAAAGGCAATAAAAAGCAGATAAAAATCTCAGTACAATATCCAGCTCAACTCTTATGTGCTTATTGTATGTAGGCACCAGGCACTGATTTCAATTAAGGAACTCATGCCTTTAAAGGGTAGCATAAATTTTGCTCATAGTGAAAGAAACTTCATTTTCTCATTAATTTTTAAGTTTAAGCCTGGGACTGTCACAAAATCAGGCACAGAAGTCAAAGTAAACAACAGTAAATGTGTGAGATTGACTTGAAATATTATGGGGTTAAATCTCAGTTAGTAAGACCTGATATGCTCTCAGGGGAATTTTTTAATGAGAAAAATTGTAACTTGTATAGATATCCGGTACTATTAAGAAGATATTAACAGCATTAAAAAACTTGGACAAATCAACATCAGTAAATAAATGCGTTCATGCAAATATAAAATATTCCTGATACAGAAGTTTTCCTAGTAGGAGAGTGCGATTTTAAAGTAGGATCTTGTGTCATAAGAAGAGAAAGCAAACTTCTTTCAGATTTCACATGGATCTGCAGTTGTTCAAACCATCAGTGTCAGTGGCTACCTTATATCCTAGCTCACATTTCGAAGGTAGCTGTCTTCCCATATTCAAAATTCCACTGAGATACTCTCTAAGAAAGAGTATAATTTTATCTACATCTGTAGTGCCAGTATGCTTCTGTGCAAAATGAAATTATTCACTACTTACAGATGGCTTGTAAGAGTCTCTTGGCATTTTTTTCATTATCAAAAGCCAAACACTGTAGACTTTCAAACTTTTTTCAGTGGCTACTTAGTGACCTTGTTGGCCTCCTACTGGAGAATGTAAACAGTTTGCACAACAAAACGTCTTCAGATACTTTAAAAAAAGTCCACATGGAGATTATTTTCTATTTAGGTAAAGATTAATGGCCAAATACAGGCTAGAAGACCTGTGGAAGGTCATGCAATGAGTCAAGCAGAACTTTGTCTCCTGCTGCATACTTGTAATGCCAAATCACAGCTTCACTAAATATAACATTTTCACATCCAACTCAGCCAAGTCAGCCCTAAGAGTAATTTGCTATGCAATTTTTCTAAACCCACAATCACAATGCTTCACCAGGTCAACGTGATTTAAAACTGAATAAATTGTTATGAAAATAATCACAAATATTCCTAAAATCTAGCAAGAAGGATGTGTGTGTAATAACAATTTCACTATTGATTTCTAATTTCTAAACTTATGTTGCTTTCAGAGTGCCTGTAAAGATGACGACAAAAGCACCAACATTCACGCAGCCGTTACAAAGTGTTGTGGCACTGGAGGGTAGTGCCGCAACCTTTGAGGCTCATATTAGTGGTAAGGTTTTCGTTCATTCTTGCAAGATTGATTATTGTCTGTTACTATTTTTGGTAACGTTTATGCTAAGACAAATGATAAAACTTTTCAAAGATCGTAATCTGAGCTGAACAGGTAAAGACCAGTGCTGAAATGTGACTATATATCCATATCATACAGTAGTAATCAGCACTGAGGTGCTGTCAGATACCCATGAACACACTGCATAAAGTTACAAGGCTTCCCAGGCAATAGTGAATCATCCTGCCAATGAGACTGGTGTCTAGTCTCATGTATGTTAGAACCATGAAAACTGGGAGAAAATAGCATTTAATGATTTACATAAAAATACATATTGTACTAATAAGGGAACTTCATGTGAGTGTAAAAAGACTGAACTTGTTTGGATGATGATTGGACAGAATGAGGAATCATAGTGCAGAAGGCAAGGCATATGGTAGTTCTTCACTGACCTAGTTCTAAGCCTAACTCTAGCAACTTCTGCACCTTTCAGTTTACTTCATTCTGGAGTTCTGTCAGTGAGGGGTTAAAAACACAAAATCTGGGTCCACATGGCTACTGAAGACAGTAGAAACCCTAGTTTGCTAGATAATAGATGTGTATGATGATCATGATGGTAGCTCAAGGCTGGATTAATATAATTTAAATTGCTGATGTAATTTAAAGATACCACGTAATTTTAAAGGTAGCTCATTTGCCAGTCTACGCCCCATTCAAACACCTCATCTTGTGCAAAATCCCATGCAAGAACCCTTATTCACGTTATAAGGCTGAGTTGGTTTTCATAAGACCAACACCCTGTTCTAAGAGTGCCTCTGACCTCGGCAGTGACTAAGGAGAAATGACACATGCTCCTGCTGATGGAATTATATTGTCTTACAGGCATTAGCAATGTGATGATCCACATATCATAAAACACTACCCAGATGCTCTGTGACAGGTGCAAACACATGATCTGTCCAAGTATAATGATCTCTGACATCTAAGGTCCACTGTGGTTCATTCCTTTGGTCCCTTTGAATAGCACTGACTCACACAAGGTGTTTGAACATGTCATGTAATCAATATCCATGATATTTTTTCATGCCTTACTCTGTTGTTTGGCCCTCTACTCCTCAATTAATTGCCCTGACCTTCTCTTGTTATCTGTACACTGTAAATTTTCAATTAAGAGTTTCTTTCCACTGCTGATTACAATACTTATTATGAATACATAAAGTTATCACCAGAACAAGTGAATATACTAATATTATGGCTCAGAGTGTGATTTTGGCTATTTTAATTTGGGTGATATCATGGATTATTTGATAGGGGAACTTGATTTCTTACAATGAGGAGTATACACCATATTTGCATTTTAGTCCCAAATATCATGTGAGGCAATCTTCTGTTAGCTTTTATTTATATTGTAAGATTTTGAAATACCTTTTCTGCACCAAAAGTATCCATCAAGATTAACAGATCTGACAGTGGTTTGTAATTTAAGTTTTCCAATGCATAAAAAATATGAAGAAAGATTTATTTCTTGAACTAATTGCATAAATAATGGACTATACGGCTTTATTCTGCTACATTGTCTTTCTTACCTGCCATGAATTATTGTGATTTTGAAATTTACTTTCTTTTTAGCTCTGATAACTCTGTTTATATACAAATCAAGTATTAATACAGAGATACAATTCGAACACAGCCCAGTTAATCTAAGAGTACCAGAAGATATTAACAACCACCAGAGGCGTAATTTTGCAGTCTGTAAACTAGAACAAATGATTGCACTGTTTTGTCAGACCATGAATTAAGTGCCACATTGCAAAGGTTTGATATCAGTCAAAAATACCCAGCACCTCCCCCTGGCTTAGAACACACAAACCCGTGACTAAAAGCAGTAAATGCCAGAGTAGCTAGCACATCATCGCAGGGGGGAGCACTACTGGGTGGGCAGTTACTGAGGGGACATGAGGCAGCATGTCAGTGACAAGAAAGTCTGCCGTGCTGATGGCAATAGAACTGTGCCCATCCTCATGTCTCCACAGTAATGATCAGGTACTGAATTTGCTCACAAAAAACTAACATGTACTCCAGTTGAGTACCGAAAATATCAGTTCAACTTTCTTGAATTTTGCATTACTCAATGTAAGACGGCCCTACACTCCACATATTGTTGAAAGCAACACAGAGATGGCACACAGGTTGGCAGTTCCTTTCACTTACATCATTGTCAGGACAATTTGAATTTAATTACTAAATTAGTGAATTTGAGGCCCTTCAGGTTAATTTTCTTCATTTTATCAGTAAAGTTCAAAAACCTAAAGGACAGTTTCAAAAATGAAAATAACGTCCTGATAATTAATATTCAAATCATAGTGGCATTTGGCACATTTTAAAGTCAGTCCTTACTCTACATAGTCCAGTCAAAAATACCTGTAACCTGAGGTAAATCTTATGTTTCAGTCCCTAGCCCTGTGGCATGGGATTAGCAGAGTCCTAGTAAATTTGTGAAGTTCAGGGGTTTTTAGTATGAATTTGTGCTCAGGTTTTCAAAACAGCTTCTAATTTTTAATCCTTTGAGCATATGATTTTAAGGCATTAAAATAGACTCAATTTTTTTAAATGTAGGCTTTGTTCAACCTATCACACAAACCCCATGTTTGCTAATCATCATATGATGCTGCACCAAGAAAATACCACATTTTGTTTCAAGAAATTCTCTATTGAAAAAGTGATTTTTGGTTGCCAAGCTTAAGAATTTTTGAAACTCCTTCGCACAAATGTTAGCTCTGGATGAAATCGGTGGGATCTGCTGGATGCTTTGTATTTATGATGATCATGTTCAACTTATTGTATACTAGTAGTATAAGACACTCTGTGTGTATGTGTTTCTATTTTGTATATATCTAAAAATCAGTTTTTCAACTATGAGTAAAATTTAAAACTTTGTCAACCAGGTATGGTGTGACTGCAGACAGCCAGTAAAAGCTTCAGACTACATTTCTGAGATTCCCTTTCATTTTAGTCTCACACAGTCATATTCCTGACACATTGATCCCCCAGATAATTAAATTCCTTTTAATTTATAGGAGAATTTATAGGAGAGGTACTCTAGAAAGGAGCAGAATTCTGTGGTCCTGGGGTTTTCCAAGCCACAGAGAGTGGAGATCGAAAAAGTAGAGCAGCTCCAGCAATTGCAGTTTCAGATCTCATTCCTGAGCCTGTGTGCAGTGCAGTGCAATTGGTGATTTGTCTTGAGAGTCTTGATGAGAAGTAAATAAAGTAAATTTGAAGGATTTTTTACTTTGGAGAAATGATGTTGTAGGACTACAGAAAAACTTTTGAGCTGGACCCATATCCTTAAATTAGCTGTTCTCCTTATGTGGCTTGCCTAAAAACCTTGCCTGTTTGTCAAATGGATTTCAGTTGCTCAGTAGAGTTGGCTGAGTAAAAAACCTGGAAACAGAATTTCCATTAGAAATCAAACCCCACCATTTAAAACTAAAAAACCAGCTGTAGATATAGGTCAAACTCTTCTGACAAGAAGAGTCTTGCTCACAACCCTGGCAACAAAAGAATAGTGTGTTTGAACAACAAAAGATACCAAACTAAAACAGAATTCATTCCAAGAAAAAAGAAACAAATCCTCCAAAACATTAATAGCACTTGATGTTAATGTCTACAGCAGTCACTTTTCTGTCACTTCATTTTTTGAATCATTTAGTGTTAGGACAACTACTTAACTTGGTCAGAAGTTCTGATTTTTACTTTGTCTCCAAACTATTGGACTGGATAATTTTGTTAGCAATAAACACTACTTAGATACTAACAGATAAATAAAAGAATTCTCGTGTGCATTAGTCCATCTCCCTCATAATTTCAATGAACAATTCCTCAACAGGACTGCCAAACACTACAGTCCACTCATTATTCAAGTGATTTCCTAAATTCAGTAGACTATGTAGTTGTTCTATTGCTCTGTGTATTTGAAAGACCTTTCTAAAAAGAAATTCCTTTACCACTGTGTCACTAGACTTACAATCATGTATCTGTGCCTATGCCATTGCACTCCACTATAACTGTGCATACATGAGTGAGTATTATGGTAACTTTGGATATCTGGCATTTCACAGAATCTTATTCTCCTTTTGTATTCCTTTTTCTTTAGGTTTCCCAGTTCCTGAGGTGAACTGGTATCGGGATGGCCAGGTTCTTTCTGCTGCAACTCTGCCCGGTGTGCAGATCTCGTTTAGTGATGGCCGCGCTAAACTGGTGATCCCCGCCGTGACAGAAGCAAACAGTGGAAGATACACCGTACAAGCCACCAATGGATCTGGGCAAGCTACTAGTACAGCTGAGCTACTCGTCACAGGTATGAAATAGCTAAAGAAAGGCACCTCCCTCTGCTGGCAGTGTGAGAGAGAGCAACAGCAGAAGTGTCAGTTCATGAAAAAGGTTTGGATTTAAAGTACATGATCAGAAAAGAAATAGCAAACCAATTTGTTTTCCTAAAGCAGTCTAGAATTCAGCATGTATTCTGGCTTGTATTTTCTAACAGCATCATTATACACATATAACACTTAATTGTATAAAGTTTAATCTTGATCTTATACACTCTCAGCCATAATTACAAACTTCTGTCATAGCTTCTGCTCATGTAATCTGTCACAGTGGCTTTATTCAAACTATGTATAAAAGAAATTATAAAAGAAAAGAAAGTTCTGCAGATATTTAACAGAATAACTCACATAAAGGCTCATACCCAAGAGACTGCACTTGCTACCTATGGTTATACTCAATGTATCTCTAATTCTAGAAATATTTGCACACATGGGCATAGTCAGAAATATCAGAAATAATAAACATGTGAAAAAAAAGTTAAGATTGTTTGCATTTTGCAAATCAACTCTGTTTTAAATGTTTGAGTCTGCAGTATCACCTGTCAGTAACATGTGAAAAACAAAAAGATCTAATGCAATTCTACCTATGAAAATATCTAGCCCTTAAAGTTCTTTTTAACAGATGTTATTGCTTTTCTATTTATTTCTTCAATAAAACTGCAGCTGGAACAGCACCACCAAACTTTTCACAACGACTACAGAGCATGACTGCAAGGCAGGGAAGTCAAGTTCGACTTGATGTGAGAGTGACTGGAATCCCTACACCTGTGGTGAAGTTTTATCGGGATGGAGTAGAAATCCAAAGCTCCCCCGATTTTCAAATTATACAAGAAGGAGACCTTTACAGCTTAACAATTGCAGAAGCATATCCTGAAGACTCCGGTACCTATTCAGTAAATGCCACAAATAATGTGGGACGTGCTACTTCAACAGCTGAATTACTAATTCAAGGTAAAGGAGGTGAAGTTGCAAGCCATGAAAATAAGAGATCATTCATTGTTGTAAAGGTACAATATGTACCACTTCATCAAAGTTATGGCAACAAGCCAACTTATAACTTCTTTCTCAAGCATTATTAACTTGCTGTGAATAAACAGTGTTTTGGTGACATTTGCAAAAGGATTTTGTCTGAGAATTTAAAAGGAGCTTTTCTCCAGAATGGGTCTTCTTTAAACTGAGGATTCAGTGGACAGGATGCTCCACTGAGGATACTTTCACTTGTTCTTATTTTGCTCTGTAGATTTCACAAAGTTGCATTTATAAGCTGTCTTTGACAGAAAATATATATATTAGACTGCGTAACTGTGCATGGTCTTGTAAATGAGCCTGATAAGAATGAAGACAGTTCTTAGAGAACTGTAGCAGTGAATCATTTTACCTAGCGCAGTCTTGCTTGGATTTTAACTCAGTCAGGCTTCCAGAATGTTTAGATATTTGAGATCCAGGACTGTTTCATTTTGTTTGTTGTTTGTTTTTCTAATGACAATAATGAAAAAATATTATTCCAACTGTTTTCACAATTATCTGTCTATAGATACTGCAGGAAAAACACATGGTTGCTCAACACTTTCTCTGTTGTTTATATAAATTTGTATACAAAGGAAATTGACCATTCATTTATTTCTGCATCTGCTTGTTGTTTGTTGCCATCTGCAATTCTCCTGATCTTGTTTTTTCTTCCAAAAGGTGAGGAAGAAGCCGTTCCTGCTAAAAAGACAAAGACAATTGTTTCGACTGCTCAGATTTCACAAACAAGACAAGCCAGAATTGAAAAGGTATATTTTTCAAAAACAAAGCTGATAAGGTTAAAATGTGGATAACGATTTCTACAGTATCTCAGACTTGTTTTCTTGATTTCATTGTAGAAGACTGAAGCCCACTTTGATGCCAGATCACTTACAAGTGTTGAAATGGTCATAGAAGGTGCAGCAGCCCAACAGCTCCCACATAAGGCACCTCCACGAATGATTCCTAGACCTACATCAAAATCACCAACCCCACCAGTAATTGCTGCAAAAGCACAAATGGCACGACAGCAGTCACCATCACCTGTTAGACAATCACCGTCACCTGTAAGACATGTCAGAGCACCAACACCCTCACCAGTAAGGTAAACTTTTTATTCTTTCAAACAAGATTGCCTTTTGAATCAACTTTCACATACAGAAGTAATGCTGTAGAATGACAGCACAGTATAAAATGGAAGAACGCACTGACTTAATGACAACTGTGTTTATTCTGATGGTGAGCTGTAAGGTACTATATTTGCCACTGTTATAGAAGGGTGTGCCTCTTATGTAAACTTTCTATCACATATGGAAGAAAATCCTTTAGAGAATAAATCCAGTTTGATTGCTCTACTTACAGCTGAAATAGCACTCAAAGCTTCAAATTCATGATGAAAGAGAAGAAAACAGTAAAGCAGTTGGTCCTTGATTATTTTAGATGAACAGGGAAAAGAACAATGGCACTCTAATGAGTGGCAAGCAGAATGGAAAGAACACATTCTTTGTGTATGCAGAAAAAATGTTTTAAAGCAGGTAAGGTAAATATGGTTATGGAAAAATAACGTTTAGTTCTGCTGCATAAAGAGTTTTAGGGGGAAAGTAAGTGATATAAAGAGCAGGGCTCATGGTCTGGGAGACCTCAGGAGGTGTGTGCTGAGAAAGCAGGTAAGGAGAAACTGCTTTGGAAGCCCTGCAGAGCTGGTGAATTTGGCCCCATTGAGAGTAACTTGCAAGTACAGGGAGAAATGTATTAGTAGTAACTGGCAATAACTAACAAGCTGCACAGATGAAAGAATAATTCAATTGTGCCATCTACGGTGTGTATGAAACTGGAAGTTTGTACTCCACTGCTTGTCAAACCACTTTTAGACATACGTTAGAAAATAAACCTAAAAATTAACATGATGCTGCCCTCTACTGCTGCAATATGTTAATGGTCCCTGGAAAATACAGTATAAAAAATTCATCTCAAAGGAAGTGTAACTTAGAAAGTTTATTAAATCATTTTAAGAAATGCTTTCAAACTATCTGTTAGGATCAGGACTGAATTCTCAATTTTGATATTCTAAAAAACTAGCACTTTCTAAGTGACTTCCAATTATTGTTGGGGAAATTTTAAATGCAAGTATGGAGAAAAATATAGATCAGAATCTTTCTTGCAACATGAACACATGAAGGGATAACACATAGAAATAAGATGTGGTGCAGCAGTACATAAAGTTATGTTGTTGCTAGGTGGCTGCCACATAAATTTTTTTACAAAAAGCAGTTACTCTAATCATTTTGTCTCTCTATGGAGACTGGACCACAAATGTAATATGTAATACTCACAGCCTGTAAGCCTTTTATATTATACCTATTAGGAGAATTATGATAGAGAAAATGGAAACTAGTAATTTTTATATATATATTTATTTTAAATATGTGTGCTTGAGTGAAATGCACTTTGACATCTGCCCTTATTTCTTTTTGGGAATCTAACTAAGCTACTATGAAGATATGTTACAGTTATGAGTATGACAAAAGCACACATTAGGCATAATGTTAAAATCAGGTAAGTGTAATATACAAGTAGAACACCTCAAAAACTTTTGTAAAATAAAACAAGTGAAGATACCCTAAATGGGGAGTGAATTCAAGTCCAGGCTGAATGGCACGTTTGTATAATTGCTGTTGTATGACAAAACATTAATTATATTAATACTTTATTTTTATATTAGGTCAGTTTCTCCTGCTGGAAGAATCTCCACCTCACCTATTAGACCAGTGAAATCTCCATCTCCAATCCGCAAAACACATGTAGTGACAACAGGTGGGGCCGAAGTCCTTCCTCCTTGGAGGCAGGAAGGATATACTGCAACCACAGAAGCCGAGATGACAGAAACAAGAGTATCTACAAGTGCTACCCAAATAAGAACTGAAGAAAGATGGGAAGGAAGATATGGGGTCCAAGAACAAGTTACCGTCAGTGGTGCCGCTGCTGGGGGGGTTGCAACTGGTGCTACAGAGGTAAAGTCTATTTTTTGAAAGAACGTTGGTTTTGCTTTATGTGTGGACTTATCACAGCTGATTAGATTTGCTAAATGAAAGGCTGTGTATAAAAATGTGTGTGTACCTGCTGTTGAGAGTTCTGCTGCAAGTATTTAAATGCTTCTGTGCAACATTCTGTCTCTGTACTTGATTTTTGTCCTTCTTCTGAATGCAAAACATGAAAAAATGTCTTTTGATGTGATTAATATAGGTGAGAAAGGACAGTGAAAAAACAGCAGCAGTTGCTATGGTTGTTGCTGCTGTGGATCAAGCCATGGTGAGAGAACCAGCTCCAAGTGTTGTAGAGCAAACTACTAAAAGGACAGCAATGACTGCAGTCCATGTTCAGCCTGTTCAGGAGCAGGTAGAAATAGAGCATAGGCATTCTATGGTTTCCCCTTTATCCCTTCACCCAACATGCAAACAAGGCATGATTCACTGTGAGGAATTAACAAGACGTTACCCAGTGCACCACAAAAGCATGACTGTAAAATCACTTTTTCCATTGCTTTTCACCATAGCAGGATGGAACTAGTTATTCTTAATCTGTTTTTAAGTTTAAGAATGCTTTCTATGGAAGTGTTCGTGTGTTTTTCCTTGTCATTTGTTCTCTAACATTATTCTGACACTGGTGGAGTTTTTCCTCTAATATCTCATTTACAATTTACCCGCTAGGTATAAAATAATTCCCCCTTAGTGTTTTTCCTTCACTTACACTTTTCTCTTACTTTACCTTCTCTTTCTTTTGATGATCAAATTGTTAAAATGAATTTTAAGGCTTTGTTTTTTTGTTTGTTGCTATAAAAATCAGATGAGAAAGGAGGCAACAGTAGTAGTTACCACTGATAAAGCCACAAAACAAACAGTAATATCGAGAACTAGAGAAGAAATTGTTACTTCAGAAGAACAAAGGCACATCTCTCATGAAAAGGTGAATACAGATGTTACCTATGATTGTCATACTCTGTTCAAAAATTTAATGTCTCCTCAAAGGACAAGCCTATGAACAAGAAAAATGACATACCACAATACTATTTTTAGCTTCTCATAAATGCTCAGTTACTAGTTTACATTGCTATCATTCTCCTATCTCTCCTTGATGATGATTCCTTTTTTATTTCACTTCCATTAATACTGAAGGATGTGATAGATAAACTTGAAAAACATTAACTTAGTAAAAAAATCTTTCTTTTATATATTGTATGGTGTTTTTTTCTCTGATTTTGTTTCTAAGCTTGCTATTTGTAGCCTGCTTTGTTTGTTGGCAGTACAGTGGGTGAGAAAAAAGGAGCAAAAACTCATTCTGCATTGAAATCCATTTTGAAAATACGGATCCAGATTATTTTCACGTGTTTTATCAGACAAATGGGATGTAATGGAAGATCAGCTTTTATAGAGAAATATTACCTCTGCATTCTAGCAGAAATGCATGAGGAATGAAATGTAACCTATGTTTAAAGTACTTAGAAATAGAAATCAACCTTGGAAAAAAAATCAGATGTTTATATGCAGATTATAGCTGAAGATGGCGAAATGAAAATTACTTAATACTTGATTTTAATATTCTATACTTTCTCAAACTGATTATGATGCAGGACAGTTTTTCTCTGATCAGATTTTTTTTTATTTATTACTGCTTTCAGTAGCAAAGCAATCATTTGTGGAATGTTGTGTTGTTTTTATGCTTAGTGTATATATGTTTTATAAAAAGTCCATTTATGTTGATGTTGTTTCCAGACTAGATGATTTTGAAATCCAGAATTCAACATTTCCCTTCTAGTTTTATCCTCTTTTCCAAATGTATCAAAAATCATGTACCTTATACTTTTAAACAATGTTTCATTTAAACTTCTTTATTTGTAAACACCTAGGTAAGAAAACAACCAGAGAAAACTCCAGTACCCACAGTAGTTATTGCCACAGACAAAGCCAAAGAACAAGAAAGAATATCAAGATCTAGAGAAGAAATATCTACCAGACACGAGCAAGTGCAAATTGCTCATGAAAAGGTAAATTAATATTACAGATGTTTAACTCACTGTTATACACCAAAAAGTTCATAAAACCTCATTCTTCATCAGCTGTGCTACATATCTTTGCTCTGCTTATATATGAAGAGCAGATTATAAACTGAAAAGTTTATCAAGCAAGGTAGTCCAGCCCAGTGTCTCAGGTCTGATTTCAGGGCTGCTCTGTCTACAGAGGAAGAGTGCAGCTGCCAATCCTACAGATCTTTTGAACATTATGGCTTTTACTGTCAGGGTACAGAGAACTTCATCTTATGCTTAATGACCTCTGATTTTTGTCTGAAGGTAGATTTCTAGAGATAAATTTTAAAGGTTATCTCTCATGATATAATATTTATGCGTGCAGTTTGATTTAATGAAGTTCATATTTCTGTGAGTATTGAATGTATCTGCTAGACTATATTGTGAAGTCTTTGTTGGAGTAACTGATGAAATAGTTCCATCTACTGATGGGAGCAAATATTAAGTCAGTAATACTCATTTTTCTGTAAGCAGAAAACAGTTTCTACAAAACAACGATACAGTACAATTAACACACAGATTAATGCAATATGTTAAATGACTTTGTTCAGCTAGCATATAAAATATGCTATAGCTTGGTCTGCACAAAGGGATTATTCCATTTCTCAAGTGCTTTTCTTCTCTTCTTAATACAAATTCTGAAACCTTATCCCACTTTCCAGGAAAGCTGTATAATTTTGACAGCAGACATAATTGATTACTGTTATTTTCTTTACCATAAAAAATAGATAACAAAGGAAGATATGAAACCTTCTGTACCTAAGGTAGTAATTACCACTGATAAACCTAAACCACCAGTCATAATATCGAAAAGTAAAGAAGGAATTGCTACCAAACAAGAACAAGTGAGCATAACCCATGAAAAGGTGAATAGCAATATTATATTTGTTCTTTTATCCGCTATTCTTTAAAAACCTTGTGTCACTCAAAAAATACTAACTATACATTTCCAGATCATTTTTTCTATGATTTATTCCACTTACAAACTTCCAGAACTACTGTCAATACTATCTTGTTCTCCTAAATGTTTTCATTAATAGGATGCCCATAATTCCTTTCTGATTGACATTTGGAATGGAATAACTGACTCTTGAAATGCATTTGAACTTTTTTTTAAAAATTTAATCGTTACTTTTACTTAAGTAGGTGTGAGGGTGTGACAATACTTATCAGTATGCATAATAGAGTATAATAATATAGTATAATACACAGCTGTGTGCAGTGCACAAGAACCTAACCCCTTCTTTTTAGTTGTTCCTCTTCCAAAATGCTTTTCTGTTGTTCAAATATCTTTCAAGATCATATATAACTGAAACTTTTATTTTTGCTACAATAATTAGATTAAAAAGGAAGCTAAGAAAACTACTGTAGCTCCGAAACTTATTGCCACTGATAAAACCAAAGCACCAGTCACAGTGTCCAGAACTAGAGAAGAAATTACAGCCAAGCAAGAACAAATTCATCTAGCTTATGATCAGGTGACTATAGTTGTTGCAGATGTGAAATGAATTGTTAAAATTTGTTTTATCTGCAAACCTTACCTTTTAAGAGCTACTTGGGTACATTAGAATGCCTTCAAATATTCCTGATAACATACCCATCAAGTTGGATGATTGTCAAGTAACAGGGGCAGTGTGATTAAATTTCTGGTGATAAAGAGGTTTTTGTCTCACTAGACAGAAAGGAATATTATGAAACGCCACTTCTAAGACTACAGTCAGATTTCTCTCTGAAAGCCTACTTGCTACCAATGACAATCAAGTAATGTTTACTTGTTCAAATTTCTGAATGAAATTTTTTCTTCTACATGATGATTCCTTGCAATGTTATGGTTGTAAGATGAAACAGCTGATCTCTGTTCAAGTTTCAATTGCAATGTTCTTTATATCATACAAACTTTAGCATCCATTCAAGTCTGTACAATTTATTACTTCTGACAATCAGACATTAGGAGACATGGCTTTCTTCCTGTAGGACTCCCGCAGCAGAAAAGCTTTCTGATTTTAATACAGCCAGGAACTCTCATATGTGGAAGAATAGCATAACTATTGGCTACAAAAGCTAGCAGCTTTTATGTAATTCTATTTATCTACTTTGTTAGAAAAAGTATGGTACCTTCATAAAACAATTTTATAAAATATGATTAAAAGAGCACAACATATAAAGCTCAGAGGAATCAGACTGCTAAGAGACTGCAGTTACGTGTTAGATGATGTAAATTTAGGGCAAAATTCAAATTGGTACAAACAATGATTTTGAAATAGGCAATAATATTGAATAAGACATCCTCGTTACCTAAGCACTAATAAAAAAAAAAAAACTCTGCAAATGATCACATTTTAGCCTCACTTGTTATTTTAGTTCAAGGTGTTAATGACTTTAAAATCAGCATGAAGTTATCCATTAGAAAGGTATCCTAAGGCATAAATAGGATATGCTTTGTTGCTACATCCAGATCAGTTATGACAGCAATAATAAACACCAGTAGTGACTGTCCTATTACCTATTGTTGTCTGACAGGGCAAAAATTTAGACCCTGATAACACAGAATTTGACAGTATATAAGAAAAAAAGAAAATTCCTGCTGCAAATGTGTTATTTCCAATTCCTCAGAAAACTCGGGTTTCCTTCTTTTGTAAAATCATTTGATAATTAGCCCTGAAACAACCAATATGCCTGGGGTAAAGTTTTTTATGGGTATATTCCATAGTAAATACATTCATATCAGATGCTAGACACATTCTCTACATTTTTAGTAGCATCTAACAGTTTTATGGAGCTGATCAGCATACTGACTTTATGTGTACATGTACATACCTGCCAAAAGCAGCCGTAAATGTGACTATGAAGCATTAAAAGAGAGCTTGCATACAAATATTGATATGTATAAAGCACACAAGCATAGCTGTCTTCTGAATATGCATAGATAGAACTTAGAAAAGACTATGTCTATGTCTGAGTCTACTGACTCTGCAATGTATTTATGGGTGAACATATTTGATGTTTACATTATTACTTTTGCATATGTATGCACACTTTCTTTTTTTGTAATATACTTTACTGAGCATTATATTTATAAATATTTGCCGTATATGTAAGCCTTTAATATAATGATGAATATTTGTATGAATTTTGCCAATGTTATCCATAGACTGAAGCTGGAAAAAGGGCTGAAGCTGTAGCTACAGTTGTTGCCGCAGTTGATCAGGCGCGTGTTCGATCACCCTGGGAACAGCAACAAGTGGATGAAGCTTATGTAAAGCAGAAAACTTTGGAATATGGCTATAAAGAGCAAGTAACAGACCGGGTTGCTGCTGTGACAGACCGGGTCGCTGAGGCCCCAGCAGAACGCCATGTTGTCACTAAAGAAGTTAAAACTGTATGTGTTCCTCCTGAGAAACATATCTCTGCTGCTGAAAAGAAGGAAGTTCAGATATCAACAGAGGTTAGACATCAGTTTGCATTGCATTCTTTTCCAAAAGCTGTGTCCCAGTGAAATCTGTTTCAGTTTGGAGAACAGCATCAAATTCTCAAAAACTTTTTTCATTGCTTTGTGTAGATAAAAAGAGCAACAGAAGCTAAGACAGAGAAAACAATTCATGTTGAACACCCACGACCTCGCACAACAAGTCCTCACTTCTCAGTCTCCAAAATTGCTGTTCCTAAACCAGATCATACATATGAGGTAGGAAGTGAAAACTGCATCCAAGAATAATATGCTCCTTTATAGTAACAAGTGGGTCACCCTTTCCAAAGGCTTTTCCTCCTGCTCCAGTATGGTGCTTTCCCAAGAAGAGTTGCCTGCTCTCTGCAACTGTTTTTGTTTACAGCAGTGCTGTAAACAGATACATGAACTGCTAACATTTGATTTGTAATTATTAGTATTTAACAAAGCTTATCATCTGTATAAGGATGCAGCTTCAATACACCATGTCATACAGTGAAATCATAAATGTATCATGAATCTTATGTTTTTTAAAGAGCAGAAGTATCCCTTTTCAATCTTATGTGCATCATTTCACTAGCACATTATAAATATTGCTTCTTTCTTCCTTGCAGTCTACTACATAATAAGCTAATTTTTGCAGTAGAAAAGATCCAGACTGTATAATATTACACTATCCATTTTAAAGTGTTTTTTCCCTATTCTTCTATTCAGGTCCTTCACATTTAATTAAAAGTTCCCATTCAATTAATTTTCTCATTCAAGCACACTTTCTCTCTTTGCGTGGACCTTTAAAAGTGAAATGCTTTTTCCCCTCATAAAAAAATTAAACACTATAAAAATTACCTAAGCTTTTTTTTCTTGAAAGATTTATGTACGTTTTCCAAAGTTATTACATCTAAAATAACATTATGAAATCTCTTTTTTTAATCAATGACAGTTACATAATTAGTAGTGTTGTTTATTGCAGTATTAGACTGATTAAATGGAAAGCTAAGGCCTCAAGTAAATAATTTTAGAGGACATTTCTTATGTTGCGCTTAAGAGCTTCTTGACAATTTAAAGATCAAATTCTAAAGTAAAATGTTAGACGCATCAAAAATAATACAAGGATATTAAATCTCTTGTATTATACTACTTCAATCTAAAACTAGAATTCATTTTCATATATGTAGCTTTTGGAATATCAACAAATAAGCGACTAAGGAAGCAACTGGTACATATGCAATCTGCTTAAGAATTGCATGTTTTAATGTTTCCTTTGAAAACAAGAGAACAACAAAGCTGTAACTCTTCCTCTTCTGTTCCTTAGGTTTCAATAGCTGGATCTGCCATGGCTACTCTGCAAAAAGAGTTGTCAGCTACTTCTGCCGTGCAAAAGATCACCAAGCCTGTGAAGCCACCTCAGCTAAAGCCTCATGAAGTCAGGATAAAAGCAGAGCCAGTTGCCCCTCCACAGTTTCCTTTTGGAGAGGCTGCTGAAGCCTATAAAAGTCATTATGATGCTGAGACTAAAAAGGAGATAGGTGTAAGCGTTAAAAGTGAAGCAGTGCGGGAAGAACACTTGATGTTACGGAAAGAAGGTGAAGCAAAGGTATGTTATTAAGCAAATTTCCATCACTTTGACTGACTTACATCTCAAAAACATAGCATAGCCTCACTTGTTTTATGTTTTTTCACTGCAATTTTCTTCTTTTGCAGCATTCTGCTGATTTTTCTCTCTTTGTTTTACATAAATCCTTCCAAGGACCTAATATTTACCTATGACAAGCAAAGAGTTTTCTTTAATTTCTTATCTAAATTCTGCTGTATATGTCCTTGGCTTTGTTAAGTGTTTATTAACTGTGTTTTAAACAACTTAGGTGACAGAAACTGCCAGAGTTCCTGTGGCTGCAGAAATCCCTGCTACTCCACCCACCTTTGTCTCAGTAAGTAATTTATATGCAGATGAGGGGAGTTTTATTATGTTTTCACCCAGTTTGCATTTTGAATTTTGTCTTTAAAGACCTGAACATGAAAACTGTCTTTATTTAATCTTTTAAACTCTGTATTAGACTTATTCAGCCACACAATTTTGACACAAACTATTCAGAATGTCTGTTATGGGGGTGATTCTTCACAATTGTCACATAGTAAGTTGACCTTTGCAGCAGTTGAAACTGACTATCTCACCATGATCTGCATAAACATCAACCTAACTTTTAATTTTCTTGTTAATAAAAGTAGTGTTCAGAGCTCCCAAATTCAGTTTCAAATACTTCCCTTTGGAAAATGCCTCTTTTTTTCCTGGATACATTGCTGAACAGAACACTGTTTTGAAGTAGACATTAATTTTTCCATTTAAATAGGTTTTAGTTAATTCAATGGCTGTTCAGTACGGAAAATATATACTGACTGTGATACCTATTTTTTGTCATATAGGGCCTCAAAAATAAGACTGTGACTGAAGGAGAGTCTGTCACTCTGGAGTGTCATATCTCTGGTCATCCTCAGCCTACTGTAACATGGTACAGGGAAGACTACAAGATTGAGAGTTCAATGGACTTCCAGATAACTTTCAAAGCAGGGCTTGCTCGCCTTGTGATTCGTGAAGCTTTTGCCGAAGACAGTGGGAGATTTACCTGCACTGCTACGAATAAGGCTGGGAGTGTCAGCACATCTTGCCACTTATATGTGAAAGGTATATATATTTATAGACTGATAGAATCATTTAGGTTGGAAAAGACCTTTCAGACCATTGAGTACAACTGCCAACCTAACATTGCCAAGTGCACCACTAAACCATGTCCATGAGCACCACATATGCCTGTTTAAATACCTCCAGGGATGGTTACTCAATCAATTCCCTGGGAAGCCTGTTCCAATGACTGATAAACCCTTTGGTGAAGAAATTTTTCCTAATATCCAATCTGAACTTCAGGCCATTTCCTCTTGTCAATGTAGGAAGATTATAATTTTGTTGACTGAATATTATTAGTAATGTAACTTAGGCATTTTGTCAGCTCCCAAGTAGAACATATGCCTTGAATTGTATTCCAGGGTTGTTAGGTAACAGGGCTGTAAGAACATGAGGAAAAGGCCAACTGGTATACTAATGAAGACTCTTAAATTGCTTCCTCAGAGGAAGTACCTGGCCCTCTGAGCCAACTAACTACTTAACCTTCTCTTTCTTTGAGACAACTAGAGTAATTGCTTAAGCACTATTAAAGTATTTTAAATTCCACTATATGGTGTTTGCATTGCAGTTTCAGAGGAAATTGAGACTCGAGAAACCATTTCTGAGAAGGCTGTTAGAGAAGAGAAACGGTAAAGTTACTTTCCTAAACAGACTACTGCTACTGTGGTCTTTAGTTTCTTGAATTCTATTTAAGAGAACTTCAGACATCAACTCACTTACTTACCTGCATTGGAATCTTATTTCAGCTACATGGAGACAAAAGACATTGTAATGGAAGATGTCTCTGCTGCAGTAGAGGAAGTATCTGGAGAACCCATACCTCCTTTCTTCATAAGAAAACCCATGGTACATAAATTAATTGAAGGTGGGAGCATTATTTTTGAATGCCAAGTAGGGGGCAACCCAAAGCCACATGTCTACTGGAAAAAAGGTGGAGTTCCTCTAACGACTGGCTACAGGTACTTTGAATACAATGCACAAAATCTATCTAAACATAAGTTTTAGGAATATTTAATTTACATTACCATAATTTTCATTCCCTTACTGATGTTAAGCCAAACAACATCACTGATTTCTGTGAACAATTATTTCTAAAATGGCAAAATCATAGCATCATGTCTTAATATGAGACTTCAGAAGGCGAAGTTTCAAAATACAAACATTCAAAAGACCATAAAATGAGAAACATTTCACATGTTTAAAAACAAATCAGGAAGAAGTTTAACATTTTTTCACTCTGTCTATGATTCTATGATTCTATACGATATTTGTATTCTGACTATGGAAATGCTATCTATTGAAAGCAACACACTTTCTAGCAGAGGAAAAAACCCCACATTTGTAGCATTCTTGAAATAAATCATGCTATAATGACCCATATTAGGACAAATTATGTGCATACAGCATATACCATTTTACTGAGTCTGATAATTGATATTTCTGTTTGTATTGCTGTTTGCATCCCATTTATTTTTGTGACAACAGACAGAAAGTAGACCTGTAGCCTAGTTTCAGCATGGTTACTTTCCCTGCACTGTTCTGCAGGTTCAATGAGTGAGAACTGCCTGCTGAAATTTCAGTCTTTCTCTTGCATAAGTTAGGAGTGATTCCAATTAATTTTATGATTAAAAGCAAATTCACTAAAAAGTATGTTAATCAGAATTATAGAGAACTTGTACTGTCATGTTTTCTACAGATACAAAGTGAGTTACAAAAGAGAAACCGGGGAATGCAAACTTGAAATTTCCATGACTTTTGCCGATGATGCCGGAGAATACACTATTGTTGTTCGTAATAAACATGGCGAAGCTTCTGCAACGGTCTCCTTACTAGAAGAAGGTACATTGCAAGAGAGAAATGTTTCTTAAATTTAACTCTAAATTGGGAAAAATATTTTGAATTGTTCTGCAAATTCAATGCATCCTAGTTTAGTCAATTCAAGAAATGTAAAGGGAGATCGGGTGGCTCTGTTTCTGCAAGACAGAATATTTGACCTCAGACTCTTGAAAGACTTTATTCTTTGCTAGAATGTCGACCTATAGCAACCTTCTTCCTTTGGCATCCATAACAGTCTCCATAACATAAGACATTCAGAGAGCAATGTAGGGAATGGAAGTTAATCAAGTAATAGGTTGTTCTATTATAGGGAAAAAAGTTTGTTGTTCTGGTGTTTTTTTAATTTCCTCTTGTAAAAATGCATGCAAGTTTGTAGGCGACAGAGCCACGGTGAGGAAATTATAAAATAGTCTCTACAGGTGCTTTCGCTTTCCTAACTAGAATGCCTAAATAGCAGTAAAACTTCTACCTGTTTATAAAGCTCATCTGAGCTTTAGATTTTACTGCTGTTTGTTCTTTGGCTAAACAGACAAAAACTCTGCTTGAATCACCAAAACCAGTAAAATAAATGTGTACTTGTTTTCTCTATTCAATACAGTGAAAATCACAAGAATTTATCAAAACTAATGTGTTCTTAATTCTTAGCTGATTATGAAGCCTACATAAAATCCCAACAAGAAGCAATGTATCAAACTCAAGTGACTGCATATATTCAGGAACCTAAAGTGGCTGAGGTAGCCCCAGCTATTTCATATGGTGACTTTGAAAAAGAATATGAAAAAGAACAAGCCCTAATTAGGAAGAAAATGGCGAAAGATACAGTGATGGTCAGAACTTTTGTAGATGAGGTATGTCTACCACTCCATAGCAATTTTGTATACTGACACCAGTACAAATTGCTTCTTTACAAGGTCTGACACACAGAACTCATGTTTTTTTTTTTTGTTTTATCTGTAGGAATTCCATATTTCTTCTTTTGAAGAAAGACTTATCAAGGAAATTGAACTCAGAATTATTAAGACCACCTTAGATGAACTTCTTGAAGAAGACGGAGAGGAGATGATGGTCGATATTTCTGAATCTGAAGCTATAGAAGCAGGATTTGATTTAAGGTTAAAGAATTACAGAACTTTTGAAGGAACAGGAGTTACTTTCCATTGCAAGACAACTGGATATCCATTGCCAAAGGTACCCCAAACCTGTATAACAGTAATCTATTTTAAAAAAAAATCTGGTGCTCTACTTGAAAAATCCCTTAACATCTCATTGTCAGACATTCTACATTATGCATAGAAAAAAGCAAATCTCAAAGGAAATCCAGTCTTTTGCTTTGATATTAAACTGAATTTTCCTTTTGTCCCTGAATAAAATAGTGTTAGGTTGATTAGCCAGTTCAGAGGTAGAAACCTTTAACCAATAGATTTACCGGCTAAATTGGTCTTGATTCTAAGTATGTCCTAGTTAGCCCACACAAGAGGAGAACACAGTAGCAAGTTCAGTCTAGGTCACTTTGCTCTCCATCAAAATGGGCTTTATATGTATTTCTAGCTCCAAATTTCAGGTTTCAGGCTACTGTGAAAACACACTATTTTAGTCTTTTTATCAAGTAAAAATATTCATGTTAACACAGGCACATGGGCTGTGATGATGCATCAGCTGAAAAGTAAGAAATCGTAACATGTTTTATGCATGGATCATTACTGGATCTTTGTCCTTAGGAGAGCTCACATAGCATTCCATTCTTTCTTTCCATGCAGATTGCGTGGTATAAAGATGGTAAGCGCATAAGGCATGGAGAGCGCTACCACATGGAAGTTCTGCAAGACGGCAGTGCTAGTCTCCATTTGCCTGTTGTTCTACCTGAAGATGAAGGAATTTATACTGTTTTTGCCAGTAACATGAAAGGAAATGCCATTTGCTCAGCAAAACTCTATGTTGAGCCAGTTGCACCCACAGCAACTCCAGGTTATATGCCAGGACCAGAAGTTATGAGAAGATATAGGTATGTACACAATAATATATGAATTTCATAAGACTTTAGTGTGCTGTGAGAGACAGTCCAAAAACTCATTATGTAGCAGCTAAACAGCTTAAGTTATTGGAGTCTGTGTGTGCCTCTACAGGATATGTAAATGTTGTTTTCATGGCTTATATTGATTTTTGTGGCAACTCTTTGTCTGATTTTCCTTCTTAATGAGCAATGCATTTTCCAGAGTACTATCATTCACATGCCTATCCAGTCACAGTATCAAATTTCCGACCTCATAACCATATTTATTTTCTTAAAGTACTAATGTTTTGGGAAAAAAATTATTCTGCAGTTGGAGTTTTAGCACTGTGTGCAGCCCCTATTTCCCACCCTTGAAATAGATGTATTTCTATATCAGAAAAAATCCAGCATTGCCATGAACTGTGTTCTGTTTCCATATACGTACACACACATGCACAAACATACACAGGATCACATCCATATCTGTACAATATCCAAAATCCCAAAACTTCCCTGGCTGTGATGTATGCTATTCAGCTGTACAAACTGCTTGCAAAAACATAAAGAAAATTGACTATGAATAAAAACTAATTTTATCACGATTTCTCATATAGATAAATTGGTTACAAATTTTTTAGAAGGAATTTTGCTAAAGGAAAAAGTTAAACTCTTTTTAGCATGTCAACCCACTGCTGTATGATGTGGTCATACATCTGTCTTATCTTTTACCTCCAGGTCTATTTCTCCACGATCTCCAAGCAGGTCTCCTGCTCGCAGTTCTCCTTCTCGTTCTCCTGCCCGCAGATTAGAAGAAACTGATGAAGGACAACTAGAGAGACTATACAAACCAGTTTTTGTCCTGAAACCTACATCATTTAAATGTTCACAGGGGCAGACAGCAAGATTTGACTTAAAAGTTGTTGGCAGACCTATGCCAGAGACATACTGGTTCCATAATGGTACATCAGCCTCATTTTCATCAACAAATAATCTTAAAAAAAACCCTTCTATGTGTTTTACATCTTGTTGAGGCATTGTTTTGAGTGAAACCTTTTTTTCTTTTTGTTTAATATGCATCTGCAGGTCAACAAGTGATTAATGACTACACCCATAAAATAGTGATCAAAGAAGATGGCACCCAGTCATTGATCATTGTTCCTGCTATGCCGGAGGACTCTGGAGAATGGGCTGTAATTGCTCAGAACAGGGCAGGCAAAGCCTCAGTCTCGATGACACTGACTGTGGAAGGTATCTATTATGCACACTATTTTTAGGAGGCTAAGGAGCGTTTCTTATTAAAAACTGTGGTTGTGCCATTTCCTCTTGTGATAACTTACCCTTCCTCTTTCAGCCAAGGAAGACCTAGTCAGACCACACTTTGTGGAAAGGCTGAGGAATGTTAGTGTAAAGGAAGGCTCTAGACTGGAGATGGCAGTGAAAGCTACTGGTAACCCTAATCCTGACATTGTATGGCTGAAGAACAGTGACATCATTGTACCTCATAAATACCCCAAAATAAAGTAAGCATTTTTATTTTTATTTTGTTTGAATAGGAAAGGAGTTCATAATCACCATCCTGTACATTGCCTCCTACAGCATGCTGAATAACCCCAATTCCATAGAAAGGATTCATTAAGGGCTTAGACCAATGGCTACTGAAGTTACAGCTTTTGCACTGCAGCAAGGTTAAGAGATCTAAAATATCTAATAGAATTCACTCAATTTTTTCCAGGTTGTGTATTTGTGTATTTTGTATTCTGCAAAGCTTTAACAACAGAGAGTTAGGAAATCTTTATCTGTCTCTGTAAGCAAAAAACCCCAACATTGAATTCAAGACTGGGTATTATTATCCTCATCTGTTTGATTCTTAGGCACTACATTCATAAACATAAACATGAATAAACATAAACATGACTAATTCCGCCAGAGATTTGCCTTTGGGAGTTTTGACAGAATTTTGGAGAAGGGCAAAAGTGAATGACAAAAAAGTGCACAAAATGTAAAAAACCCAACTGTTTTAATATTTCAGGATTGAAGGAACCAAAGGGGCAGCTGCCCTTAAAATCGAATCTACCGCCAGGCAAGATGCTGCATGGTATACTGCTACTGCTATCAATAAAGCTGGGCGGGACACTACTAGGTGCAAAGTAAATGTTGAAGTTGAACATGCAGAACCTGAACCAGAAAGGAGATTAATCATTCCAAAAGGAACTTACAAAGCCAAGGAGATTGCAGCACCAGAGTTAGAGCCTCTCCATTTGCGTTATGGTCAAGAGCAATGGGAGGAAGGAGATCTCTACGACAAAGAAAAGCAACAGAAACCATTTTTTAAGAAGAAGCTTACATCTTTAAGGCTCAAACAATTTGGACCAGCACATTTTGAGTGCAGGCTTACACCAATTGGTGACCCTACCATGGTGGTGGAGTGGCTGCATGATGGCAAACCCCTGGAAGCAGCTAACAGACTCCGCATGATCAATGAGTTTGGGTACTGTAGCTTGGACTATGGAGTAGCCTATTCCAGAGATAGTGGAGTTATTACTTGCAGGGCAACCAACAAATATGGTACAGATCATACATCTGCTACTCTGATTGTCAAGGATGAGAAAAGCCTTGTGGAAGAATCCCAGTTGCCAGAAGGCAGAAGGGGGCTGCAGCGAATTGAAGAGTTAGAAAGAATGGCCCATGAGGGTGCTCTTCCTGCAGTTGCAATGGACCAAAAGGAAAAACAAAAACCAGATATTGTTTTGGTTCCTGAACCTGCAAGAGTCCTGGAAGGAGAAACAGCACGATTCCGTTGCCGTGTGACTGGCTATCCTTTGCCCAAGGTCAACTGGTACCTCAATGGACAGCTCATCCGTAAAAGCAAAAGGTTTAGACTCCGATATGATGGAATACACTACCTGGATATTGTGGACTGCAAATCGTATGACACAGGAGAGGTGAAAGTCACTGCAGAGAATCCAGAAGGCTTTATTGAACATAAGGTGAGACTTGAGATCCAGCAGAGGGAAGACTTCAGATCTGTTCTTCGTCGTGCACCTGAACTCAAACATGAGCCTGTACTGCCAGAGCCTGGAAAACTTCTCTTTGAGGTACAGAAAGTAGACAGGCCTGCAGAGGCAACAACCAAAGAAGTGGTGAAACTGAAAAGAGCTGAAAGAATCACTCATGAGAAGCTTTCAGAAGAATCTGAAGAGCTGCGTAGTAAATTCAAGCGTAGGACAGAAGAGGGCTATTATGAAGCTATCACTGCTGTGGAACTTAAGTCTCGCAAAAAAGATGAATCATATGAAGAAATGTTGAGAAAGACAAAAGAAGAACTTCTTCACTGGACCAAAGAGATCCCAGAGGAAGAGAAGAAAGAACTTCCTCCTGAAGGCAAAATCACCATTCCAACATTCAAACCAGAGAAGATCGAGCTTAGCCCAAGTATGGAGGCTCCCAAGATACTTGAGCGCATTCAGAGTCAGACTGTAGCCCAGGGAGCCGATGCACACTTCCGTGTGAGAGTAGTGGGAAAACCAGACCCTGAGTGCCAGTGGTTCAAAAATGGTGTGCAGATTGAAAGGACTGATCGCGTGTATTGGTACTGGCCTGAAGACAATGTTTGTGAATTAGTAATCAGAGATGTGACTTCTGATGATTCTGCCAGCATCATGGTGAAAGCAGTCAATATAGCTGGTGAAACCTCTAGCCATGCTTTCCTGTTAGTACAAGGTAATTTAAATTCTCTTACTTTCATCCTACTGCTTATCATAGTCTGTATGGTCAGCGCATTGTTGATTCATTACATATTGTTTTGCAGCCAAGCAGTTAATCAGCTTTACCCAGGAGTTACAAGATATTGTTGCTAAACAGAAAGACATCATGGCAACATTTGAATGTGAGACATCAGAACCCTTTGTCAAAGTGAAATGGTTTAAGGATGGAATTGAGATTCATTCTGGAGAGAAATACAGGATGCACTCAGATAGAAAGGCTCATTTTCTTTCTGTATTGGCAATTGAAATGTCTGATACTGATGACTACAGCTGTGCACTGATAGAAGATGAATCCATAAAAACTACTGCAAAGCTTACTGTTGAAGGTAAGAAGCACAGTAACATGCAGTACTATTAAAGTGGAGCAGGAAGAAATAAAACAATCTAAACTGATGTCTAAGACACTAAGAAATGTTCAAGCTGCTTTCATGTTCTTGGAATCCAGTATGAAAGTTTGGAGATACAGTTATTTCAAATGGTTACACCTCATATATATATATATATATATATAATATACAAGCTGTATAAAGTGTGTGTATATATAATATATATATAATATATAAGGTATATATTATATATATAAAAATTTCCTTAGGCTCATTTAATAAGAAATGTTTTCATCAGGGGTATCTGTGAAGCTTATTCATGAATGTAATTATTTTTGCCTGTAGGTGCTGTGGTTGAGTTTATAAAAGAACTTGAGGATATTGAAGTACCAGAATCCTTCTCAGGTGAACTTGAATGTGAGGTTTCCCCAGAAGATGCAGAAGGGAAATGGTATCATGGCGATGTTGAACTCACTTCTAATCATAAGTATGTGATTACATCCCGCCGTGGTCGCCAAATCCTCACTATTAAAGATGTTACTAAAGATGATCAAGGAGAGTACAGCTTTGTTGTTGATGGAAAAAAGACTCAATGTCAGCTGAAGATGAAGCGTAAGCCTTTCTAATACTTATATTGTCTCTATACTATAGATTTTCCATATTGCATCATATATTATAGCTATATCACTATATCCTATAGTGCCTCAATATTCAATATTCTGCTTATCTGTTATTCTGCTTAACTTCATTTCATTCCACAGCTCGTCCCATGGCTATTCTTCAAGGACTTACTGATCAAAAAGTCTGTGAGGGAGACATTGTACAACTTGAAGTTAAAGTCTCCCTAGAAAATGTGGAAGGTGTCTGGATGAAAGATGGTCAGGAAATTCAATCAAGCGATCGTATTCACATTGTGTTGGATAAACAGTCACACATGTTGCTTATAGAAGATGCAACAAAGGAAGATAGTGGAGCTTACTCTTTCAGTGCTCCTGGTCTTGGACTGTCAACCACTGGGCAGATCACAGTATACAGTAAGTCATTATCATGATTTTGAAGATGCATTTGATTTTTGGTCCTTCAGGATTTCTTCTCAAAGGCCTAGTTTTTTCATGACAATTTTTTCTTGGCAGGTGTGGAAATAGTGGTGCCACTAAAAGATGTTCATGTAGTTGAAGGAACAAAAGCTATCCTTGAATGCAAAGTTTCAGCACCTGATGTGACTTCCTCCAAATGGTACCTAAATGATCATCAGATAAAGCCTGAAGAACGTGTACAAGCTGTATGTAAAGGCACTAAACAGAGGCTTGTGCTTACCAGAACCTATGCATCAGATGAAGGACATTATAAGCTAATGGTTGGCAAAGTTGAAACAACTTGCAATGTCACAGTTGAAAGTAGGTACCCTTTAAGATGCACTGTGCTTTGTGAAATTATTTTTTTAAATACAGGACTGTGGAAATAACAAATATATTTGTAATTTATTCTTTTTATAGAAATTGAGATTATTAGAGGTCTTCATGACATCACCTGTACTGAAACTCAGAATGTATCCTTTGAGGTGGAGCTCTCCCATTCAGGCATTGATGTAATCTGGCATTTCAAAGACCGAGAAATAAAGCCTGGTCCTAACTATAAAATTGAAGCACATGGCAAAATATATAAATTGACAGTGGTGAAGATGATGAAAGATGATGAAGGAGAGTATGTATTTCATGCTGGAGAGAAGAAAACATCTGGAAAACTTATAGTAGCAGGTTAGTATTGTTAAAGTCCACGATTTTTATTTCACTGTGATTTACAAACAATTCTCGATGCTACAATTTTGTAATTATAGCTATTGTGCTGTTTCTTCACTTTTCTTGTCTTTAGTCTATCTTTTTTCTATCTTCTTTTTGCTCTTCCCCTTATCTTTTGTGATTGGTATAATTAGAATTCAACAAATCTTTAAATAAATGTTAATATGTTTTGCTAAATCAAAGCTATAGTATGGAATGCTGTAGTATGCTTTTGATGTAATTAATGTAATAATTTTTTTTTGTCTTGAAAATTCAGATGCTTGCATTGATAATAAAAATAATAGATGAGAATAACTAGGATAGAATAAAAAACATCTTTTTGTGATGGTCAGGTCACATTCTATTCTTAATTTTTCACAGAACTCAGAATGTCTATGGGCATGCTGCAAATTAGGGCAAAGAATTCTTTACATGCGATTGTACTTTCTGTATGTGGGAAAGTTGAACAGCAACAAAACAAAAACATGTGGTCTGCTTCCCAACAGGTGGTGCCATTTCAAAGCCTCTCGCTGATCTGACTGTGGCTGAGTCCCAGACATCTGTTTTTGAATGTGAGGTGGCAAATCCTGAATCAGAGGGCCAGTGGCTAAAACATGGTAGACCGTTAGCTATGACAGATCAGTACCGTGCTGAATCTGATGGTGTAAAGAGAAGGCTCATTATCCCTGTTACGAAAATGGATGATATGGGTGAATATAGCTATGAAATAGCAAGCTCAAAGACAACTGCCAAACTGAAGGTGGAAGGTCAGTATTTTTTACAATGAACTGTTTTCTTTTAGTCCAACATTACACACTGTGTCTTGGATCAGGCCTTAGGATACCAGCATATTTTATTTCCTTATTTTTTAAATACTTTTATACCATGATGTGTTTTCTGAAGTAGCAAACTTACTGTGTTTTGGAGTCTCCACATCTTGAATTTAGCATGTATTTCGAAAAAAAAAAAAAACCACATATTTTGTTCAAGGTACTGGTTAGGAGGTAGAAATTCACATTTTGCTATTTGTGTAGTAAACATATGAAGTAAAAAAATCTGTTTCTGATGGATGCTACAAACTGTAGGAATCAATATATACATACTACATTTTAAAATAAAGCACCATTATTCAGTTTTGTTTAGACGATTATTATATTTACTATAATTTTTAATTTTGGTCTGGTTTTTCTATTTATTTTTTTTTCTAGCTGTTAAAATAAAGAAGACACTAAAGAACTTGACTGTGACAGAAACACAGGAGGCGGTTTTCAGTGTAGAACTGACCCATGCTGATGTGAAAGGAGCTTTGTGGATTAAAAATGGTGTTGAACTTGAATCAAATGACAAATATGAAATTACAGTGAAAGGAACTGTTCACACACTGAAAATTAAACACTGTGTTGTCACTGATGAGTCTGTTTATAGCTTTAAGCTTGGAAAGATAGGAGCAAATGCCAGACTTCATGTGGAAAGTAAGTCAACCTGGTTTGAATATTTGCCTTAATGTGTTGTTTGAAATTCAAAATGAACACACTGCTGAATCTTGCTTTTTTTTTTTTCCTTAAGCTGTCAAGATCATCAAAAAGCCAAAGGATGTGACTGCTTTGGAAAATGCTGTTGTCTCCTTTGAACTGAGTGTCTCCCATGATACTGTACCTGTCCGATGGTTCCACAAAAACATTGAGCTTAAACAAAGTGAAAAATACAAGATGATATCTCAAAGGAAAGTTCATAAGCTTATGCTGCATAACATATCTCCTGCTGATGCCGGGGAATACACAGCTCTTGTTGGGCAAATCGAGTGTAAAGCAAAACTGTTTGTGGAAAGTAAGTATACTAAGTTTGCAAGAAAGTAATTATACAAGTTACTATATGAACTCGTATTGAACAACTTGACCTGACACTTCACAGCCTGCTACTCTTATTTTTTGGTAGTCTTCCACACATACTGACTTAAAAAAAATCCTTTCTTTTTTTTTTTTTTCCCTCTCAGCTATACACATCACAAAGACAATGAAAAATATTGAGATTCCTGAGACCAAAACCGCCTCTTTTGAATGTGAAGTTTCTCATTTCAATGTGCCTGCTGTCTGGTTGAAAAATGGTGTGGAGATTGAAATGAGTGAAAAGTTCAAAATAGTAGTCCAGGGAAAACTCCATCAGCTCAATATCATGAACACAAGCAGTGAAGATTCTGCAGAATACACCTTTATCTGTGGAAATGACAGAGTCAGTGCAACCCTGACCGTAAAACGTATGTAGGAATGAAATTAGCCAGGATATTCTACAGTTACCAGTAATAAAGTTTGTGTTAATAGATACACTTGGTGCAATTTAGAAAAAAAAACAACACTATTGTAGAGGTATTTTCAAATAACCCTAAACAGTCTTAATTACGCTTTTGAAAGACATCCAGAAGCTGTGAATGTGAAAGTCACATCCTGGATTCTTCTGTTTAGGCCAACATATCTAAACGCTAAGCTACCATAGGAGATAGAATTTAGATTCCTATGTCATTCAGAAATTTTGTGAAATTTAATTGCAGTATTAATTATAGAACCTTCCTTTTAATATTATAAAAAATCAGAATCTGTCTTTAAACATCTCTGAACCTGTTAACATGTATTTGAAAGAAAGAAAAGCAGAATAAAAAATCCCAAACCATGTCCTTTTCTTTTAGCTATCTTGATTACCTCCATGCTAAAAGACATCAATGCTGAAGAGAAAGATACGATAACATTTGAAGTTACTGTTAACTATGAAGGTATCTCATATAAATGGCTAAAGAATGGGGTAGAAATAAAATCGACTGATAAATGCCAGATACGAACAAAGAAGCTCACACACTCTCTCTCCATAAGAAATGTGCATTTTGGTGATGCTGCAGAATACACCTTTGTTGCTGGAAAAGCAGCTTCATCAGCCACTTTATATGTGGAAGGTATTTGCTCTTTTGATTTGTATATTTATTAATTTTTATTGGCTTAAGAATGATGGCACTAATTCTATTATTTTTCTGCCCTAGCTCGTCACATTGAATTTAGGAAGCATATAAAAGACATCAAGGTTGTGGAGAAGAAGAGGGCTATTTTTGAATGTGAAATTTCAGAACCTGACATTCAGGTCCAGTGGATGAAGGATGGACAAGAACTCCAGATTGGTGACAGGTAAATGATTGCTTCTATACCATATTGTCTTTTGTTATGTATTTTCCACAGGAAATAACTTTCTTATTTTTCTGATGTCCTTAGGATGAAAATTCAAAGAGAGAAATATGTGCATCGTCTCATCATTCCTTCCACAAGAATATCTGATGCCGGTCAGTACACAGTAGTAGCAGGTGGAAACACATCCAGTGCCAATTTGATAGTGGAAGGCCGTGACATTCGTATCAGAAGCGTCCGTAAAGATATTCAGGTATGGCATATACAGAAGCATAGATGTTTCATAGTTTTATCACTCAAAGAATAATGCAAAGGAAAGGAGACAGTATCTAACCAGCAAGAGTCCTAACACAAAAATCTGTAATCATAAGGTCACAGCCTTCTAGGAAACTGGAATGTGGGACCATCTGTAAAAACAGATGCTGTTTCTAATATTTATTCTACTTCTTCAAAGGTCCTTGAAAGACAAAGAGCTGAAATTGAATTTGAAGTCAATGAAGATGACATTGAACCACAGTGGTACAAGGACGGTATTGAGATCAACTTCCAGTATGAGGAAAGATACAGTTATGTGGTAGAAAGGAGAATTCATCGAATGAGCATCTTTGAAACTACTTACTCTGATGCTGGAGAATATACTTTTGTTGCAGGACGGAATAGGAGTTCTGTTGTTCTCTATGTGAATGGTATGTGTCCCCACAAGCAATCCTTTGACTGTTTTTTTTTTACCCTGTGTTTTTTTCTGATTCTGTATGGCTTTTCTGGATTCTAGAATTCTAAATCTGAAAGTAAAAAAAAAAAAACAACTAAAGAGAATGTCTGGAACATTACCAAAATCCTCATGTACATGGGTCTGTCTTGTTCTACTGAAATAGCTTGCTAGCAGATGAAAATACTATAGTAGCTCGTTTCCCCATGGCATTTATTTACACCAGGAAATTCTTAAGTCCAAATAAAACTAATATGTTCATATGGACAAATATGCCTTGCCAGGAGGATCAACATAGAAATTCTTGGACACATTTTGCCAGAAAATACTTACGCTAACACAGTTAACTATGTTAAAGCACTTGTTGCTAGATCATTTCCCCTGTATCAAATAAAAAGGGCAGATTTTCATGGGCACACAAGATTAGGGCTAATGAGATTTAAGAAAAAATAAAATTCCATGGTAATATTTTTGAAGCCTTGATAAATATTAAGATTCCTCTCTCTCCTCCTTTCTTCCCTCCCCTTTTTTCCCCACACAATTTGCAGCTCCAGAGCCACCCAAGATTATTCAGGAACTAGAGCCAACCACTGTGGAGTCTGGCAAGCCTGCCCGCTTCTGTGCTATGATATCAGGCAAACCCCAGCCCAAAATTTCCTGGTACAAAGATGATCAACAGCTTTCTTCAGGTTTCAAGTGCAAATTTCTTCATGATGCACAAGAATATACCCTATTGCTCATTGAAACTTTTCCTGAAGATGCAGCAGTGTACACCTGTGAAGCAAAAAATGACTATGGAGTTGCTACAACTTCAGCTTCACTTTCAGTAGAAAGTGAGTTTCCCATGCTCAGAACAATGTCTGTGAAACGAGATTGCCAACATGTGTATGATCATCTTCATCTTTATAAATTACTTCCTTTTGTTACCCTCTAGTTCCAGAAGTTGTTTCTCCTGAACTAGAACTGCCAGTGTATCCACCTGCTGTCTTAATGCCATTACGTGATGCTGTTACATCCGAGGGACAGTCTGCTTGTTTTCAGTGCAGAGTTACAGGGACAGGTGGGTTAAATGAAATCCTTCACACCTTTTCATCTCTCAGAATTTTTCATCTTGAACTCAGAGAAATTTCAGCAGTATATATGCTGGAATCAGTCTTTCCCCAGAAATACAGTTATCTGATATATGCACACAGCAAAATGTTACTCACTGATAGCTAACAATTAAGCAAGTCATATGTCAAAGGTGGCTTTAAGCATGAAAGCCATAAGCTGTCACAAACATTAAACATTTCTAAAAAGAAGGTCTGTTTCAAAAAAATTGTCTTTGGAAACTTCTCAGAGTTTCAAATACTGATATTTGAAAACTGCCAGTAAAATGTAAAATGCGTAATTTCAAAACATGGAGTATCATGTCTTTTCAAGTGTAGATTTGCCTTAAATAAGTTTGCTAGTTTTTGTTACAGTGAATATCATTCTACATTTAAAAGAATTCTCTCCAAGTTAACACAAACCCCAGTATAACTTTCTTCAATAAATGGCCTTGAGTATGACCAATACTAAAACATTCACATGGAATTCACTGCAGAATAAGATCCAGTTTCAATCCCAAAGGATTTACAGTTATTTAAAGATAAATAAAGCTCCAAACTTAAAAATAATCCTGAGTGATAGCTTTGTAAAAATCCACAAAAAATTGATAATATACATGCACATACTGATATATATCATTTGCATTGCTATTACTGGAAATCAAATTCCAAATTAAAAAAAAACAAAAAACAACAAAACAACTTCACAACAAATTTGGCTCTGTTTTAAAAGTGGTGCTAAAATTCAGAAAATGTATGTTGGAAAGGCTGGCTTGCCCTCTGTCCAAAGCATGCTAGTTTAACTTTTTTTTGACATGTTTTTGTTTATGTGAATGGGATAGGTGCATTTACAGCACAGAGTATAAGGATCCTTTTATTCAGGTCCCCTTTTATAGACCCTTAGAATGGTTTAGGTTGGAAAAAATATTTAAGATCACTGAGTCCAGATATAAACCTGACACTGTTGGCCACTAAACTGACTGTTCACCACTAAACCATGTCCCTAAGTTCCACATCTACGCATCTTTCAAACACTTCCAGGAATGGTGACTCACTAACTTCCCAGGACAGCCTGTTCCAATGCTTGACAACCCTTTCAGTGAAGAATTTTTCCTATTGAAAATTTCCTGTTACATACCGCTCACTTGAGTTGTGAAAACCTTTTACCTTAGGTTAGGTAACAGATGATTGCAAATATCAGTTGTATTTTAATGGTACATGGTATGCACCTGCCAATTGAAAACACTATCTTTTTTCTTCTGATGGCAGTAATAACAACACTATGTGTGAAAACATTTGATTTATTATGTAATATAGCGCCAGGTGGGGGTGGAGAGGTGAAGGTTAAAGCCTGCTTCAGTCCTCTTCTTTCTCCACGTCTACAAGAATCTATGCAAGTTAAATAACAACAACCTATAATATAGGAATTTTGAAAAGGTACAAAGACAAGATTTTCCTTGAGAAATATGAGGTGTAAAGCTTCCAATAGTTGCAACAAAAAGAGGTAAGGTACTGTACTAGAAGAAGAATATTCCTTTCGAATTTCGTTAACCTGTTCAGCTCAACCTAGTGATTTTATAGCCTTTTCAATCAGGCAGTTGGAGTAGAACCATAGAATGGTTAGGGCTGGAAAGTACCTGAAGATCACCTAGTTCAAACCCCTCTGCCATGGGCAGGGATACCTCACACTAGACCATGTTACCCAAGTCTCTGTCCACCCTGACCTTGGACACTGCCAGGGATGGAGCATTTACCACTTCCTCGGGCAACCTGTTCCAGAGCCTCACCACCCTCATGGTAAAGAACTTCTTCCTTATATCTAACCTGAACTTCCCCTGTTTTAGTTTAAACCCATTACTCCTTGTCCTATCACTGCAGTCTCTAATGTAGAGTCCCTCTCCAGCATCCCTGTAGGCCCCCTTGAGATCATAGTTTAGTGTTGTCAGCAAACTTGCTGAGGGTGCACTCAATCCCACTGTCCATGTTGCTGACAAAGATGTTGAAATAAGACTTTCTCCAGTTATAGTGGTAGATATATATTTTAAAATTTATTCATTAAAAGGGGAAAGAAAAAAATATTCTTACTCAGGAACACAGCAGCATCAGAATCAGTTTTCCCATGCAAATATTTCTGAGAAACGGAAGCTTAACACAACAAGTAGGCCACTTTCCACTGATCATACATTACCACAGTAATACAAGGCACATTTAAGCTTAAAAAAAGATACTCGGGATTAAGATTTCTGACAGCTATAAATATAGTAATAGTGGTTCCTTACCGATCTAATATCATAACTTACACATTTTTTCTTCTTCCTTGTGTTTGAGCAGATCTGAAAGTCTCTTGGTACAGCAAAGAGAAAGAGATCAAGCCTTCACGGTTTTTTAGAATGACTCAGTTTGAAGACACTTACCAGCTGGAGATTGCTGAAGCTTATCCAGAGGATGAAGGAGTCTATACCTTTGTGGCTAGCAATTCTGTAGGCCAAGTGACAAGCACTGCTACCTTGAAGTTAGAAGGTACAGTGTGCAGTTGAAGAAGATGTCTTGTTTAGGTCATGTTTTAATACTAATCTCAATGTACACTGCTGATTATATGTGTGTCTTTGTCTGTAATGTTGCCTTTTAACAAGATTAATTACTACCATTTCAAACATCCACAGCACACATTTATGTCTCCAAAATATAGGCCATGCACACCAAAATTTATTTCACAGTTTTTCAATGTTCCATGCACCTCACCTTTTCATTCTCTACGGTATTAGAATATGTCATGCATGAAAGATGGCAGAAATCTTCTTTCTAATGGAATTGTTTCGCATACACATTCATTGATTTGCCTGTGAGGAGAATCTAGCAAGAGTTTTGTGTAAAATTAATCACTTTGAGTGTCGAAAAACATGTTGAATAGATGTGTGTACCAGGTACTTGGGTAGCTGAAGGGAAATAGTTTACATTCATATAAATTGATGAAACATTGAACAAAGTTTTAAAGCAGAAATATTGTCTAGAGAACTTGCTATTTAAGTTCTATATTGTCCTTGATATTATTTAACCATAAATATTTTGTTTTCTTTTTGCAACAGATTTTATAAATGGTGAATTAGGATAATTCATGCTGTTAAATTGCAAGTTAACACAAAAAATCTTGAATGAGAGAGAAAATTTATTGTAGTGTAGGGTAAGAAATTAAAAGTTGGCATGCTTCTTTTCAGGATTTAAAAAGGTTGAAGAAGTTACATCAGAGTCCCATTGGCATGTTTCTTCATCTGTTTCACTTAAGGAGGAGTCTGTTGGCCAAAAGCCCACCTTTATCCAGCCTATTTCAAGCTGCAGGGTATGCAGCGGGGAATCAGTCAGATTTCAAGCTAGAGTCTTTGGCATGCCCAAACCAAAAATCCGGTGGTTTCATAATCAGCAACTCATGTTGCCAACAAAAGACTTAGTTTTCCACTTTGATGAGTCTACAGGCACAGCTATACTGATAATAGTAGATGCTTTTTTAGAGCATGCTGGCCAATACTCTTGCAAGGCAAGAAATAGTGCTGGAGAAACAACTTGTACAGCTACACTTACAGTGACTGCAGAAGGTAAAGCCCCATTTTTACTTCAAAGGGATTCAGTTTGTTGTATACCACACTTTTACATTGTTACTAATGTTCTTCTTTCCTCATTTCACACCTTTTCTTTACCAGCTAATGCTAGTAGTACCTACCCTCTGTAACCCAGCCACTCTCGTTTCTTCTGTTTAAGCTGTAACATTCAGAAATTTACAGATTTGTATCTTGATATAGGCCAAAGAATAGAATAATTTTACTGAAAGCATTCAGATTTTTAAAACAAGTAATTATGTGATGTTCATAGCATTGACTGAGGTATTTTGCATTATCCTGTAGGAGAAAAAAAAAAAAAGACAGTACCCCCTTAAAAAGTTCCCTAAGAAGTTTCCAATACTAAAATGGACAACTTCAGTAGAAGAAGAGAGAAGCCTCAACCATCTATCAAATGCATGACTAGCTTAGGCATTACTTGTCATTCATATACGTGAATGAATAATCTCTGTGTAGAGACCAGTGCATTTGGCATGCTGAGTTTTCAACTGAAGTTCATTCATTTTCATCCTCCATGCTGTTTGATTTTGTTCAGAGCATGGCCCAGTAAAGTTCTTTAGATACTAATATTGTTATTTTTGTTACTTAATTACACAGTGCAAGCCTTAGATAGGCAAAGTTCTGGGAAAGATGTAAAAGAGTCTATCTGGTCGCAGGCTATAACAGAACATCATGTTGCTCCTCTCACAAAGAAGAACATTAAAACTTACCAGAAAGAATTAAAATCAGAGCAGCAACCATCCCAGGAGTTGGGTGTACAGGTTTTTGAAAGCATATCAGAAAGTTTGACCATGAAGGCTACAGCAGTTAAAGAAATGGAAGCCATGAACACAACAATCCTTTCCCAAAGATCTCAGAGCACCAGGATATCTATGACCAATGCTTGGGAAATGAAAGATGTCCCTCCAAAGATTCTCTTGCAACTCAGAGACCTCACTGTGAAATGTGGTGACACTGCTCAGTTCATATGTGCCTTAGAAAATGGATTCTTCTCTGAGTTTCTTTGGTTGCACGAAGGTGAAAGAATAGAAATGTCTGAAAAATTGAAGATATCACAAAATGGAAGTGTCCTACTGCTCACAATCCTAAATGTCCAGCTGACAGATCAAGGATTGTACAGTTGTACAGTATATAATGATTACGGAGGGACAACAACTGCTGCAATACTAACTGTCACAGGTGGTTATCTGACTTTTAACATCATTACTTAACTTTTGCTTCTTCATTATTACTGCCTACAGCTAACTTATATTTCTTTTTTTATATTTAATTGGGAAAGCTCTACTAATGCTTAGAGGTATTTCCTCTACATTTACAGCTCTATTCATAGTGACATGTGGTACTGGGGGGTTGATATTGTAACTTCATGCCTCTTTCCAGCAGTTACAGATGTCTTAGGCTTTTTATTGCTTATATGCTTCCTGATAAGCAGTAAGATGTAAAGCAAATCAGGCTGGCAGAAATTTTTACATTTTAAGAATTCACAAAGCTGGAATTTAAGGAACAATGTCAAATAAGCAATGGTGAACTAGATACCCTGTCATTTCAAACTCTCTTGGTCCAACTTGTTTCCAATAAGTCCGAGGTTCCAATTCCAATGTTGGCAATATAGTTTGATGTACTTGAAAGGATTAACAGGTGCAAATTGTATTACTGCACTAGTGAGTTTTCCTCTACCCTTAACTCTCATTGAGATATAAGTATTTATTTCCACTTCTTCCTGACATCACCATATTAGAATGTTAGTCCTAATGTTACCACTAATGAAGATCCAAAAATGTATTAGCACCACACTGGATGGCTTATAGTATTTCTGCTGTGCTGAAAACAATCAAGTGCAGAAAACTAAGATGAATAATGAGGAAGCCATTGACCCTATGGATTTCGCTTTTACATATTGAAGTTTCTTTCTTCACTCTTGAGCTATGTAAAGTGCTTTACATAATCTGCTGCTACTTATAAATTGAGGCTGTAAATTAAAAGCAGAGATATGCTTATATTAGGTATTACAGGCCAAGTCTCAGTCCCATGAAAGTTTCATAGGCTTAACGGGTACCTAGAATTCGCCCAGCAGGAGTAGAGCTCTTAAATATGTAATTGCTCATGTTTAATAGCGCTGTTGTGGCACTAATATGCTGGATATTCTCTCAATACTTACGACTAGTGGGTTTTCCCCCTAAGTATAAGGATTTTTTTTATTCCTGCAAAACATCTAACCTAATGCTTTTCCTAACTTTATTCTTACCTAGCAAAAGAAGCACAAGCCAAAGCAGTAACAAAAATTACCCTTGAATCAGATACTAAAAGCTTTAAAGCAGCCAAAGATTGTCAGTATAAAGCATTCGATATTAAGCAAGAATCTTCTAAGAAAACCTCAAGTTTGTTTATATCTACATCCCAAAGAGCATATGAAACTGAGAAGCAAAGAAACAGAATCTACTATCCTGATATTGTGCCATGTGAAGACGTCACAGAAACTGATGCTGAAGCACCAGAGTTTCTTGAAACTCTGCCTCCAGAAACCACTGTAAAAGAAGGAGATGATTTATTACTCTTTTGTATAATGAAAGGTGTACCTACACCTTGTGTGGTCTGGCTGTGCAATCAGCTAATAGTTGAGGAATCTGCATTGTGTTCCTTAAAACATGATGGGCCACTGTGCAGTTTAAGATTGTTGAAAGCTGGTCAGAACCACAAGGGTATATACAAGTGCAGAATAGTTAATCCTGCAGGACAAGCCGAGTGCAGCACTCATCTGAGAGTGACAGGTTGGCAACTGCATGTTCCTTCCAAGTATCAGTTCTTCGTGCATAACATCATTGCATTCCACTACGTTCATTCCCTGTGAGATGATAAGGAACGAGAAGCATTTCATTAGTCTGTGGATTGTTGAATGTTTTCTTCAGGGATTTAAGGCATGACAAAGGCATGTTACACTAGAAACTTTGCCCCTCCCTGCAATAAAGCAAGCAAATCTTACAGAAAAGTGTACAGAGAAAAAATTTGAAAACATTTGATTACTCTGTTCTCAGAATTTATCAAGTGTTTGAATTGTTTGGCATGCATTTACATTTATGTATGTGTGAACTTCTGTATACTTGCAAGACAGATTGTTTTTTCTTACTATATAAAATTTAATAACTATAGCTCAAAAATATGTTTTGTTTTTCTTTTAGCTCCTGAAAAAATGGTTCATGAGAAGGTAGAGGAAGAGATTGAAATGGAAGCGAAAGGTACAGTCACCAATGATGTTACACTGAACAATTAGTATCAGTTAATTAGTAACATTGTGAAAAGCATTTATCTGCTTACAAGTAGTGTCTAATGGGGAAAGAAAGCCACAATTTAAAGCATATTGGAACATGTTGCATGCTTGTTTTGATATGCAAAGGGTTACTTGCATTATGAGGTTAAGTTTTAAAATATATTTAAAACTTCAAATTTATGATTTTGCAGCTATATTCTTAACTTTTACTTCATGCTTTGCAGCTGTTCACAGAGCTTTTATTTGTTCAATTTCCTTTTGAATGCATGGAATAGTTTACTTCAGAAGGAAGTTATACAAATCTTAATCATATTATTTTTAAAAAAGCAGCCTAACATTAGCAATTCAATGAATACTGTTGGATGGACGGATGGATGAATGAAGTATACCAGAAAGCATTTGTTGTTTAGGATATGTGAAAGCTACACATTCCCATTGATTCCTTGCACTTCTTTTACATACATTAATTCATCATTATACATGTCTTACCCTGGCTTGCAGATAGCATAAGTGGTTCATGTTGCTTGCTTTTTTTCCCTGTGCATAACATTGTGAAGTTAGTGGCTGTATTAGTTCGAATAAACGCCTTCTCATTTCATGTTAGCTAATACTTACTTTTTTAAAAAATCTCTTTCAAAATATTTTTTCTCAATTGTTTGAACATTTAATCTACAAACAGAGGGGTCAGAAAGGGCGTTTATTCTACTGTCTGCAAGTCAGGTAAGATTTTCTTCTTTGCCACCCAAAGACACACAGCTTTTCCAGGCAGAAAAAACATACACACAGAAGAACGTGTTATTTTGAAATTCATTTTTGCTTGTTCAAGAAGAAATTTCCACAGTCTGAAGAAAGAACAGACAACGAACGATTTTCGTGTCAATCTTTAAAACAGAGCAAGGCGTTGCGTTTATTCGAACAAATATGGTGAGTGAATTACTTTCTTTTCCTGGGTGTGTGATGAAATCTGTTGCATGCCCATTTTTTATTTCAATTTATTGTTATTTCATTTTTTCTCAATCAGAGAGCAGGCAGAGCGTAGCATGTTGTAACCCAGTCTCTTTCTTTGGCAGGGCAGCACAGCAAGGTGAACCTCGAGGGACCTGGCACAGTGGCAGTGCCTGCTTGCCCCCAGAACTGTAAACCCACCTTCACACAGGGCCTGAAGTGTAGGTCCGTCTTGGAGGGGGACCCTGCACTCTTCTGGTGCAAGCTGGTGGCATGCCCGGCGCCCCACATGGCCTGGTTTCACAACAACCGGCCAGTCCACCAGGACTGTCGCAAGCTGATCCGCACTGAGAGCGAGGAGCACATGCACCATGCCAGCCTGGAGGTGTGGGATGTGCAGGAGCACGATGCTGGCAGCTACAGGGTATTTGCCATTAACAGTGAAGGCTCAGCTGAGTCCACTGCCTCGCTACTGGTGGCACACAGAGGGGAGCAGAAGGGTTTTCCAGGGAAAGCAGGGTGTACACGAGAGAGCTGGCACTGCCTGCTGCAGCAGCGGCAGGAGGATCGGCTGCGGGTAGTGCTCCGCTGCACTGGCTCACCCTTCGACAAGGGACAGGAGGCAGAGCAGTTGCCTGGAGATTTCTCCCCCACCCGTGGCATGGTACGAACCATCCGCTTCCAGAGGCTGCCACTGGTGGGGCCTCACCGTCCAGGGTTGGCACATGGTAGGGAGCCTAGTGATATAGTGGCAGATGCTGAGGAGCTGCTGGATGAGGAGATCCGTTGGAAGCTACAACGGCTGCGGGAGGCAAAGAGAGCTATGCTGAAAAAGAAGCAGGAATCCCTCATGTCCATGTCCCAGGCAAGCCCTTCTGGGAAGCCCAGCCCACCTGAGGTTGCTGCCACAACTGATGGCTCAGAGTCCCTCAGGATGCAGGTAGTGAAGGGGTACTGGAAGCCCAAGGCTGTGGAGCAGAGATGGCAGGTGCCATGTGGACTCCTGGAGCCCTGTCCACCCCTCTTTGTCCAGGAGGTCAAGCCCCAGGAGGCTGTTGAGGGGCACAGATGCGCGTTTTCCTGTCTCTTCCATGGCCGCCCACAGCCCACTGTCACTTGGTACAATAATGCCAAGCCTGTGGGACGCATCCGGGGCACTGCTGTTCACACCACAGAGTGCTGCTCTACACTGACCTTCCCATCTGTGCTCCCACAGCATAGTGGCACCATCACCTGCGTGATCTTCAATCCACTGGGCACAGTCAGCACTTCAGCTGCACTCTATGTGAGGCGGAGGATGCAGGCCTACATAGGCCACATGGCCATGAAGAAGGAAGAGAAAGAGGAAGAGAAGGTGAAGGAGGAAAAAGAAGAGGAGAAAAAGAAGGTGGAAGAAAAGGAGCCGGAGGAAGAAGAGGAAGTCAGCCTGGCCTTCACAGCAGAGCAGGAACTGCCAAGTACAGTTGCAGACTCAGACTTGCTGTCACTGCCTGTGGAAATCAAAATCACTGCCCCCACTCCAACACCAGAGCAAGACACAGAGATAAAGGAGACCACACGGCCCTCTTCAAATCAGACTGCTCCCACCATAAAGCACAAGTTCAAGTTTTCATTTGATGTAGGAAATGAGCCACCCCAAATTGTGGCAGAAGCCCCAGCACACATTCATTGCCATGAAGGGGAGGCAGTGGTGTTGGAGTGTGCTGTGTCTGGGCAGCCCCCACCAGCTGTGGTCTGGTCCCTGAATGGTCAGTGCCTCTCTGTCAGTGAAAGGCTGAGGTTTGAGGAAAGCAAGAATGGCATATACCGCTTGCACATCCAAGGGGTCTCTGTCACAGATGCTGGGCTGTATTCATGTGTGGCCAAGAATGTGGCTGGAACAGCACAGACAGCCTCTGAGCTGACAGTACAGCCCAGTGAAGCCAGATTGTATAGCAAGGATGGAGGCACTGAGAAACTGCCTTCTACAGAACATGTTCTGCACCTTGAGGGTCTCAGCACACTTGGGAATGATGAAGAGGGAAAGATCATATGTTCCAAGGAGGAGAAAGCACAGCTACCCTTGTCCCTGAGGCTGCCTCCACCTCCTAGTGAGCAACTGGAAGGGGAGTGTGAGAAAACCCCTCACAGGGAAAGTGAGATGGAGGAAACAGGGCAGGATGTCATGGAAGTTTACAGTAAGCAAGAAACGAGTTATACAGAAGAATATGTGAGGGATATAGATGATATTTCTGAGATGATGAGGCACAGGGGAAAAGCTGTCTCCGAGGAGCACAGCTTTGGAATTGAGCTGCATCCCAGCATGTCCAGAGAAGAACATGAACTAGTGGCCAAGGACTCAGGTCACTTTTCAGAGGAGCTGGAGGCTGAAGGAGACAAGGTGGTGCCACATACAGATACTCTGTCCTGGGATATCTTGAAGTCACCATTTATGGAAGTGAAAGGACAAACACATGCCTCTGAGCAGTCTGTTCTGGCAAAGGAGCATGAGGTTTCACAATTCTTCATTCCTATATCACCTACGGTGCATGAGGAAAATGATGTTTGCATGCAGGAGAATGATGTCCCTGCCTGGGAGACAATGTCTACTAATGTGCCTCTTACAGAAAAGCCAAGCGTGCCCCAGCAGCAAGACAACAGTGCAAGCACACCCACAAAGGAGCAGTTTGGCTTTTATGACCTATGTACAGAGGAGCAGCAGGAGGAACAGGCCAAGGAGCAAGCAACATCAGTTGGTATTGAACAAGACATCAAGGTTGATGACGATCTTTGTAAAGAACAAATGATTGATGTTCGGGATACCACACACTGGGATATTCAAAATTATGGACAAATGCTGCAAGGAATGGAGTCTGATGCAGGCAACTCTTCTTTGGGTCTAATCCTCACACCTCCTGGCATAGAAACCTCAGGTCAGGATTTTACTGAGGAAGTTGAGGTTCACCTAGAAGTACAATTCAAAGAGCAGTTGTTGCCATCTGAGACTGATGAGACCAATGTCACATTTGATCTGAAAAAGTTCGTGGAGCCTTTTCCAGCTGCAGATACAGTGGACACAGAACAGGCACAACCCCCTACAGCTCTGGAGATCATGGAGGTAGGCACAGAAACCTCAGGTCAGGATTTTACTGAGGAAGTTGAGGTTCACCTAGAAGAAGTACAATTCAAAGAGCAGCTGTTGCCATCTGAGACTGATGAGACCAATGTCACATTTGATCTGAAAAAGTTCGTGGAGCCTTTTCCAGCTGCAGATACAGTGGACACAGAACAGGCACAACCCCCTACAGCTCTGGAGAGCATGGAGGTAGGCATAGAAACCTCAGGTCAGGATTTTACTGAGGAAGTTGAGGTTCACCTAGAAGAAGTACAATTCAAAGAACAGCTGTTGCCACCTGAGACTGATGAGACCAATGTCACATTTGATCTGAAAAAGTTTGTGGAGCCTTTTCCAGCTGTGGATACAGTGGACTCAGAACAGGCACAACCCCCTACAGCTCTGGAGAGCGTGGAGGTAGGAGTGACTGGGCTCATCCCCCCTGTGCACAAACATGATGTGGTTGTGGAAGAGATGTCTCAAAGTAAGGAGCTCTGTCAGAGCTACACGATACAGGAGGAGGATGTCTGTGCCCAGGAAGAGGCACAGCCAAGAGAAATCAGAAGGGCTGATGTGCAAATCCCTAATGGGGACCATGGCAGCATCATGATAAAAGAAGGATCTTCTGCTGAAGAAATTAATGAGTCAGAGCTGAGCATCTGTGGGGAGGATTTACTTGAGCAACAAATTAATAGTTTTCTGGTGGAGCCCACAGCAGATTTCCAAAGAGGAGTGGAGGAAACACATGTGCGGAAGACTGAGGAACAACTGGAGACCACAGACTCCCAAAGTGATAACTTCCTCACTGACTTGAAAAAAGCTGCATGTGAACAGAAACTCCAAGCTGGGCATCAGGCTGAGGAGGAAGAAGGTTCTGGATTAGAAAAGGTCTTTGAGACAGGAACAAGCATCTCCACCTGTGAGACAGA